CGTGATATATATGTGCCCCTAGGTTCGTGATATATTGGCTCTTCTAGGTATGTAGTATATATGTGCTTCTACCTTCGTGGTAGTGGTATATGTGTGCTTCTAGGTTCGTAATATATGTGCTTCTAGGTTCGTAGTATATAGGCACTTCTAGGTATGTGGTATATATCTGCTTCTGGGTTCGTGGTAAATAGCCACTTCTAGGTATGTGGTATATAGGTGCTTTTAGGTCCGTTGAATTTAGGTGTTTCTAGGTCCCTGGTATAAAGGTTCTTTTAGGTCCGTGGTATATAGTTACTTCTAAGTCCGTGGTATGCAGGTTCTTCTAAACTAATGTCCAAAAGAAACTTTACACCATGTTTGAAGAGTTACTAAATAACAACAAACGCATGTTGAAAATCAATATGTATGTAATTCATTAGAGTAATCATTGACCATTAGGTACAGAAGATTTCATTTCATTCAATGATAAACTTCCGGTCTGACTCAAAGAAACGTGGGATCAAAAATTACAAATTTCACATTACGACAGTTGTGAGAAAAAGCCTAAAAAGCAATAAAAGCGTGTCTAATGTCTAATTAACAACGTGTGTGTCCACGTTGGGCATTAATACACGCCATAACACGTCGATGAATTGATGACGTTAGACGTCGGATGAAAGGCGGGATTCTCTGGCAGTCGTCAATGAGACATTGTTCCAACCCTTGGACGGTGGTTGGTGCCACGATTCGTGTTCTCAACTGCCGGTCAAGATGGCCCCATACGTGTTCAATCGGATTCATGTCTGGGGAACATGCGGACCAGGGTAATACATGAATGTTGACGTTATTCAGAAAGGTTGTTAGCCTTGCAGTATGAGGCGTAGCGGTATCAAACCACCCTGTCGTCTGTATACACGAGCCCTACCATCATTTCTGTACAGACAAAATCTGCTTTCATCAGAAAACATCACTCGACTCCAGTCACGCACTTGCCAACGTCGAACTCGGCGGGTCCATATCAGCCGGTTTTCTCGATGTTGATGCGTTGGCATTACGCTGAGGTACGGTCGACCAGCTCGAATACTGTATGTCCTTAATCGTCGGGATACAGCCTGTCGACTGACCCGGTGTCCCCATGCCGTCGCTGCCGTTGACGTCGCTGTGGTGAACCCCTGTCACAAATGCGTTGCCCAGATGTGACTGTCTTCAGCGGGCGTTGTCACGGGTGGTCGACCGCTTCGTGGCCTGTCCGATGTCCGAGCAGTCTGTCGTAAACGTTGCATTAAATTGCTGACGGTAACACGGCAACAGCGGGGTCTTCTGGCAATGACGACGTTTGAGGCGCCTTGTTCAGACATTCCCATGGCCCTCTCTCTCTATGCTTGATAAACGGGGCATAATTTTGTTCGTAACGAGTCGCGTAAGCCGTTTTAGGGCTCAGTCACACGTTCAGGGTTTTTACTGCTGTCCTTGATAGGACCATTCCCGATTAAAATTTGTCAAAAGTCTGATCAAGATCCTATGATTCGTGGCGGGAAATTCACAAATAATCATATATTGTTCAGGAAGCGTCCCGATTCAGCTGTTTCCAGCCGAATTCGTCCCGATTCTCCCGTTCTCAATCCGATTCTGATCCGATTTGTATCTTCCGCATGGTAAAAATCGACCAAATCTGTCCCGACAGCGTCCCAAATCTCCCGAATGCGATCGGCAAAGACGGTTCGCATTCGGCGAGATCTGGACGCAATCTGGACTCAATCTACAAGAAATGGCTATGAACAATTCATGCCCGTTCATCAGGCGTACGTCCAGATCCATGGGACACCGTCCAGACCACACAGGATATGTTACGATTTTGATCCGATACAGCAGCTGCTCACGACAATCGGCTGAGTTTCCCGAAGGTTACGGGACGCACCACACTGTCGGGAGTTCTTGGCCGACCTCTCTGTACCTTTCCTGATCCCTAGGACTCTGTTACAAATGTATACAACTGCGTTCAGACAATGATAGGACATTCCAGATCATTGAGGATAGTAATCCGACTTTTTTACTTTTCGTGTCGTAGAGCTGTCTGATCTCAAACGGGAGCTATAATCGGCACTGTGTGAACCCGGCCTTATACGGACAGTTTGCACGTGCATTCCGTGGTACATCACCAAACCTCATTTCTTGCCAATTCAAGTTTATTTTAAAAATTGAGATAAAAAATCCATTTTATCCTCCGAATACGTTTGGTTTGGCAGTAGGGATATGTTTAAGTAATGACATGAACAGTAGCAATCACCATGGAAGGAGAGACAGTGAACAGTAGCAATAGCCATAGAAGGAGAGACAGTGACCAGTAACAATCGCCATGGAAGGAGAGACAGTGACCAGTAACAATCGCCATGGAAGGAGAGACAGTGACCAGTAACAATCGCCATAGAAGGAGAGACAGTGACCAGTAACAATCGCCATGGAAGGAGAGACAGTGACCAGTAACAATCGCCATGGAAGGAGAGCCTGTGACCAGTAACAATCGTCATGGAAGGAGAGACAGTGACCAGTAACAATCGTCATGGAAGGAGAGACAGTGAACAGTAACAATCGCCATGGAAGGAGAGACAGTGACCAGTAACAATCGCCATGGAAGGAGAGACAGTGACCAGTAACAATCGCCATGGAAGGAGAGACAGTGACCAGTAACAATCGCCATGGAAGGAGAGACAGTGACCAGTAACAATCGCCATGGAAGGAGAGACAGTGACCAGTAACAATCGCCATGGAAGGAGAGACAGTGAACAGTAACAATCGCCATGGAAGGAGAGACAGTGACCAGTAACAGTCGCCATGGAAGGAGAGACAGTGACCAGTAACAATCGTCATGGAAGGAGAGACAGTGACCAGTAACAATCGCCATGGAAGGAGAGACAGTGACCAGTAACAATCGCCATGGAAGGAGAGACAGTGTCCAGTAACAATCGCCATGGAAGGATAGACAGTGAACAGTAACAATCGCCATGGAAGGAGAGACAGTGACCAGTAACAATCGCCATGGAAGGAGAGACAGTGACCAGTAACAATCGCCATGGAAGGAGAGACAGTGAACAGTAGCAATAGCCATAGAAGGAGAGACAGTGACCAGTAACAATCGCCATGGATGGAGAGAGAGTGACCAGTAACAATCGCCATGGAAGGAGAGACAGTGACCAGTAACAATCGCCATAGAAGGAGAGACAGTGTCCAGTAACAATCGCCATGGAAGGAGAGACAGTGTCCAGTAACAATCGCCATAGAAGGAGAGACAGTGTCCAGTAACAATCGCCATGGAAGGAGAGACAGTGTCCAGTAACAATCGCCATAGAAGGAGAGACAGTGTCCAGTAACAATCGCCATAGAAGGAGAGACAGTGACCAGTAACAATCGCCATAGAAGGAGAGACAGTGTCCAGTAACAATCGCCATGGAAGGAGAGACAGTGTCCAGTAACAATCGCCATAGAAGGAGAGACAGTGTCCAGTAACAATCGCCATAGAAGGAGAGACAGTGTCCAGTAACAATCGCCATAGAAGGAGAGACAGTGTCCAGTAACAACCGCCATAGAAGGAGAGACAGTGTCCAGTAACAACCGCCATAGAAGGAGAGACAGTGTCCAGTAACAATCGCCATGGAAGGAGAGACAGTGTCCAGTAACAACCGCCATAGAAGGAGAGACAGTGTCCAGTAACAACCGCCATGGAAGGAGAGACAGTGTCCAGTAATAACCGCCATGGAAGGAGAGACAGTATCCAGTAACAACCGCCATGGAAGGAGAGACAGTGTCCAGTAACAAACGCCACAGAGATCAAGTAAGACCCGGCCCTTGTTTGAAGTCTGGCTCTTTCGAGTATTTCAAGATTTAACCCTAGACCCGGCTCTTGATAGAGATCGGTTCTTAAAATACTACTTCAAACCGTGTTGTATTTTTTTATAGAGATTAGCCAGTAGGTTTGGTTTCGGGTCTGTGAATTTATTGAGATGTCAAGTTGTTAGTTGTCCCTTAAATGCTAGAAGAAGAATTCTACTGCGCAAATGACACGTCACTGGCCACCAATGACCGACTTAGATCTGCTCTGCTCCCATCCACCTGTTGTAAAGTATGTATATTGAATATACAAAATATACAAGTACTTATTTGGACGGTTTTAACGTTTTTAATGTCGTAAGTAAAATTGATTAAACCGTTCATCATGCAGTTCACCCAGAGCGCCCGCTGCCCAAACCACGTTGGGAGTTGACTATACCAGGACGTGCATGTGAGCAGTATCTGCCTAGACACTACCAGTAAAGGGACACAAAAGGAACAATGGCTTCAATATATTACCGACGTTACCTCGGGTCATATACCTGGTTACGTATCGAATAAAATCTTGTCCGCATCGCACTAATGAACAGTCTTATTCGTACATTTCAATAACTGGTTATATAGTGTAGACAAATATGTATGAAAGTTAAATATAATATAATGTATAGTTAATGTAAAGGTCTGGATTCATATACGGCGATGTGGAGTCTATCAAATACCTATGAGCGTGTATATCTATAAAGTGTGTGTTGTCCGACACACGTTCAAGATCGGGTAAACATATACTAGTATCTGTTCTGGACTTCTGTGAATAAACTAAGTAAATTGTAAATAAAATATGATTTTATCTTAAGGACAATAGCCGTAAATCAGACACGTAAATGTACGTGCCGCCTGTTCGCCATGTACGGAGATTTTACATAAACGTGTCTACTCTGTGTCCCGGTATGTAAGTTTCACAGATGCTACACGCTCACTAAAAAGTCAACTTGTGAAATTTGGTCACTGCCAAAAATGTAGTAAACCATAAAACAATTAAAAAAATATCAACGTTGGAATACACCTCAGAAATAAAGACAATACCTACATACGTAGTATATCATTAGTATGGAAATTATCACCTATTCCGGCTTAAAATACAATATTAAAATATATTTTTGGTATTTCTAAAATTTTAATTTCTGGCAATCACCTACCTACGAATGGTAGAGCAGCTAAAATCCACAATGCGTAAATCATGATGAAGTCCGTGATCGAGATGTTGTGGTAGCGCGCTATACACAAGTAATGACAACTAGAGAGTCCGCGCTCGTCAATGTTGAGCCAGGTTGTCGCGGGGCGGGACTGGGGGTACTAACACCTGACACAATCCACCTGTGGTGTTACTATGGTGATAATTTATATGGGGGCGTGGATAGCCACACAGATGAACTTACAGATACGAGGACAGGTGGCTATGTTGAAGACATGCTCGTGTATGACTTATATGTACAACATTGTGTACAGGATTTATTGCAATAACAGTACGGAAGCTATTACGTCCTACCAGGGGATCGATATTAGAGCAAGCGTACTAATTGGATTTTCTGTTTTAAGGGTTATTTGGATATAAACCATCTACAGGATACAATTAACTTTTTTATTGGGGTGTTCGAATCGGAAGTCTAAATACAAGCTCTGTTTGTTTAAATGTCCACTTTGACATTCCAAATACGTTTTGTTTGTTTGTTTGTTGTTTACCGTCGCACTCAGCAATATTACAGTTATATGACGGCGGTCTGTAAATAATCGAGTCTGGACCAGACAATCCAGTGATTGCCATCACGAGCATCTATCCACGCAATTGGAATACGATGCCATGCATCAACCAAGTTAAGTCAGTAAGCCTGACAACCCGATGCCGTTAGTCGCGTCTTACGACAAGCATAGTCGTCGGTTACGGAAAGCATGGGTTGCTGAAGACCAATTCTGACCTAGATCTTCGCTGGTCGAGAAGTACGTAAGTGTTACTCCTGCTCCTGGGACATCGACTCACGTGGGATACTCAAGTAGAGTTGGTCCCGGGTACCCATGCTTGGCGTGAGGTGAGACTAAAATGAATCGGGTAGTCAAGCTCGTAACTTGGTAGATTGCTTGTCATCCATATGACGGGAGTTGTTGTTCACAATATCAACCTCGGGTTTGTCAGACGCCATGATATAGATGGGATATTAGTGAGCGCCTGTCATTAACATTAACTTGGACGCCGAGAATCGAAACGGTGATCGCTACAGTAGACGCCAACTGTTTTCGGGAGGAAACAGTCGTGTCTAGACATATTTACATTGTTCGTTTTTTAATTCCCTCTTGGAAAGGGATCGAAAGTTATATTTGATTAGGTTTGTGCAAGGGACAATCTTTGTCACTATTGGACATCTGGGGTCAAGGGTGGCCCCGTCATGTATAAAGACAGAGTTGTGCCCCTAAGGCGTCCCACTCGTCAGAATCCAATGGACAAGGGTTCGAATCCCAGGTTAGTCCTGATCATGTTTCTTTGTGTGGGAGCGCAATACCCGTGATCATGGTAATCGTATTTCAACCAGTTCTAAAACGTATGTGAGACTGTTGGTAGAAACCTCTGTTAGTGTGCCAAAATTCGTGATGGTGGGTTCGAATCAAAGATTCCCGTGATTATGACTTGGGTAGCTTCGGGGTGTTCCTCCTCCCACATGAAGCTGAAACTACATACTCAAAACACCGCACAAGGCAGCGTCAAACTAAACTCTACCACTGACGTGACGTTAACGCTGGATGTAATGTACGTCAGTGTGACAAATGCATTCTATCATGAACAATAAACTATTAGATGTTAACATGACAATCGTGATTACCCTTGCCAATACCAGGGTTGCTTGATGTTTCTTGTTATGTATGTACCAAATGGAGCATCTTCGATAATATGCCCGTGATGACATTTGATGTCGTTATTACCTGTAAGCGGTTTTACATAACACATATTTCTGATGACGCAGTAAACATATTATCAGGCCTGTTGATGAGAGTTGTCGGCCCTTCGTCGTTGAGGCGATCTTCCTCCATGTTATAGGCCACTACACGTCGTCCTAATTCAGTCGTCACACCTCAGTGGTTTCTAATTAATGTGATTGCCAACTCACTCATCCAGATAAAGTTGCAGCTGACTAACAGAAGCGGCGGGGTGTAATGTATACAGACATTGACCGTACACGCAGGTGAGGTGAGGTGAAATGGGGTTTAATGTCGCGTCCAAGATTATTGCACTTATAATAGCGATGTGTGTGTGTGTGTGTGCGTGCGTGCGTGCGTGTGCGTGCGCGTGCGCGTGTGCGTGCGGGAAATCGGAAATAACTTGAAAGATATTAAAACTATGACCGCCAACGATCTTGAGTGAGTGAGTGAGTTTGAGTATACGCCGCTTTTAGCAATATTCCAGCTTTACCACTCCTCTTGCAGCGCCTGGCCAAGTTCAGCCAACGTCACACACGTCTCCCTGTCGTGTCCCAGACGTGTTCAATGGGGAAAGAAAGGTGTGGGCTCACCGCTGACCATGACATTCAATGGATGTTGTGCTGCTGGAGGTGAGCGTTGACGATTCCTGCACGGGGAGCACGGGCGTTGTCGTCCTAAAAGACACAACGTCGACCCACACGCCTTGCAAACGGGACAACAAAGGGTGTCAGTATGTTGTCCCGATAGTACTATCTAAGTGACCCGTCCTTGCTCAATATGGGGTGGGGTTCCCTCAGTCATAGTGATGCCACCCCACTCCATAACCGATCCAAACTGTCATGAGGTCTCAGGTTGACATTGGCTTGACGTTCATTTCGACGTCGCCAGACTCTTGGATAACACGATAGGCACGTGTGTGGCGCTACTGAATAAGGCACGTTTAAAATATAGGATGTAGCTAGTGGCATTAACATTTTTCTTTCATGATCCCCTACTTTTTTTTATGAGTATATAGGAAACACAGCCATCCGTAACACAGCTACACACAGAGAGCCATCAGACACACAGCTACACACAGAAAACCATCAGCCACACAGCTACACACCGACCACTGTCACACAGCTACAGACAGCCATCACCCACATAGCTACACACAGACAACCATCAGCGACACAGCTCCACATCGACCACTCTCACACAGCTACAGACAGCCATCACCCACATAGTTACCCTAAGAAAACCACCAGCGACACAACTACACACAGACAACCATCAATCACACAGCAACACACAGGCAACCATCAGTCACACAGCTACACACAGACAACCGTCAGTCACACACAGACAACCATCAGTCACACAGCTACACGCAGACAACCATCAGCCACACGGCTACACACAGATAACCATCTGCCACATAGCTACACACAGGCAACCATCAGCCACACAGCTACACACAGATAACCATCAGCCACACAGCTACACACAGGCAACCATCAGCTACATAGCTACGCACAGACAGCCATCAGCTACATAGCTACACACAGGTAACCATCAGCCACACAGCTACACACAGATAACCATCAGCCACACAGCTACACACAGGCAACCATCAGCTACATAGCTACGCACAGACAGCCATCAGCTACATAGCTACACACAGGCAACCATCAGCCTAACAGCTACACTCAGACAACCATCAGCTACATAGCTACACACAGACAACCATCAGTCACACAGCTACACACAGATAACCATCAGCTATATAGCTACACACAGGCAACCATCAGCCTAACAGCTACACTCAGACAACCATCAGTCACATAGCTACACACAGACAACCATCAGCCACACAGCTACACACAGATAACAATCAGCCACACTGCTACACACAGACAACCATCAGCTACATAGCTACACACAGACAACCATCACCCACATAGCTACACACAGACAACCATCAGCCACATAGCTACACACAGACAACCATCAGCCTAACAGCTACACACAGACAACCATCAGTCACACAGCTACACACAGACAACCATCAGCCTAACAGCTACACTCAGACAACCATCAGCCACATAGCTACACACAGACAACCATCAGCCACACAGCTACACACAGACAACAATCGGTCACACAACTACACACAGCTGGACATTTGCCGGACATGCTTCAGCTGCTACACCAAGAAAACCTTCGTTCACGCTTTTGCTTGTTTGTGTGAATTATCGTCGTTTCGGGGAGGATTTTATTGACGGTTCGATCTCACTTCAAAACATTCATCGCTGCGACACAGGAGTAGCCTCCCCTTTCTCCATGGTGCAAAACTGTTTATAGAGGACGCTGTACAGGAAACGAGTTTACGCATGTCAAAATATTTCAGAAGCGATGAACATGAGAATGATCCTGAAGTAACATTTAAGAATATTTAGCTATCATCAAAATGTCTTACAGGGATTTAAGAAGTGAGTATTCTTCTTACGATGAGCTATTATTTAAACGTGCTTGGATACTGAGCGAAGGTAACAATATATTTAATTTTCTACAGAAGATCTGACAGAACTTCTGTAGGTCTACTGTTGTTCAACTTTACTCATTGTCATAGTAACAGTATTTTCATTTTTACAAGCATTAGTGAAAATACATGCGAAAATGAACATCCAGAGATATGGTCGCATGATGGTTTTGTGCGTCAGGATAGTTTGTTAAAACAGGTGTAAAGGATCACAATCGAAATATTTCATGATCATGATGAATTTTTAGCAGTTGCGAGTAAATCTGTTTTGTGAGTTAAAGGAACAGTAGATATTATACTAAACCTTATAGTTCCTCTTTGCAATGATATCCCATTCTGGACAAACAACTGACTATTGTCTCTAAACGAAAGGATCATCAGTATTGGGTAGGCTTATCATTTCTTCATTTGTTATAAATATGGACTCTTCAAAATTCTTGCCAATGTAGGGTGATTCTGATGGGAGCGGTTCTGGCCTGGACAGTTTGGTTTTGGGCTTGATTGTGGTACAGATGGTACTCATCATTAATTAGTTTTATTCATGTCTGTGTCAAGTTGGAAGCTAGGACCAATACATGAAGTACATACAGGACTTAATGTCGGGTACAGATGTACCTCACCAAAGTCTGTGCTGTTTACAAGACATTTCTGTTAACACTTGTTCAGCATTGTTTACATACAAATAACTGTGTTTTAATCTATAATAACTCTCCAAATTTTATGCTTCATCGCAACAGAGGTATGTATGTAATTCACAAGTAACTTTAAATTATTTGAGAGAACAGTCTGGAAAATATGATGTCTTTTGTAGCAGTCATATCTAATTTTAGTCAGTGTCACAAGTCAGCACGCTGAATGAAGAAGAATGACAAAATCTCTGTTAAGTCATCTTTAAACTATATGAGCAACTGAATAATACAGTTACCATGCATAAGCAGTACCAATTGATTAATACAATAAATTCCTACCTATTTGTAAATAAATTTAGGACTCAAAATTTATTTCCAAATGTATTTCACTACAAGTGACACAGCCATTGTAAATGACATGCTGGTCATGTTTGTTATGCTTCAAGCCACCATCTTAAAGAGTCAGTATGTTGACCGTTATGAGGCTTTGTTTGTCAACATAAGCCAATAACCCCCGAGCTAACTTGGCTCTGCTTGCCTTTTTCCCGTGAGAGGAGTTTCTGCTCCAGTGACACCTTGGTCACATGACCAGACTTTTCTCGTTTTTAAACAAACACACTTATTCTGAAATAAGAAGACAGACCCAATGCAAGCCTTCAAGGTGCTGTATATATTGTTTTGTGTAATTATGTAGATCTACTACAACTGTGACAGTGACATGCATCACAATACACATCAAAGTGACCATATCGTAAGCTCTCTCCGCAGGGCTTCAATAATTACTCTTGGAGCTGTACAAAGGAAAAAAACACATTGGAAATAGTTTTTCACAATTCAGGATATTTTTTCAATGAAAGTTAAATATTTTATGACATATAGTTATCTCAATGTGTCGATGAAAAACATGCAATATCTTGAATGGACTGTGTAGGATTGTGATGATGTGACAGAGGTACTAGGCTAGCCTCAACAAAACTCAGTGGTGGTTCCATGGCTTCATACGACCAAGGCATTTATAATTTTAATAAACACTGGCTTCTAATCCAATAATTAGTATTCTGTAACTTTTACGCTTTTAGTTTGCCCCTATTGAAAACATCCCAAAAGCGAGATATTCTGCAAGCGCATGGGTTGTCAGCTTCACTGTGCGGATCTTTATTGTTTTGGTGTGAGAATTGAATCATACATGAACTGAAGGTGTGACAATTATTTCATGGATGATTTAAAAGCACAGAACCGTCAACGTACTGTCCCTGTAGGATGGTAGGACCATGTTTGTTGAGTCCTGGTCATTATGTATATCATTTGAAACATTGTAGATATCCTACAGTTGGCAAGTTTGTTTTGTGAATTAAACTGATGGAAGGAGCATTACGTTAATGACTGTTTAGACTAAAGTGTGACCACACAGGTCTGTGAAGTCAGGTAGGTGGGAAGCAAAAGGCTATTTACAAAAATGACACTAAATATTTTAGATTAAAATTACTTTTAGGTACCATGTATACATATGTCAAGATATCTTTCTGATATAGATGTTATTTTTGATGTTTTTAGTGCTGTTACTGATCAGCCATTAGGGCTGGGACGAGTCCAAATTTACTACCTGGGTACCCGACCCCCTATTACCCGACCCTACCTGGGTACCCGCAGTAGGTCCCAGGAGATGTCTCAAAATGTCCGACTGGGAACATTTTTAGCATAGCCCTTGCAAAAGGTATTTAGATACATGTATTAAGCCATCTGGTCATTCATACACTGAACTTGAATTAAGTTATATCTTTATTCAACCATATGAAAAATCAGAAGGAATGGGTGCATAACCAAAAAGAAATGCGAACATTAGTGACTTTTAGTGTAACCATAGAGTTCTAGATAATTTTGGTCATTAAACAATATATCTCACGTGACTAACCATGGGTCCGGGTAGTCCTGTGGGTACCCGGGTCCTACTCAGTACCCACCCAACCCGGGTTACCGAGTTACCTGTCCCAGCCCTATCAGCCATGCACAAAAAATGCTAAGGTGAGCAGACCATGATTTCAGCAGTGTATGCTAGATTTATTGCTCTACTCTGAAGGTGATTGTGGCCTTAAAACTCAAGTGATACTAAACTCAGTGTTAGAATATTTGTATGAAAATGTAGCCAAATCAGAGAAGAACTTTATATAATGTTTGTATCCTTCTTTTATTCATCTGTTGCAGATTTCACAGAGATGATGCGGGCCCTTGGCTATCATCGTCTCATCTCAATGGAAAATTTTCGCAATCCCAACTTTCCACTTGTAGCAGAAGTCCTCACATGGCTAGTGAAAAGGTTAGCCCTGTGTGTTTTATTGCCGATGGTATTTCACACCTATGGGGTTCAAGAACATGTGCAATACTTTGTATATTTTCTCATTCTCATTAAGGTAAACAGCTGACTGCTCAAAAGTCATGCCATGTTCATATGCTAGAGCATTTATTGAGTTTACACTGTTCACAATGTTAAGGGGGTTCTATGGTCCTTGAGGTTTGCTGCTATAGTATATGAATCTTGTGATTTAATCATTTATTTTCCTCTAACAGGGATAGAAACTTAACAGTTTTAGTCCTCTTTTCCTCATTATGATAACATATAGCAAACCCCTTAAAAAGGGCAAATGTCTACTAGTTATTATGAAACCTTAAGTATTGGACAATTTGACAAGGACTATAGGACTTGTGCCAATTTCTAACGCTGTTCTAGCCATGCTAACAGTTACTTTGGGGTTCTGACAAGGAAGCCTTTTCTTTTAGTCTTAGTTTTGTCCACAGTTCCTTATGCCCATGATACTTATAAATACATACACGTTATAACAATTAACTGCATGATTGTGGCTCTGTCCATATCATCAGAAGTTTAAAACTGACAACCAGTTTCAATTTTGGATTGCGATTGAGAGCTGCTAGAGGTGGGGACTATGCTATAATATTGAAAGTAAACATTTGTAAACTATAGCTTTGTTTTCTGTAAAGAGCTGGTGATGTGTAAAACATTTAGAGCTATTAAGAGAGTTATGGAAAAATTGGATTGGACTATACAAGACGTGCTGATGTGCTGTGAATGGTGTGTTGTATTCTTGTTCCATGTATCATCAATCATGTGCTGTGTTTCTGCTCCAGGTTTGATCCCAATGCTGATGTGCACCCAGATATCGACACAGAACAGGACAGAGTCATATTCATTAAGTTAGCAGCAGAGTTTATGGTAAAACTAATAGTTTGCTAAACTTCTTCTCATGCTTATTTCATTCACCTGATGAAGGAGTAAGCATATGCTCCGAAATGTTGTGTTCCTCATAATAAAGAAGTTGACATCCTTAAATTCTCTTCCTTATGTGTATCACTTCTAAATGCCTTTCAAAGACTTGATTCTGGACATGACTCCAAAGCATCCAGTTCAGCTGCATAAAGATTTGAATATCCAGAATAGACTTTGCATCAGTTAGATTCTACAGTCGTATTCACAGTTTGGGATGGATTTCCTGTCTCCTGGATATTACATGTTGTTTGTCTGCAGGCAACCAAGGCCCACATCAAGCTGAACACGAAGAAACTGTATGGTGCTGACGGCTATGCTGTAAAGGAACTCCTCAAAGCAACCTCGGTCCTGTACAATGCCACGAAGACTAACGTGGCACAGTCCTTGGAGAATCCAGATGAGGATTCTTCCCACATTTCATTTGATGTCTCATCCAAGGTAACAGTTATGTTGCATTAACCCAGCCCATGTGTTAAATATGTGCCTGTAGGGTTAGAGTCAATCATTCCTAACCTTTCTGTATCAACATGATCAATAGGTTTACAGTTTGTTATTACATTTTGGCCAATTGTAGGACCTGTCTAATGTTTTTGAATTTGATAGCTAAAATTGTTTTGGTGGAATCATTTTCTGTAAATTAAAACTGAACATGTGGACTATTAACACCTTCGTGTACTCAGCTTTCACTTGACTGGACTCAAGTTGCTGGCTGTGTTGGTTGAATTTTTTAACTTATCCTGCATTACTCCTAAATGCATTTACTGATTTTGATAGAAAAACAAAGCTGTGTGAGGTCCAGCTGAAGAAAAGTTGTTCCAACCAGTTGTGTGGCAGACCCCACGTGACCATGGAAGTGAATAAGTCACAGAAACTTCACGTTACTGCTTGTCACCAGACTGACATGCTGCGTTCAATAAAATTGTTCAGCAAATTTGTTTTCATTGTTTATGAAATATATGTGAATTATCTCCAATCCAACCAATTGGTGTTTCATAATCTACCATGCATTTTTGCTATAGCATTAATATTTTGAATGTGAGGGTGACTTGTAGTCACTGTAATTCTCATGTGCTTTGTTGTTCCAATCCGCCAATTTGAATTTTTGCCATAACACCAGGCATATGCCAGTACTTAACCTTTGTTGCGTCTCAAAATGGCTTATGGCGGAAATGGTTATTCGTAGTGGGCAGAGAAAGCCATTACCATGGAACACAGACCCTCGACCCAGGGCCTTTATGATGATAAGTGGCGGGGTTTTTTTTATCCTTTTGCAAGGAAAAACATCAAGACCTCACTGCAGCGTCCCCTCAATTCTTGGCCGAAAACCTGTTGTATCTGCAAAGTAAGCGTCACATTAAGGGAAGCACCATCATGACCTACCTGGAGGCAGATCCGGGGGATCGAAAAATGACCAAGGTTCCGGACTACATGTCGTCCTGTGCTCTTTACGCCTTGAAGACTAGAAGGACAGGTTTCTTCCTCCCACATGGGATTTGAACATGGTACTCTGGTTTCTGCATGGACATCCGTTTGAGTCTCTCCTTCTGTAACCTTACCAAGAAGACGATTTTCCTCTTGGTGTTGGCTACGGCAGCAAGCCTCAGTAAGCATCACAAATATGACATTACCCTAGTCCGGTTTGAGCGCAGGAAGCAGTTCACTTTGCTTGGACTTCATAGCCAAGAATCAACTCCCAGGACAGCCTGACAGGTCATTCACCATCCCTCCTCTCTCATCGATTGTGGGCACTGAAGATGAGGAGGAACTCCTTCTGTACCCGGTGCGTGCACTGAGAGTTTTCATGCGTCGCTCTAAGACTCTGTGTGGTGCTCGGAAACGACTTTTCAGTCCCATCTCCAAGACTTCCATGACTGAAGTCAGCTGCAAAACCATATCCCTATGGTTATGACCAACACTCTTCAGGCATGCAAGGCCACTAACTTTGATCCTCCTAGAACCAACAATCCTCATGAGATCCAGGTGGTCGCCTCTACGATGGCTATCCACAGCAACTGCTCCATTAGCGCCATCATGGAAGGTTGCTGTTGGAGATCCAACACAGTCTTTGCAAGCCACTACCTGAGAAGCCTGGCCTTTGAAAACATTGAAGATGTACATAGTTTTGGCCCTCTGGTCATCGCCCAGCAGGTGACCAATCCTGGATGCCAATAACATCTCAACCTGTCCAGAGCCGCCTTACCCGACTTGTGTAGTGTTCACACACCTGATAGGGGTGTCTCTATGCTGCTAGCATTGGCTCGGTAAGTCAGTTTTTAGACTCTAGCGCACACTATTTTCTATTGCTGCATTTTAGCCGGACCTCCTCATACGTTGTTCATTCCATGGACATGATTTGTTGAGTGGCTGTCAAACTTCGCAAGTAATACGCTGGATGGCTGCCTAGACATTATCTAGGGGTATTTTGGGGGACCACATCTGAAGGTATGCCCACTGCTGTACCGGCTGATTCAGATGCATCAAGGAGTAATGCAGGATATGTTAAAGATTTTAGTAAAATCAAAATATTTTTTACATAAGTATACTTATCCTGCATTACTACGTCTAAGGGCCCACCTGTCGCAGAGCTGCCTCCCCACAATTCAAGTAGTAATGTGAAGTTTCAGTGACTTCATCACTTCCGTGGTTATGCGGGAGCTGTGCAATAGGGTCTGCCTCACAACTGGTTGGAACAACCTTTCTTCAGCTGGACCTAACCCAGCTTCATTTTTCTGTCAAAAGAAAGCAGTAAATGCATTTAGGAGTAATGCAGGATAAGTATACAAATGTAAAACTGGTTTACTAAATTCACTTGTTTCACCATTGCAACATTTGCTGGACACTGGTGGGGGAAGTGTATCTGTTCGACATGAACTTACTGGAAAAGCCTTCTCTATTATGGATTAAAAAGAACTTTTAACCTTGCTTCTTTAGCTTTTATATTTGTCACAAATTCTTGAAATCTATTAGATTTTTGTTTTTGCAATATGATGTATTTCTCCATCTGTCTGCTACAGATAAGTGACCTGAAGGAAGCACGCCGACTGGCATCAGAGATCACATCGAAGGGTGCTAGCCTGTACGACCTTCTGGGGAAGGAGGTCGACCTGAGGGTAAGTTGGGCTCAGTAGATGAGTTATAGTCACTGACTTTTACATCACTGAAAGTAAACATCTTGGAAATAACAGTTCTCGGACTGACTACAGCTTCATAATCCCATTGTGAGTTAAGTGCTTTACAGTTCACAAAATATGCATTAATACCAAAATTTGTAATGCTAAATAGTTGGATCAACCAAAATACATTTTACCTATGGTGTTTGTATTGTTCGCAGGAAATGCGTGTGATGGTGGTTGGTCGGACGCTAGAGATAAATGAAGTGGAGGGCGGACTACAAGCCTCTATCAGGGCTGTTGAGGTGAGTGCCAGATCACTCTGGGCTAGAACCATATATGGTGAATGGGAGCTATGCTAGATGTAGCACAGTGACTGATGTAAGTGTATGTTAAAGAATGGGAGCTATGCTAGATATAGCACAGTGACTGATGTAAGTGTGTGTTAAAGAATGGGAGCTATGCTAGATGTAGCACAGTGACTGATGTAAGTGTGTGTTAAAGAATGGGAGCTATGCTAGATGTAGCACAGTGACTGATGTAAGTGTGTGTTAAAGAATGGGAGCTATGCTAGATGTAGCACAGTGACTGATGTAAGTGTGTGTTAAAGAATGGGAGCTATGCTAGATATAGCACAGTGACTGATGTAAGTGTGTGTTTAAAGAATTGGAGCTATGCTAGATATAGCACAGTGACTGATGTAAGTGTGTGTTAAAGAATGGGAGCTATGCTAGATGTAGCACAGTGACTGATGTAAGTGTGTGTTAAAGAATGGGAGCTATGCTAGATATAGCACAGTGACTGATGTAAGTATGTGTTAAAGAATGGGAGCTATGCTAGATGTAGCACAGTGACTGATGTAAGTGTGTGTTAAAGAATGGGAGCTATGCTAGATGTAGCATAGTGACTGATGTGAGTGTGTGTTAAAGAATGGGAGCTATGCTAGATGTAGCACAGTGACTGATGTAAGTGTGTGTTAAAGAATGGGAGCTATGCTAGATATAGCACAGTGACTGATGTAAGTGTGTGTTAAAGAATGGGAGCTATGAAGTTGATGGTCATAGCAATGTGATAGAGTTGTGGTTACGTAGCCCTGCTATCTGAACCTACTAAAACATCTAGGACTGGTATTGACCACTGGGATGGACTGATGAGAGCATGTTGATACAGCTGCAGTAGAACTGATGTTGGCCTTTTACCCTCAGAATGAAATAAAGAAGACTCTGAACATGCTGGACAACGTGGCGTCCGACGAGGCCAACCTGGAGGCAAAGATTGAGAAGAAGAAGACGGAGCTGGACCGGAACCAGAAGAGGCTGCAGACTCTACAGAGTGTCAGGTAACTCGGCAAAGAAGAAATAGTTGTTGGAAAGCAATGTTGTTAGAAATATCAAAATAGAGCTTCGGTCCTGCCCCACACTGAAGCACATGTTAAACATGTGGCGTCTCCTTGGGCAAGTGACTTTGTTCGAATTGTGCCTCTGTTCACCCACCAGTGAATGGGTACCCAGTAGGATGAGGTGGTTGTTAACCATCTAGCACCTAACAGGCAGCTTGGGTTGTATACACCCCAAGGAGCTGAGAATGATTCTTGAGTGGAGACTGATCCAGTGACTGGGGTCATTATAGCGTTTGAGCATGTCCCTGAGTAGTGTAGAAATATTTACAATATAAATGGCCTATTATTATTAATATTGAGGGTGGTGGGATGTTCAGTTGTTCAAGCGTCCGGTCGTCATGCCAAAAGAACATGTAACCATGTGGGTACAATGTGTGAAGCCTGTGTCTGGTGTCCTCAACTGGATAATGAAAAAGTGTATCTAGATGTGTGCTGAAAACATTACAATGGAGGTATAGGGTCTGAAGGAAGACTGCATGAAGTCTGTTAAAAGAGCTAGATGTTTAGTACAAATGTGTTGCTCCCTGCTTTACTGCGCCCCTGTGTTGACGCTGTGATGGCCCTTGCAGGCCAGCCTACATGGATGAGTACGAGAAGCTGGAGGAAGATCTGCAGAAGTTGTATGATGCCTACCTCATCAAGTTCCGCAACCTCACCTACCTAGAGCAGCAGCAGGAGGAGTACCACCGTGTCGAGGCCGATAAAATCGAGGTACTTTGTCAAATATAGTATATGCACACATACGGGGGCTGACAAGATTGAGGTACTAGGTCAAATATAGTATATGCACACATACGGGGTCTGACAAGATTGAGGTACTAGGTCAAATAGAGCACATGCACACATACGGGGGCCGACAAGATCGAGGTACTAGGTCAAATAGAGCACATGCACACATACGGGGGCCGACAAACTTGAGGTACCAAGTCAAATCAAGACATCACTTGCTATGTTCGCCTTCTGCAATGTTACGGGTGTGGTGCTGGAGTAGTGATCCTTGTGACTCCCCTGTATCTTGGTATGGTGTTGCAGGAGACGGAGGCGGTGTTGAAGGTGATGGCGGAGAAGATCCGCACCGAAGAGAGGAAACAGCAGCAGATAACCCCTGAAGATGAACAGGACGACGACATGTTCGGTCAGTCAACAGCCGCTATCATTTTGATAGTGTTGGTGCACTAACTAATCAATCTAAAATGAAATAACTGATATTATTCGTCAATGCTATTACAACTAGATGAAATCTAGAAAGTTATAGCTGTTTGGTTGTAGGAAAAAATTTGAATTGATGGAATTTTCAAGTGTGTAATATCCAAGATGAGTGGAACAGAAAGTCTGCGGGGTAGAATATCGCACATGAACCTGATCCTGTAGGAAGCAAAGTCAATGTAGGATGTGAAGTTCGGTCTTGGTGATATTTATATGCATTTCTTCCAGGCCCAGATGATGATGATGATAATGAATCCGAGGATGATCATGTTGAGAAGAAACAGAGGCCAGTCCACCATCGCACACGACCAGAAGGTGAGTTATCTCCCCTAGACCATAAGCATTTGTAATCATATTGGGTTTGCTAGAGCTGCTTTGTTACATTGTCTATGTACATATCAACTGATGTGAACTGTGTTGTGTTTCAGCTGCTACAGGGGCCAGGACAATAGGGAACCAGATGGTGCGGGGAGGCATGAACCCAGACATCAGTGAGGTCAGTTCGTTAGTCTCTCAATACGGCTTAAAATATGTGAGCAGGTTTTAGGAACTGTTGGGACATACTAGTAAACACACAATTTCAGCTTCAAAACCCTAATGTGTTTTAGGCCAATGTAGCTGGATTATTAGTCCGTCTCATAGTCACTGAATCATAGTATTTTCCTCTTCAGCACAGCTCTTACTGTAATGATGTAGCTCTAAATGAGGTCTAGATTTTCCACAGGTTCTGAATATTCCAATTCAGTGGGGCTCGTTTTCAATTTAAATGTTGTTTCTTTGTGTCTAAAAATGTATTTTCAGAGACTAAGTGTTAGTCTATCAGTTGATCTGCCAACCTACGCAATTACAGGCCTGCTCTCAGTGTGGGCTAAACTAATCAAATATTTATGAATAGCTCTACATTGAAAACACAGTATGCTTATCTCCTAATTTATACCCATTTTACTGAAACTGTCATCTTGTCATCGTGTGCAGTTTCTCAAGCCTGTATACAGACTTGGCTCCTATTCTTGGACATTGACTGAAAGTTATCCAGAATGTCCATTCAAAGCTGATAGTGATATAAAAGAATGATCTATCAAGACAAAATAAGAGTGATGAAACTGCTGTAGAATTCCTAATGCTAGTCACTAGTACTGATGTATGCAATGTCTTGACTTCAGGAAAGTGGGTCAGAAGGGTCAGGAGACTCTGAGATCGACCTGGACGATGACGACGATGATGATGATGAAGAGGATGACAGCGGTGAGGAGGTGGAGATGGGGCCAGGGCCGCCGAGGAGGCGGGCCCAACAACCACAGCCAGGACTTGATGATAGTGACAATGACTTCTAATCTCTGTACCCTACAAGACATGAAGCATGTCTCTCCACATTCCACATGGCCTGACTACCTTTGTGCAGTGACAGCGGAATCTCAAGCTTGTAGTCATTTTCAGAAAAGAAACTGATATTTTGCAGCAAATATTTGACATATCAATACTTTCCTAATACTTGACTTTATAACCTTTGTTCACATGGACCCAGATGTCTTAGAAGTCAGAAACCATTGTGTCTCGAAAGCCTTTCCCACATTCTCCTTATGTAGCCGTACAATGACATGGTTATCTGGTAGTTTTAAACAAGTACATTGTGAAGGGGTGGCCTGGTGGTTAAACCAGTCTCTCATCATGCTGAAGGCCCAGGTTCGATTCCCCACATGCATACAATGTGTGAAGCTCATTTCTGGTGTTCCCTGCCGTGATATTGCTGGAATATTGCTAAAAGCAGCATAAAACTATACTCACTCGTTGTGAAGGGACATGTCATAGCCACAGTGTTAACATCTATATGGTGGGACATTGGTTAACCCAGGGTTAGAAATTGGCACTAGTCCTATAGTCCTTGCCAAACTGTCCAATGGTAAAGGTATCATAAGGACTAGTAGAAAATTGCCATTTTTAAGGGTTTTGCTATATGTTATCATTATAAGGACTAGTGGACGAAAACTGTTAGTTTCTAACGCTGGGACTCAACTTAACCTCTAAGTTTAAACTGAGAACTTGAACACCGTACTGTTTATCAAGTAAGATACCGGACCCTATTTTCAAACATTTGTTACAACCAACATACATGTGATCACAGCAGTCAGTTTTTCACCTTGCACAAAATAGTTTCTTATGCTCTGTGATGATGACTCTCTTGTAAAACTGGTTCACTCCCGAGATGTCAGCAGAAATTGTCTGGAAATTGATGCATCATGTTATACTGATATAAACTCCGTCCAAATGAATCTCTGTTGTGTGCCTTTTGATTCTCAGAGAGACTTGCAAACTTTACTTACATGTTGATCATATTTGTACTAAAGTGACCCTGTGTCATTATTGCCGTAAGGTCAATAGTATTGGTTACAGCGAAACCAGTGTGTCATGTGTTCAACACCTATTGGTGTAGTTCAGAATCATCCTTGATTGAAGCTTTCTTCGGGAATCTCAAATGATTTATTTGTCTCACAATGTGTATCATCATATTTGTGTATGGTTCATTATGGAAAACCCGCCCACATGTTCCACACCTACCCATGGACAGCTACTGCCGCTAACTTTGGATAGCTTCGTAGAAAGTTGTACCAGCTGTTTTGACCAATCACAGGTCTCTGTACAGTAGATTCAGAGAAAGTTGAACCAGCTGTTTTGACCAATCACAGGTCTCTGTACAGTAGATTCAGAGAAAGTTGAACCAGCTGTTTTGACCAATCACAGGTCTCATTTCAGTAGATTCAGAGAAAGTAGTACCAACTGTTTTGACCAATCACAGGTCTCATTACAGTAGATTCTGAGAAAGTAGAACCAGCTGTTTTGACTAATCACAGGTCTCTGTACATTAGCCAACAGCTCACTTATTCTTCTTATTCCTCCTGAAGGGATTTAAGAAACAGTAAGAACTTTCACTTTTCTGGGAATGTGGTTTGAGAGTTTTAATTGTGATTGTTAATAAACAAATGGGAAGGACAGATGTTTAACTGGTACTGAGACAGCAGTAGTCACTGAGTACTGAGTTAAACCATAATGGTTTAGTTTTATGGTTTGAAAAGAAGAGTTTTGACTCAAAGATTATATTTAGAACCAAGTTCTATTTGAGTGACCATAGTTTCCCCATAACTGACTCAGAGAAGATGTGGAACATGTAGACAAGGTTTTTCCATATGTTATAAAAGTATGATTGTTTTATATCTGAATCATTGTTGATCATGACTTGCAGAAGCAATAACATGCAAATCTAACAGTAAGGATGAAACTGTTGTTAACCATTACTTCATGGTCACTGTTGTTGAAATAGAGGAGCGTATTGTCACAGAATTCATGGTCACAGTCACAGAAAGTGCTGATTCAGCAATATTTGTAAATATATCTGTGATATTAAATACCCTGAAAAGTTTGCTGTGTTGTTCATATCTCTATGTTTGTTTGCTGTTTTAAGGCCGTACTCGGCACTATTCTGGATACATGATGGCGGCCTTTAAATATTCGTGTCTGGGCCAGACAGTTCAGTGATTAACATCATGAGCATCGATCTGTACAATTGGGATATGATGACATGCATCAACTGAGTCAGCGCACCTGACCACCTAATCCCGTTAGGCACCTCTTACAACAAGCATGGGTTGCTGAGGATCAATTCCAACTCGGAGCTTCATGGGTCATATCAGTATGATAGAGATAGGTTTTATGTTGTCAAGTGTTTCCTCTCAACATCAAAGACCAGAGACAATATACAGAGGATATTCCTGTATGTTTCTGCATGGGTGCTTCACAATCTGGATTCATTGTTAGTTAGTTTAGACAGGTTATAGGCACCTACAAAACAGACATTAAGGACACTAGTGTTGATGGCACCATGGAAGCTCATATGGTAAAACATGATTTGAGGATTCTGGCTAAAGTCTTAACTGTTAGCTTCTGGTTTATTGCATGTAGGGACGCGTTTTGGTGTAGATTCTTGCACCCTTATCAAGCTGTTGTGACAACAACCAAGTGATATTTATGCATGATATATTGTGATAATCAGCAGATTGACATTGACAACAACAGGTAATAGGTAACAAGTAGCATACAGTTACAGTTTGTTTTGTTTTTTGGGGGGCACGGGTGGCCCAGTCGTCTAAGGCGCCGCGATTCGCTTTGCAGAGTTGCGTCCCTTGGGCACGCCAGAAACCTATGATTGTGGGTTCAAATCCCGGTTCGCCTCGATTGTTTCTAGGTTTGTCAGCACCATACCTGTGCTCGTGGGTTTCACCGAAGTGGTCAACGTCTAAGACCTGCATCACTTCGGGCTTTCCTCCCACATTAAGCTGACAGCAGCGATATAACTAGAATACTGTTAAAAGCGGCGTTTAACCCAACTCACTCACTCACTGATTCGTTTGTTTGTTGTTTAACACCACACTCAGCAATATTCCAGCTATATGACAGCAGTCTGTAAATAATCGAGTCTGGACCAGACAATCCTGTGATTGACATCATGAGCATTGATCAATGCAATTGCAATATGATGACATGCATCAACCAAGTCAGCGAGTCTGACCACCCGATCCCGTTAGTCGCCTTTTACCACAAGCATAGTTGCCTTCTATGACAAGCATGTTAACCAACGTCCTAAGTCCTTTTGTCTTAAGCCAAAGGACTCGCATGTTCTCCAACCTTGCCCCGCCGACATTACCATGACTTCATCAGCAACATCGAGAAAGGCCTCCAGCAACTCGCCCCAGGTGGAAAGAGTGACAAATTGCGCCATCAGATCAGCCACTTTCTTCAAAAGGCCCCAAAATCAAACACCAATCCACACTCGAGCCCAGAAAAAAACCCATCAAAGACCTCAAGGAAGACCCAGACATCACCATTGCCCCAGCCGACAAGGGTAGAGCCACTGACATCCTGTTTAAGTCTACGTTCCACTCCCTGGTCAACAAGATGCTGTCTCACGCTACTGCCTACCTGAAGCTCAAGAAAGACCCAACTGGCAGACTAGATCGCCAACACAAGTCCACCCTGAGACACCTTTAAGCTCATTACCCAGCAGTACTACAAACTTTCCGCTTTACACCCACAACCTCCCCACGTCCGTACGTGCCACCATCAAGATCCATAAAAAAAACCCATCAAAGCCAGATTACTTGTATGTTCCAGGGACACTGTCTATATTACTGCACTGCTCAGTACCCCACTAGAACTGGATCATGCGTGAAGTTTACATACACCAGTAACTGACACCATATTGGTCTAATATGGCCTTGATTGCCGTCCAGATAGTACAAGCTGGTCGCTGTTTTCATGATTACGGGCGGAGAGTTTCGTCTACTCAAGAACAATAAGGGACTAAAACAACCGTATCAGCTTTTTTACAATTAATCAATGTTTTTTTCTGGTGATAATTGATGATTTTGATAACAAAATCATTTATTTAATAGGTGTTGTTGTTACGGATATCCAAAAAATGTGTTATAATAACAAAACATCAAATGTCTTGGGGAAAATCAATGTAAAAGGTTATTATTTAGCCAATTAATGATTGTACAGCTTATGTGAGGCGGGATCAGTCGGTCAACGGATCGACGGATCCGATGTAACGCATGTTGCCTGCCAAGAAGGAATCTTAGTATTCCCTTGTATAGATACCCATACCCGACTCTACTTGAAGAAAAATAATTATTTTTCTATTATACTCCAAAGATGTATACAAGCCCGCTACGTTCAGGGATAGATCGAGCCCGCTATGTTCAGGGATAGATTATTTATTTCTTATTCAAGTTAACTTTCACAAGGAAAAATGTTTTAAAATCCCATATTAGTCCATGTTTATATCAAACAAAACATCGCATTTCCCGCCAAAAATGAAGAGTTACTACCCTTGCAACTTATGCAAGATGCCCGTTTGTGTCGTCTTTTTTTATTGGAGATGGTTCCGAAAGAAAATACAACAGTAACGTTCATTGGTTACTGGTATCTATATAAACGGCTGCGACCATTCGTCGACCTCCACTCACTGAGAACCGTACTCGAGGGTTGTGTATAGTCACGGTTAAGGGTGACCTGTTTCCTCTGTTTGACAAGCTGTCATCGTGTTTGTGAGTGTTCATGATACATAACAGTACCCAAGCATGTTGTTGTCATATGAGTTTAATTATGAAACTTGTTTTTATCGCACGATTTCTTGACTAGATTTGGCGCCATTTGAGGTGGTTTGTTATGACGTTACGGTCGCTGCACAGCCATGTGCTCTCTTTGTATACTTTGTTGTAGATGTGATAGGAATCAAGGATATAATGATTTTACAAATTTCAATTTGCTAAGAACGAAATGTGACATGTTTTATCGCTGTTTATCAGAATAAGTAGCCTGGTATATTTTGAACAACTCACTTCAAGCAGTGATTGTTCATGCGTAGATTGACACGAAAAACAGAGACCATAATTATAATAGATATTCTACCATGAATTTGGAAATTACTCGATTCTGATTGGTCAATCAGAGTCTATTAAATCACAATAAACGTCATAATATGACGTCATAATGGTGACGTGCGATGTAGAGCGAAAGCCTTGCAAAGCTTGCTTTGTTTTCTTTGCCCACCTCACGTTAGCTTACCAAGTTGCCGTGCTTATATGCTTTCAATGTCTGTCATATGTTCGAGTGAAGTATTACGGTGTAAACAAACTGCTTGAGTATATACAGCACCATATTTTGTTCGGTGATTCTGTAGTTCAGATCGATAACCCACTCAAAACACTGAACTCAACCCATGCCGCTTCATTCAGTATATTTGCTATTACCAAAGAGTTCGCGTTTTATTTAGTCATGGTAGAATGGAGATAAACATACTGTGTTTTCAATGTAGAGCTAGGTTACCTGTAGATTTAACCCCGCTAAATTGAATTTGGAACCGAACGCGCAGCGTGAGGTTTCAAATGTTCAATTTAGCGCGGTTTATCTCCTAATTATATGGTCTCTGCTTACACTGAGAGCGAGGGAATCCTGTAAAGATGGACTTTCTTTTGTAAATATTTGTTCAGGGTCACAGATTTTCTTGATAGACGAATATTTATCCTCAAAATTATATTTAAATGTTTCAATTGTGTAGGGCCTATTCATAGATATTTAGTTTTATATATTCGTACATCCAATGGCCTAATCAGGCGAATGTAATACTTGGTCAAATTAATTATGATGACCAATTGTTTATTACATAACGTCCAGTCCTCGCCTTGGAATAAAGATATTGAATGTTAATGCAGCTTAACGTAATTATTTTAACTTTTAAAGGTGAACAAAAAGTCCAGTTCATTAGGCTAGGCCTTATGGCCTGGAACTTGGGGTTCAAGGTCTAAACATGTTTGGGGTGTACCCGTCAAAACATAATTATGTACATGTCAGTTTAGATTTAGAAATAAACAGGCAGTGTGTATTATTCCAGGTAAGCTAAGGACATGTTTCATATGCATGTTTACTACATGTTCCGTCTATAAATAGGTTAGTCACCCCGACCTGCTGAGATTGCTTTGTCGTGAACTTGATGAATTATGTAGGGCACATGTATGTAGATACGGTGTTCAAGATCACTCCGGCTTGTACCGCAGAAAGTAACTACAAGATATGTGGTCACAACCAGTGGCTTAGAAAATGATAACATTGACATTGGCAGTTGCCATACACCTTGTAGCTGCTTTGTGTTACAAGCACCTGTGTTCGAGTTATAAATCATGAGATGTTATTGTGAGATGAGATGAGATGTGTTGATAACAACACTAGATGAATTCATAACCACTGCTCCAAACTTGCTAATTGATATTTGAAATACCGTATTCGACGTAATAAGCGCCCACAGCGCTCTCAAAATTAGAAATAGGGGGCACTTATTAGAATATTATTTTGGGGAAAAAAACAGATGAAAGATAAATTTCATGGTTTATGCTGACAGTCTGAAATGTTTATATATGAGATATATTTTTCCAGAATTTAATTGCCCATAGTTAAGGGTGCATATAACACACGAGTGCGTATTATACGCGAATACATAAGTATTGTGTACATTGATCAATCGGAAAGGGTGCTAATTGGGATTGTTCAAGAGCCAAAATATTAGCAAATATCGCCGTGGGCGCTTATTACGTCGAATACGGTATGTCAAGTCTGTTCTCTGTGCGCGTTGGAGTGAAATAGTTTTCACAATGCTATTGTTACAGTGTGCAAGCCCTGATAAATTTGATAGAGATATATTTTGTCTTTTATGATTTCAAATTGTTTCAGATTATTTTGTGACTGCAAAGTTTGTTAAGCATTAAATCACAAATTTTATTCACTGAGACACTCTTATATCGAAGTTTGGCAACAGATGTATCGGTGATTTATCTAGGATTCCCTTGGCAGATAACTTAGGAAAAAGTTGGATTCTTAATCTTTTTATTTTTGTACATTCTGAGGAAAATTTATTTTTAAATTGGGAATTTTTACTGCCTTTTGCTGTAGATTTGGGGTTGAATATCAGCCTCTGTATACATCCCAGTATATAGAGACAACTGCATTTTTGAGTAAATTCTGATAAATCTAGTTTTAGATTCTTCATGTACATGATGTAGGGATATTCCAATTTTTACAACTGGTATGTTTGCACGGGGAAAGAAAATAATTGTCAATGTTTGCTTTGTTAAAAAAACATTTAAACATTACAAAATCTGATTTTTCACTATTCTCTCTATGATGGTGATGACATGTATGCTTTCACCCTAATGATAACTTGTGTACAAGTGTTGCATTGTCTGTCCAGTGACTTAGTGACCAGTCAGCCGCCATTATGAATCTGCAAGAGGATATTAAGACGGATGATCCTGAGATGTACGAACTCATCTGCCAGGAGAAAGACCGTCAACGCAAGGGACTTGAGATGATAGCATCGGAGAACTTTGCCAGTCGCTCTGTACTGCAAGCCTTGGGTTCCTGTCTTACCAACAAGTACTCCGAGGGTCAGCCCGGACAAAGGTAGATTCCAGGTCCTGGTACCACCTACTGGTCATCACTGACTTGCCTGGTCCAGACATGGTTGTTGTCAGGCTAGATGGTGTAGCTGCAGTATTGCTGACTGCAGTGTAACTCAACTTTAAATCTTTAAAACTAGTCAAAATATAATTTAACTGTTCAAACTTTAGTTGTTCCTGGTATGCAAAATGTCGGAAAATATTCCAGCTATGTGATGGCAGTCTGTAAATAATCAAATCTGGACCAGAAAATCCAGTGGTTGATATCATTAGCATTGATTCACCAATTTGGGATACAATGACATGCATCAACCAAGTCAGCGAGCCTGAGCTGCTTACAACAGGCATAGTTGCCTGTTATGGCAAGCATGGGTTGCTGAAGACCTCAGATGATCACAGGTCCTGTAAATATAAATCTAGAGTGATGTGGTGTCTGAGAAAACGTATAATGTGTAATTTGTTCTCAGTTATATCACATTTCGATGCACTAAAAAATGTTCTTGAAAAGTTGTCTGTTATTAAAACAATTCATCTGCTACTGGGAATAAGAGTTTGCGTTCCATATCCTACTCTTTTCTTACACAGATACTACGGTGGCAACGAGATCATCGACAAGGTGGAGTTGCTGTGCCAGAAGAGGGCAAGGGAGGCATTCAGTCTCGACGCTGACCGGTGGGGAGTGAACGTCCAGCCTCTCTCGGGCTCCCCCGCCAACTTTGCAGTGTACACAGCCCTTGTCGAGCCCCATGGGAGGATAATGGGCCTCTACCTGCCTGACGGCGGCCATCTTAGTCATGGCTTCATGACCCAGAACAAACGAGTGTCAGCTACTTCACTGTTTTTTGAGTCCTTCCCGTACAAAGTTGACCCTGCTACGGGTCTGATCGACTATGACAAACTGCGGGAAAATGCTCTCATGTTCCTGCCGAAAATGATTGTTGCTGGTGAGGACATTATGCCATGCAGCTATGAAGTAGGGCTGGGACAAGTCCAAATTACCACCCGGGTGCCCGACCCCCTATTACCCGACCCTACCTGGATACCTACTGTAGGTCCCAAGAGTTGGGTACAAAATGTCCGATTAGGAATTGTTTGGAAATACCCCTTGTAAAAAGTAATTTGATACACCTATAAAACGATGCATACACTAAACTTGACTGAAGCTGTATCATTACTCAAAACGTTTACAAGTCAGAAGGAATGTGCCTCAAGTCAGGAAGATATCCGAACATTTTTAACGATTTGTAGATAACCAAGGAGTTATAGTAGTGATTTTTTTTTCTCATTTAACAATATATCACGTGACTAACCGCGGGTCAAGGTAGTCCTGTTGGTACCTGGGTCCTACTCGGTAAGCACCCTACCCAAGTACCCGAGCTACCCGTCCCAGCCCTAATATGAAGACTCCTTATTTGACTTATTATTACTAAATGTTATTAAAAATAAGTTGCATAATTTAGCAAGACTAGAGCATTTTGCTGTTCATTCTATGACTAATGAAGCTTGCATTTTCTGGATAGCTGTGAAGCCTAGTCTGTTGAGATCTCTTTTAGCATGTTTGATTTGGAGTTACAGAAATAAGTGCAAGATTCATTTGATCTAGCGTATGAAACACTAAGGTCTGTTATTGTAGGTGTGAGTTGCTACTCGAGGAACTTGGACTACAAGCGTTTCCGCGAGATCGCTGACGAGGTGGGTGCGCTGCTACTGGCGGACATGGCCCATGTGAGCGGATTGGTGGCTGCCGGCGAGGTTCCCAGTCCCTTCGACTACTGTGACATCGTCACCACCACGACACACAAGACCCTGCGTGGTCCTCGCTCGGGGATGATCTTCTATAGAAAAGGTAGTCAGTAAAGATGAGAATAATATTTGGTAGTTTCATCTGATGAGTTGGCTTCAATATAGCAGTTAGCAGGTTTGAGAAAAGCGTAACGTTAGTCGTTTATGACAAGCATTGGTTGCTGATGACAAATTCTGTTTGTGCGCTCTTGTTCTCATTAAAATACAGTCATGCAGTTGCAGTTGTGATCCCCAATCGTTGGAAAAGTGATGATGCGTGTAACATGTTCAAGTGTTGCCTGACGTATCCCTGACTGAGGTTGGTTGTTTTGCAGGTGTGCGGAAGGTGCTGAAAAGCGGGGAGAATGTGATGTATGAGCTGGAGAAGAAGATCAACGAGGCTGTGTTCCCTGGCTTGCAGGGGGGACCTCACAACCACCAGATAGCAGGTACACACTTGTCTGCCTGCCTTACAGATATCAGACAGCACGTAAACACTTGTCTGCCTGGCTTACAGATATCAGACAGCACGTAAACACTTGTCTGCCTGCCTTACAGATATCAGACCACACGTAAACACTAGTCTGCCTGCCTTACAGATATCAGACCACACGTAAACACTTGTCTGCCTGCCTTACAGATATCAGACCACACGTAAACACTAGTCTGCCTGCCTTACAGATATCAGACCACACGTAAACACTTGTCTGCCTGCCTTACAGATATCAGACCACACGTAAACACTTGTCTGCCTGGCTTACAGATATCAGACCACACGTAAACACTTGTCTGCCTGCCTTACAGATATCAGACCACACGTAAACACTAGTCTGCCTGCCTTACAGATATCAGACCACACGTAAACACTTGTCTGCCTGGCTTACAGATATCAGACCACACGTAAACACTAGTCTGCCTGCTTTACAGATATCAGACAGCACGTAAACACTAGTCTGCCTGGCTTACAGATATCAGACCACACGTAAACACTTGTCTGCCTGGCTTACAGATATCAGACAGCACGTAAACACTAGTCTGCCTGGCTTACAGATATCAGACCACACGTAAACACTAGTCTGCCTGCCTTACAGATATCAGACAGCACGTAAACACTAGTCTGCCTGGCTTACAGATATCAGACCACACGTAAACACTAGTCTGCCTGCCTTACAGATATCAGACAGCACGTAAACACTAGTCTGCCTGGCTTACAGATATCAGACAGCACGTAAACACTAGTCTGCCTGCCTTACAGATATCAGACAGCACGTAAACACTAGTCTGCCTGGCTTACAGATATCAGACCACACGTAAACACTAGTCTGCCTGGCTTACAGATATCAGACAGCACGTAAACACTTGTCTGCCTGGCTTACAGATATCAGACCACACGTAAACACTTGTCTGCCTGCCTTACAGATATCAGACAGCACGTAAACACTAGTCTGCCTGCCTTACAGATATCAGACCACACGTAAACACTAGTCTGCCTGCCTTACAGATATCAGACAGCACGTAAACACTGTTATTTGTAGGCTTGGTACAGTGGGGTGGATTATTTGTAGATTGTGGTTATAGTTGGGTGGATTATTTGTAGGTTGGATTATTTGTAGGCTTGGTACAGTGGGTTGGATTATTTGTAGGCTGGTTACAGTGGGGTGGATTATTTGTAGGCTGGTTACAGTGGGATGGATTGTCTGTAGGCTTGTTACATTCTGAATATTGTAGGCACAAAAGAAATTAGAAAATTAACTCTTGCGATTCATTGTAATCCAAATTATGGTATTTAAGAATATTCTGACAGCCTCTACATTTGCACATTGTTATCATACATGTCCTCCTCCCTATACAGCTGTAGCTGTAGCCTTGAAGCAGGCCGCGACGCCGGAGTTTAAGGCATACCAGAAGCAGGTGATGGTCAACGCCAAGGCATTGTGCACTGGACTGCAGAACAAGGGATACACCATCGTGTCGGGTAAGTGTGCCCACCGTAGTTTCACTGTCGTGTGTGTGTGTCGCCATCGTATCAGGTGCGTGTGCCCACTGTCGTGTGTGTGTCGCCATCGTATCAGGTGCGTGTGCCCACTGTCGTGTGTGTGTCGCCATCGTATCAGGTACGTGTGCCAACCGTAGTTTCACTGTCGTGTGTGTGTGTCGCCATCGTATCAGATGCGTGTGCCCACTGTCGTGTGTGTGTCGTCATCGTATCAGGTATTTGTGTGTCACAAATAACAGCATGGAAGAATTGAAGAAAATCAGCACAGAAATTCTTTGTGCCCGTGGGGATTCCATGTAAAAATTGGTCCCTTGCAATCTACGCTTATGATTAGAGAGTACTTAGGGCACTTGTGGCAAGGCTTGTGTGACATCACAACCTGATGGCCTGGACTGTTGCTCATACAATCACTGGATAATCTAGTCCAGTCCTATTTACTGCCCGCCTTCATATAGCTTCAGTATTGCTGAGTGCGTTGTTAAATAAAAAACAACACACACTAATATATGGCTAATATCTGGCACTACCTTGTTAGTTTCTCATCTTTCAAATCCTTTCTAATTCAAATAAAAATCTTGTGACATGAAATTGAATCATTTCTGAGATGCTCTATAACCTGATCTGAGCTAACACTAAGATGCCATGCTTTCAGGTGGGACCGACACACATTTAGTGTTGGTTGATCTCCGACCTAACAAGTTAGATGGAGCGCGTGCAGAGAAGGTGCTGGAGGACATCGGTATTGCCGTGAACAAAAACACCTGCCCTGGCGACAAGAGTGCCCTGAAGCCGAGCGGACTGCGCATCGGCACCCCAGCTCTCACCTCACGTGGAATGAAAGAGGGAGACTTTGACCGAGTTGTTGAATTCATTCATCAAGGTGGGAGCACAGTGTCCTCAATGGTCCATATACATACATACATATACCGCATTCAATGTAATAAGTGCCCCACTCTTATAGCGCCCACGGCAGTATTTGCTCATTTATTGGCTAGTGAACAATCCCTATTAGCACCTCTTCTGATTGATCAATGTACACAAGACTTATTTACTTGCGTATAATACGCACTCGTGTGTGATATGCACCCTTAATTATGGGCAATTAAATTCTTGAAAAATATATCTGTCGTACGTAAACATTTATGCTGTGTACCCGACACTGATTCCCCTTATCGAGAATATGCTGTGTCCCGACACTGATTCCCCTTATAGAGAATATGCTGTGTACCCGACACTGATTCCCCCTATTGAGAATATGCCGTGTACCCGACACTGATTCCCCCTATTGAGAATATGCTGTGTACCCGACACTGATTCCCCCTATTGAGAATATGCCGTGTACCCGACACTGATTCCCTTTGTTGAGAATATGCTGTGTCTGACACTGATTCCCCCTATTGAGATATGCTGTGTACCTGACACTGATTCCCCCTATTGAGAATATGCTGTGTACCTGACACTGATTCCCCCTATTGAGAATATGCTGTGTACCCGACACTGATTCCCCCTATTGAGAATATGCCGTGTACTCGACACTGATTCCCCCTATTGAGAAGATGCTGTGTACCCGACACTGTTTCCACTTATTGAGAATATGCCTTGTGCCCGACACTGGTTCCCCCTATTGTTACCCTACTTACACCAGACCTCTTCTTTCAGCCATCCTCCTCACTCAAGAAGTCGTGAGCTCGAGCGGACCAACATTACGCGAGTTCAAGACAAAGCTGGCTACCGACCCAGAAGTGACCAGCAAGGTCAAGGCCCTGAAGAGCAATGTGGAGGAGTTTGCAGTCAAGTTCTCTCTGCCCGGCTTTGAGGACTGGTAGATGGGAATACATGGCCCGAAACGGGATAAAAATCATTGATAACGACCTGCCCTGACCATGGATATCTCAATCAGCATGCTGTGCTCTTCATCGGTCTCTCTTTCCTTGTGCTTTGGATCAGTGTATGGACATCGTCATCTGCCATCAACTGATGCTTTCATGTACTACCATAACGACACACTTTTTGTTATAATTGCTTCACTGATTTTTTTAACAGGAATATATACCTATCTTGGCAAGCAGTTCAGGTTTTTTTATAGTTTTCTTCTCCACTATTAAGGTGGACAGGTATAGAAAAATAAAAATGGTTATATGTGGGAGGACCTGCAACACAGCTGTTGCTTTAGGCAATGCCAACCTGATGATTCAAGTGGGAAGCTGTTGTGCGTCTGCGTCCTATCAATTTCAGGAAAAGCATAAAAACTATTTTGACTCCCGTGTATAATGTCAACTTCAATAGGTCCTTGTTTTGAAATATGTTTTGGCTGCAATTGGCTATCAACTTATTGGAGGAATGAAAAAAGCAAATTTAGGTGTGGCCTAAAGTTTGGTATTTGGAGTTACTAAGACTCAAAGAATTTGAAACATTTCTACAATTAGAAATTGGCAGTACTGACTAAGTCTGTATCTCCTATTGAAACATGCTCTGATTGTTTAGTGCAGTGCTGTGTGAATGATTTTCTGCCAGTCGAGAGAGAATGTTGTTGATTCATCCTTTTGTATTCATAGATTCACTGGTTTATGGTGGTTGTAGGACTCTCCTATAAGATGAAACTTTTTTTATGACTGGTATTTTTTCATATTCAGTTCATTTGTAATGGTTTTTTCACATCATCATCATTAACAGCCGATTACCTAAATATTGGGGGGGGGGGGGGGGAGAGAGAAATGTACTCCCTGACCCATCCAGATGTGTTTATATTAGTTTCATACTATAACTAAAGCAAAGTATTGAACTAAACATTAACAACATTCTAGAAATCCATGAAGTTTAACACTGGGTTCATACATATTTGAAGTGTTTTGACAGCAAAGAATGATAGATTGTGGGCACATGAATATCAAGAAAAGTGTACCTTACAGAAATTCAGTCAACATGGTTAACAGAAAAGATAGCAACAAACGTATATGCCAGTGATTGCTCACAGGGTGTTGGGGGGGGGGGATCTTGAAAACTACTTTGTGTGTATGAACCCAGGAGCCATATGTGTAGAACCTCAGAGCCCCACTTGGTGCCTTTAAGTGGAGCCTGACTGGTGTTGTGTAGAACCTCAGAGCCCCACTTGGTGCCTTACAGTGGAGCCTGGCTGGTGTTGTGTAGAACCTCAGAGCCCCACTTGGTGCCTTACAGTGGAGCCTGGCTGGTGTTGTGTATAAAGTTGTTGGGAAATGTGCACTGTAGTGATGTCTCGGGAGTCGCTACAGCAACTTGTATCTGCCACAGATGGATGTATCAGCTGTGGCACACTGGCAGACGTGGATGCTACGTATCCCATTTTAAGTATGATGTCACTGTGGGATACATGTGCTTACACTACTTGAATGTGTTGAGTATTACAATTATTGTTATGAATAAAATAAAAAAATATTCATATTTTGTGTTGAGTTTTTCAAATACTATCTAGGAACAAGCAGGCCCTGTGCTGCAGTTTCCTCAAGGACGAATACTTGCCACCTGTCTTCAGTCTATCATCACTGCTTGACTGCCAACATTTACAGACAGCTGGGTCTTAATTGAATACTGGTGATCTGTTATCTGATACAAGGAACTTTGGCTGTGTTCTTTAGAAAGGACTTAATGCCACTAAAAAGAATAGGTCTGAGAATACCACTAATTGAACGACACAATTTGATGTTCATACGTTTTTCACGAGACCATGTTCTTAAAATGACATAAACACTGACGGACTACTTCCACATTCCTGGGAATTCCCTTGCACGAAAACATACATAAGCGTTCTTTCTGATAATTTAGAACCTTTATTCTTGGTCTCAGCGTTTCAGTTTACATTGAGACATGTCAGAGAGCATGACTGCATGATTGTTCACGAATATCCTCGCTACGGCCTATCCTAATGAACAAACGAAGAAATGCACATCTAAACTATCGTAGTATCAACTCGATCCGTGCCTAGGCTGACATTGACCGTCTCCAGCAATCTGTGAACTTGCCTTGGTGTCCTAATCTTTACTTTCAATGATCGGCCAGTTGATCAATGATGACTAACACATGTAACTGCTACAGGTTCATTAACAACTTCGTAAATCTCTCCCGTCATGTTTATCGTGTCGGCCATTTTGACGTCTTGTACTTGATCTAAATGTATACTGAACACCAAAAGAAACGCGAATCAAGAAGGTATAGGAAACATGATGTATTTTGTTTCAGCTGGTATAAACATAATAATGATGGATACAACACAATTCAATAGCAATAAGAAAGAGTCAGTTCTCTGGACATCAGACATCTTCTGTAGCCATCAACACAACACCATGTGGCCATGCTGAAGTCAACTGAAGTATGGGTACACCTCAATACCTGGTATGGCCCCCATTTGAATTCACAAGCGCGACACACCGTCTGTGCATGGACGGTGTGAATAAGACGGTTGGTAGTGTTCATGGGGATGTGACGCCACACCTGCAGGATGGTAATCTCGAGCTGTGCAGCTGTCCTTGGCCACAGTGACACTTTTGTGGCTTTTAAAGACAACATCTTCACGGACAGTTTTTGCGGCATAAGCAGCACGTGCATTTCGTGCGTATCAATCCCACACTGACATAACGTCGGTGCGTTTGAGTGCTGTGGATTAAGAGTCTACTGCCCTTAACTCTGGTTAGGGTCATTTTGAAACAATTAAAGCCCATTACAATGGAACCATAGCAGCCAACCATTTTCACAACAATTTTCCCATATTAAATAGGAACTTGAAGATTTCGCGTTTCTTTTGGTGTTCAGTATATTACGAGGCACTGTCATTGTGGCTGACTTAGTGAGGTAGTTCTTTACAGACCTTACTCATCTAATAAGGATATGATGCGTAAGATGTTTCTGAAGAGCAAGTTGTGCATCCATACGCCCATGTCACCTCTTTTTGAGGAACTATTTTACTCCGTGTTATATAGCTGGTTGTTGTATGGCTGTCAGTGTAAACAGGAAGTCACATGAAAAAAGTGTTTAGATCATGGCCTACATCCTTTGAGGTAAGAAATTGTGACAAAAACAATTATAAGAATTGACTTTCACTTTGTGTGAGATCATTGGAGTATGAACCTTCATAGGGTGAGGGCCAAACATTGTATGTTGCAAGCTCCGACATTCATACAGTACAAAACCTTTAGGAATGGTCCTTCCATTTGGAACAAGGTCACTCGAATACACCACTTCGTGACTGAAGCGGTGAGTGTTTCATGTTGAAGTGGAAGGTATTCAGATTGTAGATGTTTAACACTTCGGGGACAGGATCAAGGTTCATAATCAGGTCCAAAAAATGGGATTTTTAACCCATGATCAGCAGATTCCAACATGGCAGCATGCACAAATTACAGAGTCGCCAAGGATCACAGATGACTGATTCATTACAAGACAGATTCAAGGAGTACATGTTTATTTCAAGGTCAAGGCGCATCATTCATACATCATCGCTTCCCCAACCTACAGACACCTAGACTAGGGCTGTCCCCGACTGGTAATATCTTTGTTGAACTTATACAAGACATTTCTTACTATAGTAGAATTTGGAGAACTATTTAACAACTATCCGATTCGAATTGAAAATCGGGTTAGAAAATATTCCCAAGTCATCCAGTCCTCGAGAAGTAACATTCAGAAAGAACTAGTGACATTACCTGGTGGATTACAACTCGGTAGTAGATAAGGACTTGTGAAAACAGGAAAGAATTGGGGCCAAAGCAATACTGAATACTATTCCGATGACATCTTCCAGCACATTCAGACCCCACCGGGTATTACAAGTATATATCAATTGTGGAATATATTTCCAAGTAGTGTTCTGTAATGACAGTTGACCCAAGTTAAACAATTCTATGTGTACCAATTTGTGAACCTGGAGATACTCCAGTAGAGTGACTACGTCGATGACAGCCCGAGCATACTATCTTGTACAGCAGCACAACTATACCTGGTATCAGCCAGGCTCTTCATGGCACTAGGAATTACTCTCTGCAACTCTAATCTATCACACATTCACACAAATAACAAGATGAAATATCGGTATATACAACGCCAATCCATGTCTCTCTAAATGCCTGGCAACCAATAAAGGTGCCTTCTGCTCCAAGGTCAATGCACCATTGGGGGAACTGTGTCGACGATCCTACTGTCTTTGCTGTACAATGTGGTCAAACACTGAATGGACGATGATAACAACTAAACATATCCATGAATACTTGAATAATGAAATGCTAACATGCCTGTCGAAGTGTTAGATGGTTGCCACAAGTAGCAAAATTTATCAACTTAAAATTTTTATGATCTTCTTCTGTCATATATTGACCAAATCAATAGGAATTAAAATGCCACCTGGCCAATTACTACTGTAATCTTGGAAACGGAGCTACACACTCTGCATTTCAGATATGACCTTAAACCATGGTCATTTGACTACCAGCACATTCAATGCAAAAGTAACAAAAAAACAAGTCTGTGCCATGAGCCACTTGTCAAAGTCTCGTGAATACATTGTCAGTTTACTCCATAGGTCAAGATCGTCTGTGTTCAAATACATAATACAAGGTATCCAACTTGTGTTCATAGATGTCGCAGTGTTCGATTCATCTTCCTCATTCACAGTAACGCCATGTACATCAGATGTATGTAAATGCAGTCACATGTCAGTCGATTGGCCAATGAAATCATCCCCAAACTGGCCAATCAGTCGATCTCTACCTCTCCTCCAACTGCAATGAGCGTCTCCTTCAGTTTCTCCGCCTCGTCCTTAGGAATATCAGCCTTAACTACCTGGGGTAGGGAATCAACAAACTTCTTGGCCTGCAAAAAATAACGTCCTTGTAAAAAAGGTCACATATAGTAAAGTAAAAGTGAATGCAGTCAGTTGAATTCCAGCTTAATACAGCAGCCTATAAATACAGCATAAATAACAATGGACCAGGTAAACCAAAGTTACCACTGTTTAATACTTGTACAGCATACCCAGGTGAGCTAACAAGTTACCATTGTTTAGTACTTGTACAGCATATCCAGGTGAGCTAATGAGTTACCATTGTTTAGTACTTGCACAGCATACCCAGGTGAGCTAACAAGTTACCTTTGTTCAGTACTCGTACAGCATATCCAGGTGAGCTAACGAGCTACCATTGTTAAGTACTCACACAGCATACCCAGGTGAGCTAACAACTGATTTCTTTTCCAAAAACATATTTGCCTTTTTCAATTTCCTCTCACCTGTACCAAATTCATCCCTGATATAAGATTTTTAATTTCTTTGATGACTTGAATTTTTTTGCTCATATCAATCTTGACAAGTTTCACGGCAAAAGCCATCTTCTCTCTTTTAGGTGCCACTTCTTCCTCTTCCTCCTCCTGGAAAAAGAAACACACTGAAACAATGTAGACTATCTGGTCAGTAGGGGCTCATCTAGGTCAGATTTGACTGGAGGATTATAGACAACCTGTCTTACTCAGATCATCACTGGCTTGGGATCTAGAGCTAAGCCTTCATGAAAAGTACCTCAACCAACAAATAGAGATGGGAACAGAAAATACACAACCAACAAAAGAAATTATTCCAGACTTTATCTCATTTAAACACTATTGAAGTCCACTATCAAAGCAACAGCCAGAACACGGCATATTGCGAAACTTGCCACCTGCACCCCTCAATAAGCAATAATTTTATTCCAAAATTTATTTTCAATTTCTCCAAACTATGACAAATTCTGTTTGGTAGTGTTTTGTTTGTTTGTTTGTTGTTTAACGCCGCACCCCGCAATATTCCAGCTATACGACAGAGGTTTGTAAATAATCGAGGCTGGACCAGACATTCCAGTGATTCACATCATGAGCATCGATCCATGCAACTGGGAGACAATGACATGCATCATCAACCAAGTCAGCGAGCCTGACCACCCGGTCCCGTTAGTTGCCTCTTCCGACAAGCATAGTCGCCTTTTATGGCAAGCATGGGTTGCTGAAGACCTCTTCACGGGTCTGTTTGGTACTGCTTGTACTAGTCCGGACTGATGCTGATTTATAGTGCTAGCACACTGAGATACCATGCCGCAGTTTAACATGAATACCCCACTCAAACACAGTATACTGACTCTGAGCCGACCAGTCCTTGTTTTAGCCCCTTACTGCCAAGCGCCAGACATGGTAACAACAAGTACCATCTTTTAACACCTTTTGGTATGACGCGGTCAGGGATCGAGACCCAACCTTCCGCTCTCCGGGAAGACTCTCTACCACTAGACCACGGAGGTAGTCAACTAGTCCAAGAAGCAGCTACTGGACATCACTGCTCAATAGTGCATACAAGAACTCTCCGACACTTTGATGAGATAAACATAACTTGATCACTGATCAACCTGATTACGTCCAGTCTTACCCGAGCTGCTGGTGCTGCCGAGGCTCCCATTGCCATCATGGGCGTGTCGGAGATGTTCAGGTTTTTCTGGAAAACAAAAACTAGTTCAATAATAGAGTAACACTGAAAGGAATTCTACATGTGAGGTAACATGGAGTTGTATGTTTAAGTTCAATATTATCGCACTTATATAGAAACATGCATGTGACTGCGTCTACCAGGCTAGAATTATGCTGGTTTACAGTGCTAGCTAACTGAGATACCATGTCACAGTTTAACATGAATACACCACTCAGACACGGTGTATTGACTCAGGACACGCCAAGCAGGGTAACAACAAGTACCATGCGTAAATGTCTTTAAGAATAACACAGTCAGGGGATTGAAACACAGACCTTCCACTCTCCGGGGCAGACGTTCTATCTACTACACCATGGAGACAGTTGCCATGAATACTAGAGGAGACTCTACAATGCATGTTTCACTGAAGCCCAAAAAGAATAATGTGTTTTTTGATTACAACCCATCTAAAGATAGAGTAGGCTAAGGTTTATTTGTAAGGTTACTTAAAGCCACACTCAGCAATATTCCAGCTATATGATGAGAGTCTGTAAATACTCAAGTCTGGACAGGAAAACCAGTGATTGACATCATGACATCATGAGCATTGATCTTGGGAAACAATGACATGCATCAACCAAGTCAGCAAAACTGACCATCTGATCCTGTTAGTCAACTCTTACGACAAGCAAAGTCGCCTCCTAAGACAACCACAGGTGGCTGAACATCAATTCTAACCTGGATCTGGGCAGGATAAGGATTTTTTAAACTTTTTCGTTTCTCTGAAAAACAATAATATTCACCGACAGTAAAAGCCTGCTCACAAAGATAATAACGGAAGTGGAACACATGTAGTGGCACTGGGAGGGTGGTAGAAGCTATGGTTCCAATCATGAAAAATGAGAAAAAGGTTCAGAGTCCGGCTTCAGATAAGTGTTCGAAAACTGGCAACACGCCTACATCTTGTCTGTTGTGTCAACGACATCTTCATTGTTCAGTGTATTCAGACAAGTAAACAGTACAAAATTATCATGACAGCACTTACCTTGAGAAGCTCATTTAAGTCTGCCACTTCAAACAATGTGAGGCCACTTATCTCCTCCACAATCTTCTGTATTTTTGGAGGGTACTGTTTGTCTGTGCCTTCGGCCTGTGGAGGGGGGATAACTCCTGCACTGCACGCCCGTACTGAGGCAGTCCTGGGCAGGGCCTGGAGGGCAGCTTGCTGGCGACACACCAGCCTGAAGTGAAGAGTCTCTGTGAATTGTTTGTGGTATGAACTACATGTATTTCTGCCATGTTACAGAAACAAAACAGCTTGAAGAGTCACCAGAAATACATCTTAATTTTCCTTACAAGCCTCTGGAGCCTATATATATATGACACATTATCTTTCCTGATTGTGAGTGAGCGATTTGCTTTTAACATCACTTGTAGCAGTATTTTCAGCATCACGTGGGAAGAGAGTGCAAGGCTTGCAGACATGGTAGGGTATTCACCATTTTGGTGAAGCGCATGAATCATGTACATTATCATGAGAATCATTGTCTGTCAGAATCTGGGATTCAAACATACGCTCGCTGCAAAGCAAAACCATTTGAAGAAACAAACAGAATGAAACACTTCCAACACTGCTACCATATATCTCATGTGTGCTGGGTACATGTCAATGTATATCTACCAACCACTGTACGTGTATGGGTATTGGACATACGTTTCATAACTTGGGTTACAATGTGTGAAGAGAGGTTTACCCAAAATACTGTGTTCAGTTATGTATAGCTGCCTGTTGTCTCACTGACCATCACAGATCTCACTTAAATCTCTTTCCTATCTCAGTGTGATCAGTTTAGAATTTTACATCTTCACAAGCCCTTGGGTCCCTTACAATATTTTTGGCTAATAGTTTTTTAGGCCTACAGTAATAATCATAACAGAAATGGGATAAAAATGACTACTCACTGAAATTACCATATCAAATTATGTACGTGTACAACTTGTACAAGAGTTATGTAGAAGTAGAGTTGAGGTAAGGGTAAATGTTTCTTAACATTACAGTCAAGATTATTGCACTTATATAGCGACATCAGTGCATGCGTTCACGCAGTGTGTCTGCTTCTACTATTCAGGACTATGCCGATTTTTAGTGCTAGCACACTGAGATACCATAATGCAGTTTAACATGAATACCCCACTCATACACAGTACACTGACTGAGCCGACCAGTCTTTTATCCCTGTAATGCCAACTGCTAGGCATGGTAACAACAAGTAACATCTTTTGGTATGACACTCCGGGCAGACGCTCTATCCACTAGACCACAAAGGTATAGATGACAGTAGAGAAAGTTGTAAGTTCATTTGTAGTGATTATCAGTGGCGTGAGTGGAATTCAGAGTTACCACCTCTGGTTGTTTACAAACAAGACAAGCTTCATTAATCGAGAAGTTTCAAGATGGGACAGCTTCCTGATGGTTGGCTGTACCTATACAAGAGTGACACAAGGGCGATTTAAGATCTTTTTCAACCTGATTTGTGACTTGTCTACTTGCCAAATGCCCTTTGGATACCTATATGAGAACACTGGACGCTGACAACTCTGAACATTCGTGAGTGCCCGTTAATTCTAGGGCCTGTTACATAGCTGTAACTGCAGCCACTCATTTGACTGATTGTATTGCATTTTTTTGGTAAACCTGAAAAAGTATTTGTAGATAACTTGTTGATTATTTATTGATCTTTTGTGGTCATTTACTAATTTCATTGTTCAATGTGTTTCAATTTGGAAATCACAAGGGACATATTTTAGAGAATACATCACAGTATAAGTAACCTACCTGATCGAAAATAGAACGACGGACAGTAAGGTCAAAGAAAGTTTATCATAGTTGGGTTCCTACCAATTTCAGCATATTAAGATGTAACTTGGTTTATTCGTATTCATACCGAAACAGTGTCTCATTGTCTGCCACTTACCTTCTGCAGTAGTTTGACAGCCTCGATGCCATGACTAAAGATCTTGAAGCAAGCATTTCACCCCACATGCACGAAGATGTCAAACACGAGATGAATGCTTTCAAAGGCTGTGATTGGATAAAAGTACTTACCTAACACTGTACTTCCGTTTCCGTCGAAAACACGTGTTCGTGTTACGGTGCAAGGGCTGTCTAGAAACAACTGTTACTGTAACTTAAATAACCGACAGAATTGTACATACTGGGAATAATAACTGGAACTAGTGCACGCCCGTTGTCATCTTCCAGCCGGAAAATGCCAAAGGCACCTAAAGCCAAGGTTGGTCAAAACAAAAAACCCATTCATCCTAACAGCAGGAAGGCAGCTGCGTTGTCAAGGAAAGCGTTTCGGGATGTGCGAATTTCTAAAGATAAATCGGCAAGAAGTAAGCTGGATGTTCTAGCGGAAAAATGTGACTGGTTCAGGGAAAACATTGACTCCGACAAATCTGTGTATACGAGGGAAGAGCTTTGTGAACTCAGTAATCGCTACTTACACAGGTTTGATGACGAGATTGAGCAGATTGATATTGTGTCTCGGATTGGAAACCGACAAGGCAATCAGCACGCCTCCAGGCTAGCGGCAATAAAGCTGACCCAGGACAGTGACAAGAATGAGTTGGAGAGTGTTGGACTTGATGTTCCCGATTTAATGAACAAATCAACCTTCAGTGAGTTTAAACTGTGGGGCGGTGAAACAAAATATGTTCAGAATTTCAAGCTGAAGAAAATCCACACAAGTGATATAGACAAAGTTGATGAGGAAAATATTACAAATAATGACAGTGATGACGAAAGTGATGTTGACCAGGCCTGAACCTGATTCAGACCAGAGAAATATGTTAACACATTGACCTGTGTAAATAAGATGGTAAATTGTTCAGCCTCCACATTTAGGAAATTGAGATGTGACATGTCCTTTCAAATGGAAAGGTTTTGGACAAATGAATAAATCGAACTCTTGACTGGATCTAGTTCATGCTTCATTTTGTGTTCAGCAATGCGCTGTGCCAGAAATGTATCGCGGGTTTGAATCCCTGATTAGCTCTGGTCATATTTCTTTAAAAATTGTTTGTCAGCACCATACCCATGTTCACTCGCTATGGCTCCTTAGATCCTGATTGCAGGGGTTAGTACTTGCAGCCCCAGAATTGAATTGTATGTCACTGGGCATGTTGTTTTGTATGGTACTTGTCCACAAAATACATAAGCTGGTATCATGTGTTCACAATGGAGAAACACTTCTCCCTGCTAAATATCAACTGATTGTGAAGAGATGAATGCCCTTGAGTACGGGTGTTATTGATGGGAAATTTAGGTACTTAAAAAGAAATCACAATATATTGATTAAGAATAAAATTAATTATGATGCATTTGTTGAGATCAAAATTACGAATGTAGACCTAAAATTAATGCAAAATATGAACTAAGCTGATCCATCAAAATGTTTAAAATTCTAACTGTCCCTCTTCACCATGGCAATCTTATATGTTTGTTTATTGTTTAACGCCACAATCCGCAATATTCCAGATATATGATGGCAGTCTGTAAGTAATCGAGTCTGGACTAGATTATCCAGTGACATCACAAGCATAGATCCATGCAATTGGGATACGATGACATGCATCAACCAAGTCAGCAAGCCTGACCACCTGTTAGTCGCCTCTTACGGCAATCTTATAATGTGAATTTTTCTGTGGAAGTGACTTAATAATTTAGTATCGATATTCATAAATTTGTATCGATGCATCAACATTAATAAATCATCAACTTCAAGATTTATGACCTACTTTATCTGTCATTGCTTCACCAGCTGAGCATTTCAAGTACTGGTAATGTTGCTGTGCATTCTGCAGTGGAAGACTCTGTGTCTTGTATTAAAGAACATTCATGTTAATGATGGTCAAACATATTATGGTGATGGACCGTGGTAGAATTATCGCCTTCTGAATACTGGGTCTTATTCTGGAGGCAGCATGATCATGTAACAAGTGAATGTTTGATAGGATGTTGCATGCTGCATCAGTGATTTTGCAGACAGAGATTTTCGCGACCATCACCTGATGCATTTCCTGTCCTCTTCATATCTGATGTGGGTTCTGATAAAAGTTGATCTCTGTGAAGCACCACTGAACCGGAGCAACTAAAGAATATGGATTGATACAAATAATAAGTCTCTAGCTGTCCTGAATTCTGACATTTCTTGAATGCCACAATTAATATGGCAGCACTGTCCCTGTAACATTCATTATATTGTCAATTGTCTTGAAACTCAGATTTGAGTTTTGACTTCAAAATAACCTAAAACATCAATATTGTTATTTATGAACAGATAGCACTTGGCATTAAACAAGTAATTTTCAGCAAAATAACTCAATAATAGTGACAGAAGCAGCCAGTGCATCATAAGACAGGACCCAGTTGCTGGTAACTTACAGTGGAAAGAAAAGCAAGTGGTAGCATGTACCTAGGACCAGTCAGTATATACTACCAGAATCGAAAGACATTACAGAACACCCAATTATTTTCGTATGACTAGTTTTATCTGTAATGGCTGGTGGGTATTGAAACCAATTGTGGATGTTGTTTAATTTGTTTTCAGTAGTATACAAGAGTGGATGTTATATCAGTATCAAACTTGTAGTCACACAGGTTCCTCAACAATCAAATACTTGTGAATTCTCCACTCAGGAATATTCCTCGTCCACAACAGGTGGTGTATCAGACACTACCAGCAACCCTGTTCACAATGTTGATTTTGTGTCCTTCATCATTGTTTAAGCATGTTATCAATTTGCCGACATATTTTCAATAATAAACTACAGACAATAACAGCACGGACTCGCTGTCACAGACAGTGTTCTTTTTGTAAATCCCTAGCATCAGGAATGAAGTCCCATAGCCTGAAAGTTTAAAAGTACATTCAAGCAAGGAACCAAAGGTCATCTTTAGATTTATTCCTTGGAAATTAGATTTTGTATTACTGATTATGTCCTGCTTAACAAAAGCGAGTGTGAGAGCTTTGAACCATGTTCATGTTGTCACCAGAGCAACAAATAGGAGCTGATTAAACACAACAGCATACACAGACGCTCCTCCTCACAGTGGGCCAAGATGGCTCTGATGCAAGATTGCTGTCAAAACCCCATCCCTTTGACCAGGCAGAACCCTCCTTGGACAACTGGACATCCCAAACTATTCAGAACATACAGCATAGCAGTATGTCACCATCATGCACATATTTCAGAGTTGATCGACCCGTGAAGATTTGGGGTAGAATAGGTCTTCCAACCCATGCTTGCCGTAAAAGGCGACTAACGGGAAGGAGTATGTTCAAAGGTGTATAGAAGAAGTTCATGTTTTGCATGTGAAAAGGCGTCCTTAAAGGTTTCAACTATGCAGGCTCAAGTTTCAGGTTAGTTTGAACTGCCAAAAGTCATTGCATCATAATTTTTGGCTAGTATAGCAAGCAGTTCGAAGTGACCATTGTCTAGTCTACAAGCCATTAATATCTGCATGGCGTAGCCAGTGACAGTGGACACCATGTAAAGAATGCCAGGCACCATGGTTACTGTGCAGCTTTTCTTCTCGGTACTTAAACTGTTAAATACTAAACTTTAATTATAACCTTGAAAAATTTCATTAAAAATCTAATTGCGTAGGAGCTTTAGTCTGAATAATGGTTCAATTCAAACTTAATAATTGTGTTTAGGGATGTATTCTCGTGGGGCAACGATATTAAGGGATGGCTGTCATGGAAAGATGGCGACAAGGAAGTGGAAGTTGCCAAAATTGATCACATTTACTGGTATTTGGGGAGAGTTCTATTTTCTCAAATTAACAAAAAATCATAAACTTTGATCATAATTTAGGGACTGGTCATTATTATATGTAAAGACATCTGAATTTGCCACATTTATTAATCCCGCAACAAAAACCTGATGGCATATTTCACGAAAAACGTTTTCTAAACAAGGACCCACTGCTAAATTCTATGCCGATGTTCAATAAACACAGGGTTTGCCCTGACAAAGAAAACCTGCGTATTAGAGAATCAAGATGTTTTTATGTATGTTTTTAATAAAAAATATAATTCATTACGAAATCTAATATCAATTAGTGTTTTCTTAAAATGACCCCCTTCAAAAGACAAGACTCCCTGTATTACAGTTAGGGAGTCATAATGGAAACAAAGTTCTTAATTTACACCAGCCTACCAGTTGAGGAGAAAACTCAGCTCAAGATAATAGCTCTATTTTTCATCTACCAACAGATATTTATGGTGTGGCTTAGCTGTTTCATGTACAGCAACTGCTATTACTGTTACCTGGTTTGTTTCAACCACTTATCAGACCCGTGAAGATCCGGGGAAGAATAGGTCTTCAGCAACCCATTCTTGCCCTAAAAGGCGACTATGCTTGTCGTAAGAGGTGACTAACAGGATCAGGTGGTCAAACTCGCTGACTTGGTTGATGCATGTCATCGATCCCAATTGCGTGGATCGATGCTCAAATCAATCACTGGATTGTCTGGTCCAGACTAGATTATTTACAGACTGCTGTCACATAGCTGGAATATTGCTGAGTGCGGTGTAAAACAACAAACAAATCAAACCAACCACTTATCAGTTCAAGGACATTTGGTCAATATCCTAAATCTAGACTTATGTGTGCGTGAATTATTCATTTGAAGGATTGTGTTGATATGTTTGATAAATGCCATCTTCCTGAGGCAAGAGTGTTCACTTTTACCATCTTTTTATGTCTTTTTACCATCATCTTTGTCAGGGATGAAAAAGTGAATGTTTTTGTTATCTGAGCCATTGCCATCTTTTTGAAGCTATGAGATAACAGCGATCTGATTGGATATCGCATTTTTATTACATGGGGCACCACTCGTGATCTATGCAAGGTGGCGCTAGGGTCGAAACTAGGCTTTGATATAGGCTAGTGGCCACATTTGCCTCGAGAAGATGGATAAACGCTGCACACAGCAATATGACATAGTCTTGACCAGACATCTTCCTGAGGCAAGAGACTGACCTTAAAAGTCCAGTTTCCACCCTTGCCGAACTATGCTGGTATTATGGAGTTACATTTTAGCTGGACTAACGAGTCTATGCAGAGTCCTATCAAAATCGCACACCGAAATTGAAATCCGGTTCGTAAACTGTCAAGCAGATTTCGGTCGATTGCGGGATTTGCAAAACATGTGCACCGCTAACTTGTCAACAGATATTTTCTAGATCTTTTCAAGTTTTTAATCAAGGTGCTCACGTGATTTGATGCATTTTGCGATGTAAGACACGTTTTATCACAATATAGATCTTGATTATCGATCAGATCTTCTTGACTGGGCGCCGCCGTTTTATTTGAAATAAATGCAAGTGATACAAGAGGTGGAATCTGATTGGTCCATAGGAGAGGCATAGAAGCCACATAACGTGTTATAGCCACTGGTGGCGCTCCGATCGAGCCCAGGAATTCAAGCCTAGTTCGGCAAGGGTGGAAACTGACCTTTTATAGTCAGTTAACTCACTTGCCTCGGGAAGATGGGACCAGACGCCAATACTGTGAGCAGCAATCCACAAATCTGATGACACAGTCGAACAAGTTGCAAAGTCTGACCACCCCATCTATTTGGTTGCCCTTACAACCAGCAAAGATTGCTGGGATCTAGTCTAAATTTCTAACACAGAATCACCATATGCCAACATGGAGAAATAGCTAGATACTTAGACTAGATAGCTAGACACCATTCAAGACAAGTCAGTTTGTTATAATATTTATTCACAGATAGCTTCAGTACATAAATGTGCAAATGCTCATATTGATTTGTAGTAAAATTCTGTCCATATAGCAGCACAAAGTCCGGAGATGAAAAACTGTACATATCCCCGGAACTCCCACAAATGTCTAACAATGTTCTATTGTCGGTTGTTCACATTTCTTTAACTTTCTTCATTATCTTCTATCTTAGGAGCCAGGTAGTAACGGAGGTAGCCCATGTCTTCAATCTTGTACTCCACAACTGAAACAGCAAATGATACCATGTAGGCATGCACAAATTCATCAAGTCTTGACATATTGTCTTTGTCCAGGGCAAATCAATGACAAGACAATATCAACGGTTCACACACTTATATCATGCAAAAAATTACAAGTTACATTTACAGCCACTTTGAACAGAATTTCAATAACATCACTGTCTCAGCCTGAAGTGCTGACAAACCTAGGAACATTTTCAAGGTGTCCAGGATTCAGGCTCATGACAGTAGGTTTCTTGCATGCCCAAGGAACGTAACTGCACAGCTAGTTTCGACAGACCGTCACAATTTTATCGAACACTAATGGGAACTACCCTGCTTTAATCCCCAAATCATTAACAGACTGAACTGTTGAATGCAATGACAGGCTGCATGTTGAAAGCCAGGATCTGGTATCCAAACCCATGACTGAACCCGACAACTAAAGGACTACACACTGTATGGTGTGTTACACAGTAGGCCAGCACTTACCCAGAGGAACGTCCTGTGACATGGAGAGGGTAACTTGAGGTGAGAGGGGCGTGGCCTTGGTGAAGAAGTTCAGGTACCGGCAGGCGAATGTCAAACACACACTCTGGTTCATGTCCACGATGACGGCTTCCTCTTCTTTGTCGGCCGATGCCTTCTGGGCCAGCTTGATGTTGCCTGGACGGATCAAAGTCATGATTTATCTGCATAATTGCAACAGCCTTACTCATACATGTCAGTCCTACTCTGAACCTAATATCCCTGTGGGGCAGGTGGAGGAGAAATGTGGGTGGGAGGACAATATGATTAAGAAAACCAGCAACACATGTCAAAGGAAATAGTTCAAGAAAGCCATCCAAAACAAAAATGCAAGTCAATGAATGATCTATTGAAAACTTCACAATGCATAACTAACATGTTAGCACACTGCATCCTACACAGCATATGCATTTGCTCAGATTTGACACCTATCCGACAAACATTTCACCCGTGGAGGTCATGTCAGTTGACATTTCTAAGCCAATCAGGGTGGAGGCTTCACAGTACAAATGAGCGAACATTTCCGAGCAGCAGATTTGATATTGGCATCTTTAAACTCAACAATCTGTCAGTTCCAAAATAGGAAACTGAGAACTTGTTTTGTTCAGATTGAAACTCCCCCTAATCAGAAATTTACCAAGCAGAAACTGAATGACTCATGCAGTTTTAACAAAATTAAGAGTCAAATACACCTCAAATATTTTAGATAGGCTACATGGAAAGGAAATCTGCTTTTTATGAGATTTCAAACACTGGTTAATGCAGGACAAAACAACAGACATGCACTCATATTATAAACATACCTGTTCCTAGATCCCCACTTGCAGAGAAGGAAACCCCCTCTTTTGCACATGAAATGACAACTGAATCACCAATCTGACTCAGATCTCTGCAGATTCTCTGGAACTCGGCTGCTGGTAGCTTGACAACACAGCTGTATTCTGTATCCTGCACAGAAAAAATAAACCATTAAAGTAGGAATCTACAGTACAGGAACGAGCAGATACACTTTCATACCCTGCAGTGGATGTAAAAACAAAACAACAACAAATATCTTCAGTTACATTCAGTCTTAGTCACACAAAAAGAACAAGCGACTTGCCTTCCATCTTGCATGTACAAGATACAACCGATTACGTGCTACATAAAATATACAAAAATTAGAATGTAAGGAGTAAAAATATTGGCATCTCCAGCTTTAGATACATATGTAACTGAAGCATCACAGTCAAGACAACACCAACATGGAACCAAGATACTTACAGGAATTCCAAGGTGTTCTGTGTCCAAGTCTAACAGCTTCATTTCATAATCCGATACCTTCTCATTATCTGAAAGTAAAGTAAAGTAAAATTAAATTTCATTTTAGGGCCGATCTTTTTATAAAAAAGCACTTCATAAATACACTCCAGTGTGCATAGATATATCAAAATGAAAATATATCAACCCAAGTAATATATGATGGACAAATCAAACAGCATTTCAGAGAATATTGAAATGTCATTTCTGAAGAAAACATGAAGACATTGTTCCACACTTATGAGAAACTACTTACTTTAAAGTAACTTTCAAATACCCTAAGAAATCGATTTATTTCGTCATTACTTCCGTCCTGGGGCTAAGAATATAAATGGCGGTAAAATCAAGTCCGTCAACCTTTGTTCGATATGATCATATTTCATGAGTGCAAACACAACCTACTTGGACTTTCAAAAACAAGTTTGACTTTGTCGCCTGCGTCGTCAGCCTTTATTGTTACAATGTCGTCATTGGCCGCACACCGCAACATCTTCGACATTCTGCAACATCGTCAACAAACATGAATACATGAGATACCGTAGAGCCCGCTCATTTGTTGGGCAAAATCACAGCCAAACAAATGATGTGCGAAGATCATTACATCGACACTATCTTTGTACGAGTGTTGTAAATGAAATCAGTAGTTATATAAGTTATTTCGGAGAACTTGTTTTGATGAGTGAGCATTATTTCTAAACATAGAAACTTACGTCTGCAGGTTGATTCCCATCGATAGGTTTCTGTCACATCTGTACGATTCAAATCCTTCACTTCGTAAATTTAGGGACACAAGACTGACGTGGGAACTGTCCATGGCTTGAAGTGTGACACCCGTACTCTGGCAATCAAAGATTGCTTCATTAAGAAGTTCCTTTATAGCTTCCATGATCTTTTTGAGCAAAGATCCTTGATTGAGTCGTGCCTCAAACATTTTGACAAGGCGAAAATGGTAACTCTGTAAATAAATGTACAACCAAAAGGAAGCAGCTCCAAGTCACGAATATTTGGTGAAAACCAGACACGAAGAGATAACTTTAGCTGAGATGGGTGCAGATTTCGGTTTCACTGTCTCACTCGACCTGTCTCCTTAACACGAATGAAGACTCCCGCCAATTACGTCCAAAAGGCGCCAAATCATACGACACAGTAAACGTGATTGGCTATCAAAACATAGCTTCCGGTATTTCATTACTGTTCATTCGTTAACTTTCGGAAATGTAACGGAAACATACGAACTACTGAGAGTATTTGAGAGATTGTTTTGTGTGTGATTAGATTTAGAAAACTGTTCTGGTGTGGTTGTTTTGTCCAATGTACCCCACCGAGACATTTTTACTATTAGGATCCCTGAAATATGTAGTAAACTCCAAAATAAAGCCCTGGAAATTTTGCTAAAATAAAATAGTTAATTTGCGGAAGAACACCAATTTGTGATATCACTTCGAAAGCCTATTGGGGTCAAAATTGAAATATGGATAAGACACGAAAAGAAATTCGGAAAAAGATTCGTTATTACGAAAAGAAATTCGTCGTACGGACAAAAAGATTCGTTATTACTTAAATAATTTCGTTATTACGGAATACGGAAAAAGATTTGTTATTACGAAAAAATATTCGGTATAACTAAATTATTTCCATAATAACGAATCTTTTTCCGTTATAACGAATATATTTTCGTAATAACGAATCTTTTGCCGTATTCCGTAATAACGAAATTATTTATTTACGGTCTTTGAAAGGCATTTAGAAGTGATTCACATAAGGAAAAAATATGTGGATGTCACCTTCTTTATTATGAGGAACACAACGTTTCGGAGTATATGCTTACAAGTGAAAACGTTGTGTTCCTCATAATAAAGAAGTTGACGTCCATTTATTCTCTTCCCTATGAAATTATTTCCGTAATATCGAATCTTTTTACCTTTATAACGAATTTCTTTACGTGTCTTTTCCATATTTCAATTTTGACCCCAATAGGCTTTCGTATATGACACAGATACCATGTATCGGTTTGTGGTCTGTATCACTACACCTTCGATGCTTCTGTCCTGTTAATCTCATTCATTTTTATGTCGTTGTCTTTGTACATTAACCCCTGCTCATTGGCTTCGTCATTATATTGTTATCTTTGTAAACTAATGCCGCCTTTGTGTAAATATTATATTGTTATCTTTGTACATTAACCCTATCTTGTGTAATCATTGCATCATGTATATATTAACTCTTATGCGCTTACTCAGTATTCGCCTGATGAAGGAGCAAGACGTAGCTTTTCTATCAATAAAACGTGTCATGTATTCATGTTCTTCCAACTTCTAAATGCCTATCAAATACATCGAACGCCAATTTATAGTATACACAAAATTTACACTGTTGTAAATATCATGTTTAAATATTTAAAAAGAATGATGCTGGTGAATTAAGATACCCTTTTATATGGTAATGTCACTTTTATACATGAAAAAATATTCAAAGTTTAAATTTATGTCTATTCTCTCTTTCTTTTGTTATAAGACGCTAACATTGAATTTGGAAATGTAGATATTAACTGATAACTGATTACATATATAATCTTTAAACCATTTTAATGCATGATGTGAATGTTGTAATTGATTGACTGAATATTTCAGTAGCCAATTAACTGGGGCTATTTGATGTGTGTCTATAGGCTAAATGAACAGTTGTGCTTGACTGAACGTATTTAACCGTTTCAGGTAAAGTAAACTGTTTCATTCTCTATAATTTGATTAATACTTGAAGTGTGTATCGATAGATTTATCGTGTCTTTTTCCAATTTTCTTTGACAGATTTGGAAATTCACGGCCATGTGGATATTTTTTATTTTTCCTATGACATTCAGAAAAGACGCACTATGAATCAATGATACAGAGTTGAATAGCCAGACTGAATGTAAATTTGTCGTAGATTACCTTTCTTGCTGATGATACGTTGTGAACTGTTCGTGAACATTTCCATTCCGAATAGTCGCCCGAACGCAAACAAAAAATGCACCCGCTATTTGCAACCGGTTTCAATATACGTGTAAATGATTGGCTTTTGGAAGACATTTTCACGCGGCAGCCAATCACAGAGTAGCTTTATCATTCGGTACAGAAGGAATAACACACCAAACATTTGTCGACTGGAGGAACATGGATGCCACTTAGTGGCTATGCTGACGAAAAGAACTTGAACTCCTGTCCAGTGTTTAATTAATAGTGCACGAAGGTTAGTCACCCTTGCATCTTACCCCATTGGCCCTTGTGTATTAAACTGGTATATGTTACCAGTAGGTCTCAGTGTTATTGCTGTATGTTATGCCCTTGGTAAGAAATAGTCTTGTCCAACGAAGTAAACGTTTGCACAGGATCGTGATTCGTATGTCAGTCATGGCAAAATGTCAGTCCCCTTTGACGGGTTGTACGAGAATGTTTTGATAATATCTAAATGTCAAGTCAGGTCCTAAGGACACCATCTCTATATATAGACAGCGTTTAAACACATGATAAATAGCTATGTCTCCCTATGTCTAGATGAAAAATGTCCAATTGCGAAATACCCCGTGGTTATTTCTGGGTAAGATCATCTGTCATAGCTGCAGTAACCGAGTCTCTGTGCTGCTACCAATTAGGCGATTTTGATAGACTTGTCGCCACACAGAGTTACAGGCTGTTCCATGTGTTTTCCTGATAGATTTTCGATTCGGAAATCTGAACGGCAGGTGTCTTAGGACATAAATATAAAGTGCAATGCAAATTTGGATTGGGGATCTATTAGGAAAACTCGTGTAGCTGCAAGTCAAAATCAAAATCCTTAATACACAGAGATACAGTCACCACAGTTACTGCCCAATACCCAGAAGGATAAATGCTCTACACTGAATTGTCTGATTTGCCTCACCAGGAAGCAATTTTATGGTCACTGTATTATTCTCAGGTTGTCGTATCAGCTGAGAACTGCATAACGAATGCTGGGTTTGGTTAATCACTGTTTACTGATATATTAAGAGACGTCTGTACAGGCTGACGGCTTCCTGGGACTCACGCCGCACATGCGTATAGATGTACAATGCCAATAGTCTAGGATGCTAGTATCCTGACGGATAATTATGGATCATATATTATTATAGGTATATTAATGTCAATCTGTTACAGTGACAAGACCCTTGTCTATACCAGCCTAGATTGTCCTTGGGACTGAATGTTATGGTGATTTGGTGGTTAAGTTGTGAGATTTGAGTGATTGTGTCATCATACGTCATTAGCATGGTGCTGACCATATCCCCGCATCCATTCTGACATTTGTTATCAGCTGTTCAGTATGTGCATGTTACATAAACAGAGAGACCAGCTGGGTGAGGGATTCAGGCAAACAGCATGTATTATGGTCCTTTGGTGATGCTGGGCTTGGGTTAATAGATATTACTAGAAAGTTTCATTAACATGATTAAAGTCACTGAAAGCACATTTAGTGTACCAACTCAAAAGTTGATCTTGTAGTAGCAACTAATGTTTACCTAAATTGCACTCTCTGCTTCACATATGTAGGGTACCGTAGATCCTTGTCTTCAGTCCTAATCGATCCACGCCACCTGGGTATGATGACACACAATGAACAAAGTCTCTGAGCTCAACCACTCGATCCATCCAGTCGCTTCTTACGACCAGCGGTAATATTTCATGTTGGATGTAACTTGTTATTCCTTTCTTATGTATGATGGATAATGTGGCAAATATGTCTTTTTCAGGTCAATCATGTGGAAATTGGGCTCATTTAAGGTCAAAAGAGAGGGCACGATGCTTGCCATGGAATTTGCAAAGTTACTACAACAGAGAGGGTCAGCCCTGAGGACTGTGTGCATGGCTCCCAGAGTTTTCAGTCGTGCCTCTCACACACACAAGCATCCATCATCTTTGTCATCACTGCCGCCAGTTCATGTTGTGTGTCTGCCTTTATATAGATCTCCATCAGCTGGATCACTGCCTCTCAACTCTCTTCACACACTCGCCAGCCTGACTGCCAAACAGACTCCGTATTCCAATTTCGGTCACAAGACACGTCCATCCAGTGGCTACACAAAGTTTTATTTTGCTCTCTTAGGCGGAGCCTTGCTTTTGTTTTTGGGATTTGATGGGTAAGTTCACATGGAATTTTGAATTGATCTCATAGGTGCCTCCTGATGTTATGGGGGGCGGTCGGGTAGCCTAGTGGTTCAAGCGTTCGCTTGTCACGCCGAAGACCCGGGTTCGATTAATGGGTACATTGTGTGAAGCCCATTTCTGGTGTCCCCCGCCTTGATATTGCTGGAATATTGCTAAAAGCGGCGTAAAACCATACTCACTCCTGATGTTATGGTCACTTACTATTAGTGGTCGGACAATACACCGATGCATCGGTGGATCGCGATATTTTTCTTCCCAATACTAAGTATCGATCACAGTCGCTCACTAAGTAACAAATATTGATTCATTCCTTAAGTGTTTACTTTAATGGCAGTTACACCGAACACTAATTGGTAGTGAAAATTAGTATTGAAAAAGTAAATATTTCCATCCATCAATTTAAATTTTCGGAAATGTTATGTGATACATTTGTAACAGTTGCTGTGGCATTGTTTCAGAATGACGATGTTGGCAAAGTGGTTGAAGGTGGATGCTGCTGCTGTAGAGGGGCAGTCCAGTGAGGCCGTCGAGCATGATGACGAAGGCAAGAAGACCAAGAAGAAGAAGATCGGCTTTAGAGACCGGAAGGTGGGCCAAGTATCTCATTGGTTCAAAACAACTTTACAAAATGTCAGATTGGAGTTGACTAATGTGCCTAGATTAATCAATCATGCAAGTTAATCACAGTCTGGTTGGGCATAACTTCATTTCAGCTGGGCCACAATGAACATGAGGAACTGACTCACATTTAGAGTCATGCTATGTGTTTGTGTGTTTGTTGTTTAACACTGCACTCACCAGACAATCCAGTGATTGACATCATGAGCGTCAATCTATGGAATTGGGATACGATGACATGCATCAACCAAGTCAGCGAGCCTGACCACCTGATCCTGTTGTGAACAAGTTAAAAAAGAAATAGTTTTACCTGTTACTTTGTTTCAGTCATATTATGAAACTAAGCATTTTTTTGGAAATGGCTGAAATCATCAGCTAAACCTTGTAACTGCGGAACTTGACATGACAGAAAATCCTTTTCAGATTTCTGTTTGTTCACCTCTGGCCCAATACATGAAGTATTCATTGTTGTTTGTTTGTTTGTTGTTTAACACCGCACTCAGCAATATTCCAGCTATATGATGGTCTGTAAATAATTGAGTCTCGACCAGACAATCCAGTGATTGACATCATTGGCATAAACCCACCCAATTGGGATCAATGACATGCATCAACCAAGTCAGAGCCTGACCACCCGTTCCTGTTAGTTGCTTCTTACGACAAGCAGTCGCTTTTTACGGCAAGCATGGGTTGCTGAAGACATATTCTCTACCAAGATCTTCACATGTCTCATGCCAGGTGTCATATCATGACTCATGTATTGTCATACGTATCTAAACTGAGTTAGACAGCAAAGTCTAGTCAGTTTCTTGTTCACATCATACTCTGTATTATTGTCTTTCAGTCAAGAGAACACAATGTACTTGTGGGCCAATTTACCTGACATTAGATGTAATCTCTTGTTGATCAGATCATTGGGTATGAAGACAGAATCAGAGCCTACTCAACCCCTGACAAGATTTTCCGGTACTTCGCCACCCTGAAGGTGCAGATAAACTCTGGGGTGTGGGAGGTGTTCATGACCCCTGAGGATTTTGTGCGCTCCATCACCCCTGGGATCAAACAGCCGGAAGGTAGGTAGCCGGCTGCATCACTGTAATACTCGACTCCATGCACAACAATATTTAATTTACAGCTTCATGAATCTGTTGGTCAATGTCTACAATATGTCAGTTGGTAAATAACTGAAATTTTCATTCGGGGCAGAATAGGTCCCCTGTGCCTCATGCTTGTCTCTTTCAGGGATTCCAGGGCAGAATAGGTCCCCTGTTCCTCATGCTTGTCTCTTTCAGGGATTCCAGGGCAGAATAGGTCCCCTGTTCCTCATGCTTGTCTCTTTCAGGGATTCCAGGGCAGAATAGGTCCCCTGTTCCTCATGCTTGTCTCTTTCAGGGATTCCAGGGCAGAATAGGTCCCCTGTGCCTCACGCTTGTCTCTTTCAGGGATTCCAGGGCAGAATAGGTCCCCTGTTCCTCATGCTTGTCTCTTTCAGGGATTCCAGGGCAGAAAAGGTCCCCTGTTCCTCATGCTTGTCTCTTTCAGGGATTCCAGGGCAGAATAGGTCCCCTGTTCCTCATGCTTGTCTCTTTCAGGGATTCCAGGGCAGAATAGGTCCCCTGTGCCTCACGCTTGTCTCTTTCAGGGATTCCAGGGCAGAATAGGTCCCCTGTGCCTCATGCTTGTCTCTTTCAGGGATTTTGGTGGGCAGAATAGGTCTCTTTGTCTCCCCTACCCTACCTACCCTACCCTACCCTAGAAATTGGCGCTGTATGTAGTGATACCGGCGCTGTATTCCCTCCTTGCGGCATTGTAATTGTGTGTCTGGTGTTTACAGGCCTTGGACTTGACCAGTTTAGAAAGTTCGACCCGAAGGTAGGTGGAGGCTGTGGCTGTACTACTTCTATCACAAGATAATCAATTACCATGATTCAGTAATTATGTGAAAATTTAAACAAACATTTTATTTAACTGAATTGGATGTTAACAGTTGACATTCAGTAACTTTTTAATTGAGGTAACTGAAATCATAGATTTAGAAGTACATGAAATAAAAGTCAATTTTGATAATTGCGTGAAAGAGTTTGCACAACTTAGAATCTAGACATACTAGACGAGTTTGGCTCCTGTAGAATAGTAAACATGCTTGATAACCAACTGTAGTATATCTCGTATCAAACCTCAGTCCAAACATAATCACAATTATTTCTCACACATTCATGTAATACTCATATAACTGATATTTCTGTCACTATGGGCAATAGAGTGAAGTTTTTCACATGAAATATTTCCTTTATCAGGAAATTGGGTATGTCTTTTGTACAGTCATGTTATGAAACTTGTCATTTCTTTAACTGAATTATTTCACGGGCAAGGTATTTCTTGAAAACATTAAGTCTCGTGATGTCCTGACTTGAATGACACAATGTGGTCTCCATTCCAAAAAAATACCATTTGGGCGGTTTTGTGAAATTGCAAATGCAGGTATGTAAGATGTATTATGTGTGACTGCAGTGGCTTTTAACTTAGAAAACAATATGTGAGGTTAAGTGGCTGCACTCTCTGCTGCTTTAGATGGAACTAGTTGATTGTATGGCAGCGTACCCCAATGTGGGTCATTGCACATCTCAATCACTGGATTGTCTTGTCCAGAGTTGGTTATTTACAGGCCATTGTCTTAGAGCTAAAAAAACCACCCAAACCCAAACAAATCATTGTTGGAAGTTTACTGCCCATGGGTGGGAATGTTTTTGGTATTTCTGGTATTTTGGTATATTGCTGAGTGTTGAGTTAAACAACAACAACAAACAATCAAACAAACAAACAACTATGAATACTTAATGGATCGGGCCTGAGGTGAACAAACAGAAGTCTGAATAGGATTTTTCATGTCATGTCATGTCATGTCATGTCTCGCAGTGACAAGGTTTAGCTGAGGTTTTATGAACTGTTGGAACGAGATGATTTCAGCCATTTCACAAAATGTCTAGTTTCATAATATGACTGGAACAAAGTAACAGGTAAAACTATTTCTTTTTTTACTTGTTCACAAACTAAAGACATGAAGTATCCCAATTGATGAATAACTGCCTCTTTTATCGGTTGTGAAGCTTGCACTGGATGAGAATGTATGTCAGTTACAGTATGCTGTGTGTGTGCAATACACTGATATGCTTCGTGGAAGAAGACCGTAGTTGCATATTGTAATTAATACCAGTCTCTACTTAAAGTATTAGAAGTGAGGAGGCAAGTTACCTTGATGCTTGGTTTATGGATCCACACAAATCCAACAAATTTTAAATATGATTCGATTTCTTTATAAATTAAAATTATTCTTTTTTTGCCCGCTGTTCAGATTTCACCACTGGTAATAAAAAGGAACTATCCCAAGTTTAATATGGTCCTTTCAAAGAAACACCCTGAGCAGCCTCAAAATATATTTTAATGTTTGATTTTATTGCAACCACCGACCTGATGGATTGATTTTTTTCTGTAAACCAAGTAATGAAAAACGGCCTCCTACATACGGTGTGAAACGTTCATTAGTCGTGGATCTAACCTTAGAGGTGTCAATGTAGAACTAATGGCGTAATGTTAGAGGGGAATGTGCATCATCTCAGCTACAGGGAGGCTTCAGGGTTGTCTATCCAGAGGAATTACAACCTTCTTGCTCTGTCAAATATTATCGATGTATAATAATGGTTCTGTTCAGCATAGCGTCTTCTGGTCATTCACCCGATGAATGGGGAAGATAAAACATTACATTGTCCTTGATTAACAAGTGTATTATATCTCCATTCTAGTATAACTACCCTGGACCCATTCGCCTCAGAACTTTTGGAAGCCACATTCACAATTCTCTTATCACCAACTGAGGTCAGAATTCTCTTGCATAAATCTGTAATTTATGTTTAGCATCTTGTCATTTGAATCTGGCTCCAAATAAAAGTAATTATAGCAACTGGAATGGAGATATAACACACTGGATGATCAAAAATGCATTGAAATGTGGTAGAGAGTAAATAATTTAGAATGTCATGTCCATCACACTTTCATATCGGAGCCTCCAGTAGCTAGATGAGCCACATCAGTGGTGAGGCAAGCAGCACACAAGGCCTACATGTACACTGTAAACATGGCGACGATGGTGACGAGCACGATAAATGTAATGTTTTTGTTCCAGAGCCAGACCACCAGTAGAGAAGGAAATGTATGCTATGTTTTCATTGTCAATTCACCTGCTGTGTCACACCCATTGTTTCCGTGTCCTGAAATGAACAGTTTTAGTAGCTTAGGGAATCTGTTTAGAAGTGGCAGTCAAGTTTGATTTGCTAAACAAACACGCTATGAGCCTTTACAAGAGTTGCGATAAAAAAGACATTTTCTACAAAAACATAACATGCCTATGGCAATGGAGTAGGTATCCTCTTATGTACAAGTTCGTGTTTACAAAGGTGATGTCAGTGACCTATAGCGTCACTGATTGTACAGAGTTAGTTCCCTTAGCTACCGGGCTAGATCCTTGGTCTGTGACAATCTCATTAAAATCAGATCTTTGTTTTCGCTACCGCTAAACAAAGATCTGAGGACATCCCATTACAGGTCACGTCAGAATGACCTTTCGCGAATTTTGACCGACCAATGAAATGACTGACAAGAAATCGACATTGGCCAATCAGATGGCAGCCTTCTCGAGCTTTACGACATTGGTTTCAAACTGGCGACTACGCTTCAAAACATATTTTAATGTATTCTCGATTAAAAAGTTTAAAACTGATAAGAGGAACATGCTGGAATGGCTTATAGATGGCCTAGATTGTATGGATATAATCATAAAACCTGTAACTGTCGTTTGGAATACCCTGTGTTAAATATATTGTGGTAGCATGATTAGAAAACACATTTCGACTGTCACTGGTAAGAGACGCTCTGATTGGTTGGATGAAAGGTCGTGCTGACATGACCCGTAATGGGATGTCCTCAGATCTTTGTTCAGCGATAGCGAGAACTAAGATCTGATTTTATTGAGATTGGGTCTGTGAGGACCATGCCTGTGAGATGTGCCAACGTGGTAAATATCTAGGATCTGCATCACTTGGGCTCCCACATGAAACTGACAGCTTGTAACTGAAATACTGTTGAAAGCAGCTCTACCCCCTAACTGGTGACATGTATTTGTGTGGTATAAGATGCGCATCTAACGTATGGCTGTTTTTGTATTGAACGTAGAAGGATAACCTGTTTGAGATGGTGAGTGCGCCTCTTCCTCTCCTCTGCTGCTGCTGCCCTACTAACAGTTCTAGAGTGTCTCCTTCTTTCTGCATGGCAGTGCATTTCTTTAGAACAATTTCTCCATATTTCTCCATTTTAGGTTGATACGGTCTGTTATGCCCCATTCCTGTGTTTTAGTTTTAAGTTGAGTTGAGTACTAGTTTTCAAATTTTATTCAGATGGTATTATTGAGTGAGTCAATCTTGTTATTGAAGTGAAGTAATTATAATTGATGAAAGAATAATCTACTTCCATCTATCAGTACTATTTCAAGGGCATTTCTTAAATAGGAAAATAATTCCCCTATTAAATTCTAGGGTTCAACATTTAGATTGTTCACAACAGGTACCAGTGTAATTTTTGATTGAGAAGTATTTACATAAGAGGTACCTCAAATACAAAATATTCTTCCAGTGAACTTTTGGGACTTGTGTAGGTAACTTAGGCCCATTGTAGTACATGCATCTATAGTGATGAGGTGACAGGGCTACTCAAGTAGAGACAGCGCAGTTGCTTCACCGCTACACAGTCTTATCTTTATAGTGACCTGGTGATAGGAGTTTAGAATTGTTCCCCAGCAACCTCTGCTTGTCGTATGAAGCGACTCCATGGATCGGGGGTGCAGGCATCGGATGTTGCTCATAAATATAATCACTGGTTTGTCTGGTCCTGTCAGAGAGCTGGAATATTGCTAGGTACAAAAACAAGGAAAAAAACTGATGACATACTATAGATAAGGCAGTCATGAGTCAGACGTACATATTCTGTGGTGTGAGCATGACTGCAATACTTTTCACCAGTGTTTGAAATCATTTTGAAACCCAACAAGACAGTCCATAAATGTTGCCTGCCCATCTTCAAAGTTACCTGCCCGCATTGTAAACATAAATACTGAAATATTGTGAAAAAATTGAGACAAGTTGTGTCTTTAATCAGTTGAAATGATGCAAACAAAGACTGTGTCTTAAAGTTATCTGCCAAACAGTCGGGCAGGTGAAGGAAAATTTCATGCAGCCGACAGAAAACTTACCAGCCACGGGCAAGGGGGCTGGCAGTTCAGTCTGACACGGCTTTTTACTGACGGTAGGTGCAGAGTCTGAGCTTCATGACTCCTGCAGTCACTACACATGTAGGGACTGGAATCAGCACTTAGTACAGAGCGACAACATGGTGCCCGTATTCGACCTCAACTTCGACATTCTAAATAGCATTACTGAAAGATATTGTCCCTCTGCAGTTAGGGGTTATTATTAAATGCTTACATAGTATACATCATAAAATCTTAACTAGCAGATCAAGCAGCTGTTATCTGTAGGAAGGGATCAGATTTGCCATGACCCTTTAAGTAAATTAAGTATGGCAGTAAAACTATCAAACGCCAGGAGGGCGAGCACTGACAAATGATACGATCGTTGTAACAATTGATCTGTGTCACTGACCACATGTCCAAAACACCCAGCTGGCTGTGGATCAGCTCTATCTAGAACCAGTCATGCATGTTAGAAGAAGACAATTTGCTTGTGTATGGTAAGCTTCTAAACGCTAGCTACTGAGTGAATATGTAGTGACTCACAGGTACATTTGTACCAAAAGTAATATGCAGGGTAATCCTACTCACATCCTCACGTTCAGCATCAAATGAAGCCATCTGACCTCGAGGACTGTGTGTAGGGAATGGCTAGTTGTTGCAGTTGGCTCTATTTCTGATTCTTCCTTTGAATGGCATTACCTTCAATAACTGTACAAAAGTTTATTGAAATGTGTTTATGCATGTTTTCACTTTTCAACTTGGAAAATCGTGTTTCTTGTTTATCTTTCCATTTTCTCATGTTAGTTGAGATATTTGATATTTATGTCCGTGTTTTTGCCTCTATTTTCAATTAGTGTTTTTTTCTCTTGCTCATGTTACTTCTCCCCAATGTATTGTCCCTTTTAATGTTCTGACTTTATGCTACTTGTATCTCTTTCACCACTTCAGATGTGTGTGTGTGTGCGTGTGTGTCATTTGGGGCTTGAGTAGGCCCCTAGATCCCTTTGTCCAACTGGGACCGCCTCCATGCTTTAGTGGATAGAACACTTGTATGGGAAGGTTGGTTGTTCAGTCCCCTGGCTGCGTCATGCCAAAGACATTTGAAGTATTCGGTGTCTGAGTGAGGAATCATGTTAAAATGTGGCATGGTATCTCAGTTGTCTAGCACTATATGGACTCGTACAAGCAGCCATACAAACACTTGTACATGCACGTGTCTATAAAAGTACAATAATCTTGAACGCGACGTTAAATCCCATTTCACCTAACCTCTCCCTTTGTCCAACTGCCGAGTCCAGAAGTGCCGCTGTCACGTGCAGTGGTGACTCATGGAGATTGGATGGACACAATGGCAGCTGAATGTGATAGCCGTTGAGGGATAACTTCCCAGTTTGACAAAGTCTGCGGTGAGCTGACTAATTTCTTGTGTTGTGATATCATGTTGTCTATATCACACCCAGGTCATTTCAGTAGCTTAAAGTGTCAACTTCACGTCGATATTCAATATGTGCACATGCAGCATTTATCCAGGGTCTGAGTCACCACCCTGTGTTTCTGACCCGAGAATGAGTCCCACACACTCACTCAAACCACTGCTATGTTTTGTCCTGTAGGACTGTTTGTCACTCATATGGTCAAACCCATCTTGGTCTTGTCTACCTCTTCTTGTTGAAAGTGGTATAGCCCCTGACTGAGAATATTGACATCTGGTCCCATGAAGTTTGTGTAAACTTGCCTCGCTCCACCGATACCATGGGTTCAATTCCCCATATAGATAGTGGTGAACTTTGTGATGGCCTCCCCTGCAGGGAGAATGCCAGAATATGGAGGCATAAAACCATTCACATTTGCTCATCTTGACGACAGGGCCTGAAGTACAATTTAGATGCATGTTTCCATGATATGCACTGCATCAGGTTGCCATAGTTACAGGTGGCCATATGCTGTTTCCTGGGGTGTGCACCTACCTACCTCAACAGCTGTGCTGACATCACCATCGTAATGGATCACTGTTTATCAACTGATGTTCCATCATGAGACAGTATTACTTGCTCATTCTTCACTCTGTCTGTTTTCATGCTGTCATACATTTAATCACCATTCTGATGTGTAAATATGTTGTCTTTGTCTGTGGGAATCTGGCCCAGGAAAGCAGGTCTATTTACCATTTTTACTATTTATTATCGTCTTCAATCTTTAACATTGCTGATCATTCATCTTCTGCTGTCTGTTTGCCTGCCTAACATCAGTCTGCCTGTCTATCTGTCAGACTGCCTATCTATGAGACTGCCTATCTGTCAGACTGCATATCTATGACACTGCCTTTCTGTCAGTCTATCTATGAGACTGCCTATCTCTTAGACTGTCTATCTGTCAGACTGCATATCTATGACACTGCCTTTCTGTCAGTCTATCTATGACACTGCCTATCTCTTAGACTGCCTATCTGTCAGACTGCCTATCTGTCAGACTGCGTATTTATGAGACTATCTATGGCATGGTTTACAGCAACCTGTCTCTGAGGCGTGATTGCCGCATGGCTCTGTCATCTGCCATCTTTACATGTGGCACATTCACCATCTTTAACCACTTCTGCTGTGTTGTACAGAAACTCTTTGTTACCCAGTGTGATACATGTATTTGAAATGCACCTTTTGACTTCTTATATATGATACATACAGTAGATGCTTGGATATATTTGTAAGAATGCATCCAGCTTTGGAGGTAGTTGTGCTAGTTTGTATGCCATATTTGATCCAGTAGGTAGCATCTATATACCTGTTATTTATCAACCCTAACGACACTGTTGACTGATTTGATCACAATCATACAGCTTCACAACTTGCTGCAAATATATGACCATATCTTTCACCCCTCACCACTGCATATTCCCTGCCTGGTGCGATATCAGTTATATACGCTAGGCACGTCCATCTGAATCCTTCCAGTGCACCATTAGCCAATAGATGTGATAGTAACACTGGATTGTGCCACATAATTAAAGAGTTGAACCAGCTTACTGTAGATTTTGATATATTCAAGAGTAAGGCAAATTCAGTCTTTCTGACATAGTTTATATGTCGATCTCACTGAAAGTTTGAAACAGATGGTAATTTTATATATGTACCAGAAATCACATTTCATAAAAACCCTGGTGTTTTGATTCTAACATTATGAATTTGATAGCAGCAAAGTGTAGGCCTGGTATTGAAACATACCTGGTCAGATTGTTATCCTGCTTGTGGACTAGCAAAGACTATGAGCTGTAATTTCAAGTCTTGGGTTTAATTAAGAGATTCTGTCCACTTTCTGAGAAATCGTGTATCATAATATTTGCAAAGTTAGTTGGCCAGGTTTACAGCACAGAGTACCTATCTTGATGATTGGTGACAGTCACAGCTGTCAGTGAGCTTCACAAATGAATTCATTATCTGGTACAATATTCCTCCCGAGCCGGAGCAGGGCTTCTAAACATGTTCCTGTCCTGTTGTGTTGCGGAAGCTGGGGATGAGCAGCAGCCATCTTGATACTGTAAATTCTCAATACATCATTTTGCTGGAAAAACAGGTGGTTCCCATGGCTATAAAAATTATGCATGGAATTATATGTTTAATCCAGCTATTTCACAGATAAAGCTTAGCTTCCTGTACCTTTCTTACTTAAGTAATAAAGTGTGTAGTTTGGTCCTAGTTCTCTGTGAAGATTTACGGAATTTGGTAGAAGTGTTTGGTGCAACTCTTCAGAAGTGGGAACCACACCATTTAGAGGGTATTCAAAATGGCCGACTCATCCCTGTCTAGTCTCCTTACAATCTACGTGTTTTCATTTCTGTCGTTGGAACAGTTACAACTATTTCTTGTGCTTATTTAGTGTGGGTTATTCTTTTTCTGATCTATTTATTTTGACTGTAATTATTCAGTTTAGATGTGAAATTGTTTTTTTTAAATTTTATTTTTTGCTTGTTCTAAAACTAATAACTTTCCATTTTGATGTTTACACTGTGTGAATTTGCGTTATTGATGACACAGAAACAGTTTTCTACCTTTAATCCACACAACTGTTGATCTGAGATCCTATATTCAAATTAATTGTCATATATACTGAACAAAAGAAAGGTATGGATCATGAATATTTTGGGGGGATATTTTTATGAAATTGTATGCTCAGTCTTCACTAAAAAAAATATCCCCCCAAAGTATTCATAATCCCACACATTTTTGTTGAGTATATATGCTGAGCGTAATGAGAAAAACTGATCCTAAAATGCTGAAGCAGGGACTCGAGTCAGCCTTGTCTACTGATGTGTAGTGGAGGCTTGTATTTTGTCGCAGTAGATGGTGTGGTTTGGTAGACACAAGACAAGCCTGATTCTTGATCCCTGCTGTCCATTTTACATTTGACTGACACCTTTAATTGTATAACACTATTGTTCATGCTCAATGATGAATTATTTGTCACTAGGATGTAGGTTAGATTTTTTTTTAAAACAATTGTAATCTTTTATGTTGTAATAATGTCAGAAAACAGCTTAACACCATCATACTTTAAGTGCTTTAAAGACAACATTTAACCATATTAGCATGTTTAGCATAGAACAGTTTTCAGATCATTATCACTGCATAAAGAAATCATCAATAACATTTAGAAGCATTTGTTGAACAAGACATTGAATATATAGAAGCCATTGTTCTTTTTGTGTTCCTTCACTGGTAGTGTCCAGGCAGATACTGTCACATGCATGTCCTGGTATAGTCAACTCCCGCGTAGTGTAGGCAGCAGGCGCATGTTACATGAAAACCTGATGGGAGGGTCACATGTTTCAGCGGGAGAAGCTAGACGACATGTGCGAAGTGAGTCGTGACAGCATCTTCTACAAGCTGGGCCAGACAGGCCTCATCTCCTTCTCCGACTACATCTTCCTCCTCACTGTACTGTCGAGTAAGTCAACCATCCTGTCCGTACGTCCACCATCTTGTCTGTATGTCCACCATCTTCTCTGTATGTCATCTATCTTGTCTGTATGTCCACCATCTTGTCTGTACATCCACCATCTTGTCAGTATGTCATCCATCTTCTCTGTATGTCATCCATCTTCTCTGTATGTCATCTATCTTGTCTGTATGTCCACCATCTTGTCTGTACATCCACCATCTTGTCTGTACATCCACCATCTTGTCTGTATGTCATCCATTTTGTCTGTATGTCATCCATCTTGTCTGTACATCCACCATTTTGTCTGTATGTCATCTATTTTGTCTGTATGCCCATCATCTTGTCTGTATGTCTACCATCTTGTCTGTATGTCATCCATCTTGTCTGTACATCCACCATTTTGTCTGTATGTCATCTATCTTGTCTGTACGTCCACCATCTCGTCTATGTCATCCATCTTGTCTGTACATCCACCATCTTGTCTGTATGTCCATCTAGTCTGTATGTCATCCATCTTGTCTGTACATCCACCATCTCGTCTGTACATCATCCATCATGTCTATGTCCACCATCTTGTCTGTATGTCCAGTCTTGTCTGTATGTCACCCACCTTGCTTGTATGTCCACCATCTCGTCTGTATGTCATCCATCTTGTCTGTATGTCCACCATCTCATCTGTATGTCATCCATCTTGTCAGTATGTCCACCATCTTGTCTGTACATCCACCGTCTCATCTGTATGTCATCCACCTTGTCTGTACATCCACCATCTTGTCTGTATGTCCATCTAGTCTGTATGTCATCCATCTTGTCTGTACGTCCACTATCTTGTCTGTATGTCCACCATCTTGTCTGTATGTTAACCATCTTGTGTATGTGTCATCCATCTTACCGTATCTAGTCAAGTGGTAGAGCGTCTGCCAAGAGATCAGAAGGTCAAGGGTTCACCCGGCCATGTCATACCAAAAGATGTTGCTGTTACCTGTCTAGCGCTCGGCATTAATTGGCCAAAAAAAGGACTGCCTGGCTTGGAGTCAGTTTACTGTGTCTGAGGGTATTCATGTTAAACTGCAACATGGCATCTCAGTAAGCTAGCATTATAAAATCGGCATTAGTCCGGACAAGTGCACGCATGCACGCAGGCATGCACACACACCCTACCCAAGCTCATCTGTTCGTGAACCATCTTTTTTGTAAATCAATCACCTTGTCTGTTAGTCAATGATCTTGTCTCTAAGCCAATCATCCTGTCTACTGTCTACCATCTTGAGGTGACCATCCTGATATTCTACACTGTAGGGATGACAAATGCATCTGAGTATCCATGCCTTGTTAGTCAGCCCTTGCTTGGGAAAAGGTATACAATATTTTAATTTAGTACATTTATTTATAGCACCTCCTCGCAACTTTGAGATTGGGTTCCGAATGTTTGACCTAAATGGTGATGGGGAGGTTGAATACACAGAGTTCCAGAAGGTAAGATGATCAGACAGCCATGTTACTGCCACCTCCATCGCAAACTTTAGTTTATACTCCTTAACGTAAATTAAGAAGCAAAAGTGAATTTGTGGATAGGCTACTTAGCAACGTAAGTTGCAACCCTCCCATAATGGCACACAAGTTGACTGTACAGTAAAAAGGGTGAGGACTGGTTTGGTTATGGTAGTGTTGGCACTACCATTGCTAACTGCTACAGTATTCACCAGCTGAAGAAACATAACAAAATGGGGAGGATCCCTAGTTTCAGCTCACCTCTGAAGGTTTTAAGGGGACAGGAGATGACCACATGTTTTGAGTAGAGAGAAATACACTGCATTGCATCGTCAATACTCTGTGTGTGCAGGTACACGACGTGGTACAGAGTCAGACATCGATCGGGATGCGGCACCGCGACCACGCCAACACCGGCAGCGTCAACAAGGGCATGAGTTCCTCACTCCTCACCTACTTCTTTGGTGTGGACAGCAAGAAGAAGCTGACTGTACAGGGCTTCCTCGACTTCCAGAGACAACTCCAGACGGAGATCCTCAAGATAGAGGTAGGTTGTCTCCCCTGCACTTGTTTTGGATTTAAGATTTAAATAATGGCGGATAACTTCAGGAGAATGCATTAAATGGCAATGATACATTTGAAGGCTAGGCAATTTAGTTCCATGTACTTCTCCAGTGTCGTCCTCCATGATGTTGGTTGCTAAAAGCGGCGTAAACCATACTCACTCACTCCATCCCTCACTCCATGTACTTCTAATTTCTTTATCATGAGGTTATTTACATGACTTTTACAGTTCAATCGCTACAAGCAGGATGATGACACGATATCCGAGAAAGACTTTGGCAATGTCCTGATCACATATGCTGGAATGCCAGAGAAGAAAAAATTACGCATGTTGAAGAGAGTGAAGAAGAAGTTCAAGGAAAATCCAAGGGTGAGTTAAGGGAATCCTGGTGGTAGAGGCTGTATATATTGATATACACAAGGAGCGTGGTGGTAGAGGCTGTTATATTGATATACACTAGGAGCCTGATGATAGAGGCTGTTATGTTGATATACACAAGGACACCCTGGTGGTAGAGGCTGTATATATTGATATACACAAGGAGCGTGGTGGTAGAGGCTGTTATGTTGATATACACAAGGACACCCTGGTGGTAGAGGCTGTATATATTGATATACACAAGGAGCGTGGTGGTAGAGGCTGTTATGTTGATATACACAAGGACACCCTGGTGGTAGAGGCTGTATATATTGATATACACAAGGAGCATGGTGGTAGAGGCTGTTATATTGATATACACTAGGAGCCTGATGATAGAGGCTGTTATGTTGATATACACAAGGACACCCTGGTGGTAGAGGCTGTATATATTGATATACACAAGGAGCGTGGTGGTAGAGGCTGTTATATTGATATACACTAGGAGCCTGATGATAGAGGCTGTTAGGTTGATATACACAAGGACACCCTGGTGATAGAGGCTGTTATGTTGATATACACAAGGACACCCTGGTGATAGAGGATGTTATGTTGATATACACAAGGAGCGTGGTGATAGAGGCTGTTATGTTGATATACACAAGGACACCCTGGTGATAGAGGCTGTTATGTTGATATACACAAGGACACCCTGGTGGTAGAGGCTGTATATATTGATATACACAAGGAGCGTGGTGATAGAGGCTGTTATGTTGATATACACAAGGAGCATGGTGGCAGAGTTTTTTTTGTTGATATACACAAGGAGCGTGGTGGTAGAGGCTGTTATGTTGATATACACAAGGAGCGTGGTGATAGAGGCTGTTATGTTGATATACACAAGGGCACCGTGGTGATAGAGGCTGTTATGTTGATGAAAACAAGGAGCGTGGTGATAGAGGCTGTTATGTTGATATACACAAGGACACCCTGGTGATAGAGGCTGTTATGTTGATAAACACAAGGAGCGTGGTTATAGAGGCTGTTATGTTGATATACACAAGGACACCCTGGTGATAGAGGCTGTTATGTTGATATACACAAGGAGCGTGGTGGTATGGTCTGCCACATGGATATACTCAAGTAGACCTTGACCAATGTTCTGGCTGTTTCAGGGTATCGGGTTTAGTGAGTACACAGCGTTCTGGCTGTTTCTGAAGAGCATCAACGACGTGGACACGGCCCTCAGCTTCTACCACCTTGCCGGCGTCTCTATTGACATGGGTAATACTACATAGCTTCCAGTCTGCCATAAACTCTTAGTATCTTGTATCAAGTCGAGTACTTTAAACCAAAATTTTGCTGATGTGATTGGTTTGTAATAAATTTACATGTGTCAAATCTGTTTGAAACCTCGAAATTGAAAAAGCCTGTGTACACACATACAAAGCAAGGGTTAGAGTGACCGATCCAGTGTTCTGTATGTTGTGTGTTGATGATCGAGCTGAAACACATCTAACTTGTTTTTTCTATCAATATTTTCACAATTTCCCTCTATGGCCTGTAGGGATTCAGGTTAAGAACCGGTCAACGTTGCTGGTCATAAGATGCAATTTAATAGATTTGGAGATAAGGTTTTGTGACTTGATTGATTGCATGTCATGGTGCCTTAACTGTGTTAATTGTTGCTTATGATAACAATCACTGTATTGTATGATCCAAAATTAACAGACTGCCGTAATAAACTGGAATATTGCTGAGTGCCACATTAAGAAACAAACATCTGTGTAATGAATGAGATGTATGTTGTTGTTTTCAGAGACATTTCGCCATGTGGCCCGCACGGTGGCGCATGTAGAGCTGAGCGATCACGTCATCGATGTTGTCTTCACACTTTTTGATGAAAACAGTAAGACATACAAGTCCATTATATTCCTGACCTAGGTTGTTGAATATGGTCAGTGTATAGCAATGACAACCTGTACAAGAAAGCTTATCAGAGCTTGATGTAGCTAAACAAAACATGCACACGTGCAAGCTATTCTTGAAATATACAACCTAATATCTGTGTCTACATGCACCAAATGCATGTCCAAAGAATTGAATTTTGTGTGTGACTAACCCTTACGTACCTTCCACACAAAATCGAATTTTGAGGACACTCATTACCTCTCAAGTTTGTTCACCATATTACATCGTTTAGATGTAGTTTGTGATGCTTTCAGTTTCTTAGGCTTAATGTCATCAAACTTCAAGATTGTGTGCACAGGTTCCTATCACGTTTTACAGAATAACTTTACGGGACCAGGGTGCAACCTGGTTTTGTTTGGCGCAACTAGGTTTTCATGTCAACATGCATCTGGTGCAAATTAAATCTATTTCCTTAAATCGCCCTACTTATGATTGAAAAAAGTGGTCTCATTCTCATTGTAAGCTTATAAAATGAGTGGACATTTATATACTTACATGAGATTATTTTTTAAAACATAGACTAATTGATAAAGGTGCTTGAAGTAGTAATAATATATCAGTACATCACTGCCATAAATCATGTTTTTTTGCTGTCGTCATAATATAAGATTGGATTTAAAGATTTTGAACAGAAGTTCACTTCACTGTCACCTGTCCATAAACTGTTGAAAATCTGCAAAAATGATAGTGTGATGGAAGCCAAAATACTGGATTTAGGGCAGTGATGTACTGATATATTATTACTACTTCATGTACCTTTATCAATAAGTCTGGTACTAGTATGGTAGCCGTGTTTCATATTGCCATGGAATACCTCAGGCCCCGGTTAGATTCCTCACATGGGTACAATGTGTGAAGCCTGTTTCTCACGCCCCCGCTGTGATTTTGATAGAATATTGCTAAAATTACCACACAACCATACTGACTCTCACCCCCTCTCTCCCCCCAGATGACGGCCAGCTGAGTAACAAGGAGTTTGTGTCGGTGATGAAGCAGCGCGTGATGCGAGGCCTGGAGAAGCCGAAAGACACCGGCCTCATCAAACTACTTAATGCCATGTGGAAGTGTGGCAAATCACAGACCCAGACGTTCATCGACTGAAGGGGCTGCTTATCCATCTTGTTTCCTTGGCAACCAATGTCGGCATTATCCCCCCAGCACCAGAGGGTGCTCCTCCACACGCCCTTACCTTGGCGTCTGCTACCAAGGTCAGCATTGGTATGGAACGTGGTGAAATGCCAGACAGTGATATTTGACTCTCTTGACCTTACTGCACATCTTTCACTTGTTACTTTTTGATCTCACCTTTATTCAATTGGTATGAACTTCGGGTTGCCAATCAGTGTAGTAGATTTGTCTAGTGTGTTAACCACAACTCCGCCAGTCTACTGACACCTTTGAGAGTTATGATTGCTTAGTGCAGCATCAGCTACTGACGTTTGTATGGAGATGTATCCCCTGAACGTGTGTCTGAGACGGAATGAAGGAGGAAGTTAGAAGATGTTTGGTTGAAGGGTTAGCATCCAGGATACCCCTCCTATACACCTGTAGACAGAGGACTTAGAGAGTAAAATCCTGTTCAGTGTTCCTGTGTGGAGCATCTGATCGTAGCAAGATACAGGGGAAGGTTTATGGGATATTTCTTCTTCCTTCGGTTTCGAATCCTTATCATGTTTCTAGATGTGAGACACTCCGTAACGAAGTAGAGAAGAGTTTATATTGAGAGAGTATTCCGCTGTTGCTATTATCAGGCACCACAGATTCAAACAAGTATACTTTTGATCTATCTACTGTGATATACCTATCGATAATAAAATTGTTACCCAAAAATACTCTTGTGTTGTGATATACTAGAATATACAAACTTACTATTGCTGAATAGACTTCACAAGTATTGTCAAATAGCTTTACATACTGCATGTGGAGCTATGATGTTGGTAGATTTGTTGAGGCTGTATTGATTTGGGAACTGAAAACTTATTTTCCATTCTATCATGAGAGAATTAAATGTGAACATTTTGATGAGAGGTATAAGTGGGTATGTCAAATGTTTTCAGTAGGTTCTGGCTTTCATTACAGAAAATGACAGTATTGTTTGTTTGTTGTTAAGCAGCTCTCAGCAATATTCCAGCTTTATAACAGTGGTTGATAATCAACCATATTCATGAGCATCGATCTCCGCAATTGGGATATGATGACATGTATCAACCAACCAAGCCAGCCAGCCAGCCAGCCAGAAAAACACCTAATCCCACATCTTCAGCAACCAATGTTTGTCGTAAACTGTGACTAATTCCAACCCGGAATCTTCACAGGACGAATTGCCAGTTTAATGTGTTGTTTTTTTAGTCATATACTCGGTTCCAAAAGAAACAAAAGACATCTTATGTTGTCTAGAAACTTCTCTACATTGTTTAAGCTTCAATCTCTCTACAATGAATCTATCCCTGAAGAGAACCTTCATATTCATGAGACAACTGTCCAGAATGGTGTCTTTCCAAGCATGTGATAACAACATGCATTGTTTTAATAGGAAACATGGACTGTTGGAAGATATCTACAGCAACAAATGTTCTTCAGTTTCTTTGAGTGACACAGAATGCGCCATGCCCAGTTCAGGCAGAATTGATCGATGATCGGGCATGATGGGAGAGCTGGTGTGGCGGGAACACAAGAGGCAATTGATCTACAGGGTAGCCCACTATGACCAACCATCTTATTGTTGCAAACGGTGCACTGGATCGCCTAGGACGTGAAAGCCGCCCACACATACATCATGACAGAGTTTCCATCCATACTAGCATCAGCAGCAGATGCTTGGAACTGACCACAGAGTGTTGGCTGCAAATCTCAACGTCCATAATATGGGATGTGTGTTTCTTTTGATAGTATATAAAAATACTTCCTGCATGTTCTGACACAGCCTCTTTATAAGCAAGCATTAATTCTATCAGGTCATTTTAGGAAATGATGCATTTGGATTGGTATACAAGTGATGCATGCATTGAACCATTTACCATCAGAGAACATCACTATTGGTACTTGACGGACAGTTTAACAGTGACTTTATCAGACTAGGTTAATGCCACGTAATCACGAAAAGGGTTCATGTTTATTGTGGTAGAATTGAGAAACCAAGCCCATTTCTTAGGTTCAAAACTCTTAAAGATTTGTTTTTCAATCAAAAGGTTGTTTCTGTGGCTGGAAAACTGAATGTGTCAAATTTTCAAGTGCAATTCTCTTCCATATGCAAACATTGTCACCTCAATGCTTTGTTTAACATTGTACTCAGCAATATTTCAGCTATAGTACGTCTCTGAATATATTAATTTGGACAAAACAATCCATGACAGCATGAGCATCAATCTACACAATTGGGATGAATCAACAAAGTCTGACAACCCGATCCTGTTACTTGCCTCTTACAAGCATTGGTTGCTGAAGATCAATTCTAACCCGGATATTTGCACGATTTCACACATAGCAATGCAGGCCGAACAGGTGCAACTGTGTTGTGACAAGGTATAATAAGGCATGTCGACATTATTGTGAAAATTATTATTAAAATCCACAACTCAAGATACTGAGCACAGCCAGATGTGGCACATTTGTCCTTGACCTATGTTTGAACCATGGGGGCTTATTTCATTCCAGTCAGCATTGTGCTAGTGATGGCAGCCTGTAAATAATAAATTCAAGGTCAGGCCATTCAGTGGTAGGTGGCAACGTCAATGTACCTAACCATCAGGACAAGATATGCACAAACAGCCTGTCCACCTGGCTCTTACAGTGGTACTGGGACATTCTCTCCCAGAATCCACTGGGGCAATATGACCAGTTCAGTGAAGAACAAACTCAATTCCCTATAGGTTTTATCATACATCAATTAAGGATCTGCTTCCAAATTGCATCAGAGAGTGAACCGACCAGGATCCACATAAGGCAAGGTGAAATGGGGGTCAACATTTCATTCAGAGTATTTCACTTAAATGCGTGAGTGTGTGTGTGTGTCTGCTTGTACTAGCCAGGATTTACAGAAGATAATAAATACGGCTAGACGACTGAAATAACATGCCATAGCTCAACATGGATGTCACTTGTGTTTGCTTGCACTAGTCTGGCCTAATGTCCAGTTTATGGTGTTAGATCAGTGAGATATCATGCTGCAGTTTTAACCCTACTCAGATAAAGCATACCGACTCCGAACTGACCCAGCCAGGGGACTGAACCACAAACCTTCCACTCTCCAGGCAGATTCTCTATCCACTACACCATAGAGATTGCCACAAAACAGACACAACAACAAAGACTGTTACATAAAGAGGTTTTTACTGAGATACAGTTTATCTGATGTACAGCAAGTGATGCGACATGGTCAATATACACTGATGCGTTAGTTCTTCATGGTCGAGAGTCCATAATACAAAATACACAAGTTAATGTGTGCAAGCAATACTTTAAGTAGATAAAACACTTAGAATTCCTGCAACATAGTAGTTTCCCCAACACATGATCATACTCTCAAGTTGACTGGCCTAAAATGTTTTCATATTCCGTACAATTTAAGAAAGCTTCCTTATAATATGTACACATAAAAGTAAACCATGTATGAAATTCATAAACGATGTCAAGCCAGTCGGTTACAGGGCTGAAATACCATATGAAGCCATGGAAGTGTCCCATAAAAGTATAATGTAGAAAAGGTGATGTCATGACAAACACTTAGTGAAGACAATGTTCCCATCATTCTTCCCACAGACATGGAATAAGCATTGACTGATGCCAGGGGGAAGCTGGATCCATGATCAGAGGCAATGCATCTATTACTTGACCGAGTCAAGTGTTGTAAATCTGCTTGCGGTGTTTATGCTAAGGTTGTGTCCATGTCACAATTAAAACTTTTCACAATAAGCAGCTGTTCACTTCAGAATGCTGTGTAGTTTGGATTTCCTCCCATTACATTATTGTTCATGCCGCCCATGTTGTTGCCATAGCCACCACCGCTGCCTCCTCCCCCGCCGCCACCTCCCATGTAATTATTCATGTTGCCTGCAACAAAAACGCTTACATTAGAGCTTGTCCAAATTAAGTGTTCATGTGTCAATGTTTCTGCCAATTAGTGACTATCTCTAAATATTTTCATACATATAAAAAGAAAAAATTCAAAACAAATATATATTTTGAGTATTATCGAAATGAAGTAAATCATGGCAAACCTTATACAACCCATTGTCAATACAGGATGCAGTAAGAAGTAAGAAGGTCCTTGTCATAACCCTGATGTTTGGAGTTAAGGTTCAGAGGGTATCAAGATTCAAATACTATCGTCATAAAATACAAGGACTCTACAGAACCCAATTAATTTCAATCAGCATATTTTTTGTACTTGAGAACCTTTGTTTGACCTACCTTGATAACCACCTCCGCCGCCGCCGCCGCCGCCTCCTCCTCCTCCGAAGTTGTTACCATTGCTTCCGTAGTTACCACCACCCCCACCATATCCTCCGGAGTTGCCAAAGCCACTGCCCATGCTGCCACCCCCACCAAAACCACTTCCACCCATCTGCCCTGAGCCAAATCCACCTCCACCTCCGCCGCGTTCAGCTGGAGCTGAGTTGAGGAACAGTTCAATGTAGCGGTGCTCTGTAATCAATGATGGATGATCATAATTAGTACTTGTCAATAAAAGAACTATCTGATACATTATTCAACTCTTCACAATCCTGTATCCACTATGTTCCTTGATCACTTGTTTAAGATCATTTTAATGAATCAAACTTTCATAGTATTCTAAAACATCCCAATCTCATGACTTCTTATGAAGTTCAAATTTACTACTTTAATCTATCCTATACAAAAAGATAAGATTATTCCAATCAACTTCCTTTACCCATTACCACTTACGCATATTTGACTTGTGTTTCTTCATAGCCTCAACAGCTTCTTGATGAGAGCCAAAGTCAACATTTGCCTCGCCAGTTGGTCGACCATTTGGGGCATATTCAAATTCAACTTTCACAGGGCGTATTGGGCTGAAGAACTGAAATTCAAAACAATTGTTTTACAATTTATGAATAAGCAGAAAATCGAACATCTAATAGGAGACACATACATCAAGGAAATGTCTTGTGGTAATAAAGAACTTTAACATGTTCTAAGCTTTTGAGTGGTTCAGTGCAGTAGCTGGAAGTAATATCAACTCACATCATACACATCCTGTTCAATGGCCTGGAATGGAAGGCCTCGCATGTGTACAGAATGTCCTGTGTCGCTAATGTAATGACTGCCAGGAGTGGCTCCGCGGGGCCGGTCCATGTTCATCCGGCCACGCTGATTGTTGCCTCTCATTCCACCGCCAACACCAGCTCCGCCGCCGCCACCTCCTCCACCACCTCGACGGTTGCCACCCCCAAATCCCATACCACCTCCATACCCTCCACTGTAATCATCAAAGTCATCTTCAAAGTAACCTGAAAACAAAAGCAAAAAAATAATAACAAACAATGCTAAGAACTCATAATACTAAACAACAAAAAATGTGAAAGTTTTGAGCTACTGTGAGCTAATACAAAAATATATCAAACTAATTTACCTTTCACATTTCTGCCACCACGCCCACGGCCGTATCCTCCCATTCCCATGCCGCCGCCACCGCCGCCGCCGCCTCCTCCTCCTCCACCACCACCTCCTCCTCCTCCCATGTTGCCCATGCCCATCCCACCGAAGCGGTCATTTCGATCATAGGGCCCTGGGCGTCCCATGGACCCACCCATCATAGGCCTCATCCGTTGCTGGCCCATGGCATTGTAGGCCTCGCCCATACTGCTTTTGAAGATCTCTATGTACCTGAAAGGTGCCAATCAACATGCTGCAGTCTGTGTACAATACATATATGTACATCCTAACATAAGAGCATTAGCAATTGTATATTACTCAGGGACTTCTTGTTCCGATTCCTTTCATTGTCTTTCCCCAATTAGTTTCAATAACCTTGGTTACATAATGTCATACATTAAAAAACATGAATCTTTCTTTATCACACAACTTAACACATTCAGTTTAATCAAATAGCATAGCTAAATTTTAAGTTACACATTGTCATCAAAGGATAATTAATTCTTTATCACTGGAATTCAATGTAAATCCCTAATACAATAAAACAAAAAGACTGAAAACATTCACACAACTTTCTCACCACTTCTCATCAGTACATGTATTGAAGTTTCAATATTTACTTTTTTCTGTACGTTTACATTACAAACCTAATATTTCTGAAACATCACACCAGCACATCAATCATACAGAACGGTAATAGTTATAAATGGCTACAGTAACACAAGTGTCTATAATTTATTGCCATCACTCCAAACATCAACAGAAGATTCCTTGTATCCACCATCCACCCGGCCCAATGGGACCCCAACCATCCATACCCACTCTGCCCAGTAGCATCCAAGAGAAAGAAGTAAAGTTAGCGATGTTGCAGGCGGTGGAACGCGACTGTCCCTCCCGCTGCTGTCATCAGCCCAGCCTCCCACCTGTGCCCTATCCTTTCCTTGTGTTTACCCAGGGCTTTTTCTGCTATGTCTTGGGATGCAAACTGGACATACGCCTCCCCCGTGCTGCGCCCCTGTCGATCCTCAGGTAGCATAATCCCATTGGGTACAATCTCCAACCCTACAGACCCACCCAACAAAAACAGAGCATAGCAATCTCAGTCCGATGGTAGTGCAACATAGAACATGAAGTAGTCATCAGAGTAGCATGTATGTAGCTGTGTGTCAACTGTCCGCAGTATGTACCTGTTACCTGCAGGTACTTTTCATTTGGCTGCACCAATCAAAATATCTCACGAGTACCAATGAGTAGAATTATTTTCCTAACTGTTACAGTGTTTAAAGTTTCTGTTATATTTAGGAATATGATACCCAGTGATTTGGAAATTCTTTTAAATAGTTTCAATTCACATTACAACTTCTGTCAAAAACGTCACTGACCAGACTAATATTTCATATTTCAATTCCAAAATCCATGCAAATGTCTGATTCTTGAATTAATAAAATAATAAACACTCATTATAATTTCCTGAAATCTATAACCTAAAATTGTAATGTCCTTTGATGTGCTGAATTATTGTCAATTGTATCATGTCTGTCAAATCCAATGCGATTAAAAGCTGACAATACCTACAACAAATTTTAAATTCTGTTATCCACAGTCTTAAACCATTTAAGATAACAATTTCTAGTATTGTTGTGATAAGATCGATTTAAGAAAGGACAAATGTTTACAAAGCAGGTTGTCTTCAATGGTGTTTGATGTGATGTTTCCAATTATCTCCCTTGAACCATCTACAGCAGCCAGCAGTGCCAGGACAAGTTCAGGTGGAACACTGACTATACGAAGGCAGTCACAAACAAGCCCAAACAATGTATCTGACATGGTGGTCAATAGACAACGATTGCCAGTAGTTTTCAAACAGTCCCCAAAACAAAACCATTACCAAAAAGTCATTTCTCAAAACCATTCCTTTGCAATCCTTTACAGTTCACACTACACACTGGTTCATTCTTCAATCCATTGACCAAGAACTCAGTTGTAATGGTATAATAGATGGATCCTCTTTATCCATCTCAAATCAGAAATGCTACCCTTTATTTAGCACCTTTACATCACTGAATCGATCTTATCACCATTTAACATACACAGTTGTTTATTACACAAGCAGACAATTAAGCATTTATCATAATCCCATTTCATCAACCATTACACACTTTATAAATTACAGTTTATGTTTGAATGAATACTTTATTAAAATTTGCAAAGTTTATTTATTCATTTTACAAAATATGTGTATGTTATGTACAGAAAAGTAAGAGACATACCTGTGAAAAATTGAGCAATTTCTTCTTTGGAGCAGCCAAATGGGAGGCCCCGAAGCCTGACTACGGCCTCGGTTGGCGCCTGCTGGTTGGGCCCTGCACGTTTGATCACCCAGTCCATCTCACTCTTTTTGGACCGGAATACTGAAAATAAACGCTGATGTGATACTTTCCATACACTACAGATTCATACCATAAAATACTATCAGTGTTCCAAGTGAAGGATGAAAGTAAAAAAGGTCTTGTCATAACCGTAATGCTAATGTATGTAATGAAAGTTTTAGAGTCTCTAGATTTAAATACTAAAACAAAAAATACTCAAGGGATTAAGTTTCAAACACCGAATATAAGAAAAATATTTTAGTGGTTATCACCCTTATCTCACCTTCGATATATCTCTGTCCCATATGTTCATTATTCTTCTTGACTGCCTGCTCTACATCCTCATCATTCATAAACTCTACAAATGCTTCTCCACTAGGACGTCCCTCACGAGAAAATGTAAAGTGGACATTGCGTATTCCACAGCTCTCAGGATCTTCAATTGAAGGAAAAACATTCTCAACCTATACTTAAAAAACATGCTCAATAGATAGCTGCATAATTCTAGTAGTATACTGCTCCCCTTTTCATATCTAACATCTACTAGTCATTGATACATAGATACAAATCCTTCCTCCAGGCCAGATAAAGAAACTTAAGATGATTTTGAACCAGCCTTCACAAGTTCAAAAGTTAACATTAAAGAATAGAGTTGACATTTTACTCCTAGATCTAGATCCCAACCATTTACCGTTTAAGTACACCAAATATTCCTAACTGAAAAGGAATTCTGCCAAAACGTTTGAACCGGGAAATATGAACGAGTGTAGTTTCCTTTTTTCTATCACAGTATAATGTAACACTATCAGTAAGGGCAGCCAAGGCAGGGTACCTGACATGTTTTCCAGTTGCAAATGTATAGACATTTTTCTTCACTTACCAACTTTAATGTCCGAGTTTTCTTCTCCTACAAATCAAAATGAAAACATGTATAATCAATAGATATAATAATAGAACATTTCAATAAGAACATGTGTTGGTAAAGAAGATTTTATCTGACTTCATTAGTTTCAACTTCAGCTACACGATTTCATTCTGCTGTCAGCAAATTTCTGAATCAGTGTTCAGTCGAGAAACTGGAAAACTGGGGCCAAATGATCCCTACCTTTCTATGAATTATGGACATTTGATGAAACCGAGGAACACTCAAAAAAGTTTGAAATAAAGACAACTTGAACACTGGTGAATATTGTGTGAAAAGTAGCAATCAGCAAGATTCATTTCCAGTGACATCAAAATAAGATGATGCTACATATTTTATTTGGCTATCACTAAAGACCAATGTTTACAGTACAAACCTGCAAAAAATCGGACTACTTCCTCAGGTGTAGCTGCCCATGGCAAACCGCGAAGCCTTACAACAAAGCCGTCATCCTCGTGAGAACCCATGCCTTCATAGACAAAAATGATTGTTAGTACCTTATATATATTTATTGCGATCATGGTAACAATGCTTAAGATATAGTTAACATTTTGCACGTAGACTGACCGTCAAAATGAACAGAACACAACATAGACCCATATGCATTCCAATACCATCAATGAAAGATAATAAACAAATACAGATCTAATTCTGCAATGTGATTACCATGATACTTCTAATTTTAAAATTTTAATTATTTACATGGCAACTTGCGTCAAAAAAATACAATCTTAAATCTACTATGAGTACGTATACACCACATGTTACAGTAGAAGTAATTTCTCTACAAGCCACCATAATGCGCCAAATTCATGCATAGATCTAGGCTACTCAAATTGTGTTATCAGTGGTTGTGGTTTGAATCTCTAATAGTGGAAGTCCTTGTTCCTAAATTCAGTGATGAGAAAGGAGACTGTTTATAAAACCACAATTGCAAAGGCGACAAAATATTGGGTATGTCTTTGAAACACTTAATGAAAGTACAAAACGAAGGCATTACTTAGTTTGCAGAGATCCTATATTGTCGAGTGTCAGCACAATCAATGACTTACACGCTACCGAGTCAGCCTGCGACTTGGGCTTTGTTTCTATTGTCCTCGATTTTAAACATAAATACGCAACTGACCAGGAATATATCAAAATCAAATATTAGAGGTCCGGAAATGCAGTGGATTTGCTTATACTGATACTTGTCAATATGAAGCAATCCGAAAGAATCATTAGCATTGGCCACGACTCCGCACTACTCTTTGAAGTCTTTGTCACGTTTAGGCGCAAATTGCAAAATTGTAGATATACTTAGACCCACCATCTCACATAAATTACTACAAGATATTAAACAACATGGAGTGCACTATGTGGCATTATGCATAAGAATGCACTTAATACAAGCTGACATACCGGCAATGTGATATTTAAGTCTTGCTGCTTTCGTCTGAAAATGTCGAACTTTCCAATATGGCTACGCCGCGTTCTCCCGCATGTGCTTGCCGGAAGTGGCCGAACTGCATTACGTTTTCATTTTACTTTTTCTATTTTTACCAGAAAATGTTACCATTTTGTGAAGATTGGTTTTTAATGAGCATTAACACGAAAAATATGATATTTTTGTACCACCAACGTTTATGGACGCCAAACTTCCTTCCGGTTTGGGCATAAACATTCGATCGCCATATTGGTGACATTGTTAATAGAGGAATAGCCTTCGAAATCAACAATCATCTGCATTACCTATGTAGAAGTATTGAATTTACTGGTATTTTTGAAGGACTAAGAGTACAGTCAATTTACCCTTCAAGGAATTTTTGTGTGGTTTTCGAAGATGAGCTTCCTTTTGTAAGTTTTGTCAGCTGACTATTCTTCTCAATTTGTTTGTTTACAAACATCAGTCACAGTTATCATCTTTTGCAGAGGTTATTTCATTACATTTGATTATGACAGCAGGTGGACCATGAAATGCATTGTTGTATTATGAAGATAACGTTTGTTGTGAATGGTTCATGCATGTTTTGGCGTGTCTTTTTTATACAAAATGGTTTCGTATCATTTTGACAAATGCTTCCGGTTTCTAAGTGTCAATGTCAAAACGTACTTATTCTGCCTTTGACTGATACAAGGCAGCGTTTTAAACGATGTGTAAATAACTTCAATCACGAAGAGAAACGTTTTCACACTAGAGCGGAGACTGTAGAAGTTACGAGAACTGAAAAGTGTAAGATCCTGCTCTACTACCGGTTGCTGACACATTCAGAGCTAGGGACTGGTCAACAATGTAGGTAGGACTACCATACATTCGCCCTGCCAAAAACATATTGAGAACTCGGTCAATTCACCCTGTTTGAAGTATAATAATGGTATAATAATAACACAAATACCCATCAGCACAATAAGAACACTAGATTGTTCCACAGTGAGCAATGTAAACTAGCAAAAAATATACTGGACAAGAAAGGTTATAAATCATGAAATATTGTTATAGACCCTAGAGATTTAAAGAAACTCGGTCTTCACTGCCAAAAATACCTCTCGAAATATTCATGATCTCGAACTTTTTTGTTCAGTATCAGGGATAATTCTAGGGTCGGGCCTTGTGCTTTTAGCCCCGAAATTTGAAAAAAGGGCCACATTTACAAATACATTGGGGCATTTTAACATTGTGCTGTATGGGAGTACCACCTGAATTTTAACATTTTTATATTAAGGGCCCATGTCACAAAATCCCTAGAGTGAATCCTGCAGTATATATAAGGAAGTATCTCAAAACTGTTCCATATTTTGAAAAATACAGGGGCTACATTAAACTGACGTTATGTAAGGTATTCCAAGGGAAAGAGATGAGAAAAAACATTACCACTTATCACTCTGATTTAGAGATTTTAGTCCTCTTTAATTCTTTTGCAGTGATGAATGGTGTGTTACGAATGTGTTTTTCGTAAATATTCTGTTTATTTGCAATGATATTCTAGCTTATATAGAATGACAAGTGGAACATTTACTTTTATTTGAAGAGAAGTGTTAGCATTAGTAAGAAATTGCTGGTGGTTCTGAAATGTTTCAAGTGAAAAATAGTGTCACAACCCAGGATAACATGAAAATAGAGTTCCCACTTTGTCCCTGGGATTTACCCTGTCTATCTATTTGTGAGTTCTGGTGACTCTCAGAGAAATAATTTCCAGGCATAAAATGTGGGTCTAAACAATCCCGTGACCGTGGTGACCTATTTAATGCCTTCAGACTGGCAACATGTGCCATACAACATTTTACTTCCAAACTTTTTAATGACGTAGTAGCACTGCATGACCTGATGATGTAAGCTCGTTATAGATTTCCTGGTTTGAATTAAACTTACACTTGGTGACTTATGGCAAAACATTTGACATGGACCGCCTGAACATTTTCTGAACAGAATAGTAATATGTTTTTGATTTTATGATGGTATGTGCATACTGCAGCTGAACTAATTTGTATGTTTCATACAGCCATGCATGGGACTTACCATGTTAATGTGCATACAGTCATGCCCCGCTTATACGGACTTCAGATATCCGGAAACCTCGGTTCCCGGACGATTTTCATTCAAAACGAAATAATTACTATATAAATTTACCCGTATATCCGGAAGTTCAGTTTCCGGAACCGGACGGTCATTTTCATACATAAAAAACACTGAAATGCACACAAAACTGTCTCACTTATCTGGACAATACACTTCCGCTGGTGGTAATCCTTTGATTCGTGAGAAGTCAATTAACCAAGTGACACTGAGTTACGTTTGAGACGAGCTTGTTTATTATACATGTAATCCCCTTCGATAAATATGGCGTCTGTGGAGGTCAAAGGTCAAAGTTGTGTAAGTATGGCCTGTCAACCAGTGAAACGTAAGCGAAACGCAGTTACAGCACGCGGAAAAAGGGAAATTTGTCTGTTTAAAGAAAAACACCCGTCCGCAAGTTTAGAAACCATCAGTAAGCATTATGGCACTGAATTTGGACATACCATAGGAAAATCGACAATTGGTGACAGTTCAAACTCCATGACAGACTTTTTGAAACGTGTATGAATAAAGATTGAGTGGATGTATCTGTTTGCTCTGTCATCTGTCATGAGTTGCATAATTGAAGGGAAGTAACTCTTCCAGTAAGAAGCTGGTTTCAGTTATACGAAAATTTGTTTGTATAAACGAGGCACGACTGTATTATACACATACGTGTAAATTCTTAAGTTATGTGTATATATTATGCAAACTGTTTTGTCTAGTAAAAACCTTGTTTGCACTGAGCAAGAAGTTTGTTAATCTTTTTTTTCTAGACCATTTCATTGGGAACTCCTGGCAGTAGTTATTGTAGTTTGTTGTTTAATGCTGGAACCAATGATATTCCAGCTAAATCTTGGCTGGTTGTAAATAATTAAGTCTGCACTAGATAATCTTGTGATTGATATTGTAAGCAACGTCCGATGTCACGATGACACCCAATTAACCAATTCGCAGATTTTGATCGCAAGCCATTAGTTGCCTTGTACAACAAGCATAGGTTACTGGGGACCTGATCAAGCCAAGAATCCCTGTGGGGGAGGCAATTATAGTATAGTATTATATATAGTATATCAACAAGTCATTAAAACATGTTTATAAAGTAGTAGGATTTATTCTGAATCAATTTCAACAAGCATATGTTAAATGCTGCACTTCTTTTGAGAATTTGTGAAATGTAAAGATGTGCTCTTGTTAGCAGATATGAGGTAGATGATATTGCAAGCTGTAGCACCAGTCCCAGACACCCTTGCTTGTAGTAGGAAGCAACTTAATGGGTCTGGTGGTCTGCCTCCTACATGGTTGATAGCGTAGTATTGTGTGTTGTGGAGTGCTGTGGTAAAAAACAACCAACAGACAAACCTAGCACCAGTAGTCATTGGCTGTAAATGGAGTAAATACTGTCACTAAGTGTTAGTCTGTAAACCTTGCTTTTTCTGTAGGATTACTGGATTTGTTTCTTTTTTTCTTCTCGTTTAACGCCACACTCAGCTATATGATGGCGGCCTGTAGTTAATTGAATCTGATCCAGACAACCCAGTGAGCAATATTGCGAGCAACTGTCCACACCGTCAGGGTATGATGACATGCAATTAACCAAGTCACCGAGCCCAACCACGCGATCCATTTGCTTGCCTCTTACAACTAGTATAGATTGCTGAGACCCATTCTGACCAGAAATACCCACAGGGCAGTTACTGTTTGGAAGGTCTAGTTTGTATTAGAGGGATATTGCCTATGCCGAGGCTAATCTCACCTAGATTAATCAGGATAAACAAGATTTCAGTGTATAATATTGCAAGCAGTTATAACATGGCTGGATTAGCTATCCATGGAGAATGTTCACCTGGCTGATTGTACTAATACTGTTCATTCTTTGTTGTTTGCAGTGGAAGTCGAAACAACAAAACATTCAAACCAAAGAAGAACATCCCCGAAGGAACTCATCAGTATGACTTGATGAAACATGCGGCGGTTACCCTGGGAAGTGGTAACCTCCGTCTGGCCGTTATGCTCCCTGAGGGGGAGGACCTCAATGAGTGGGTGGCAGTCAACAGTGAGTAGCCCACAGGCTAGCCTAAGGCCACACTTTTTTGAATTTTATGTTTCACCTTTTCCACACAAGGTCGGTCGAAATAAAATTAATAGCTATTTTATTTTATTTATTTATTTATTTATTTATTTATTTATTTATTTATTCATTCATTCATTCATTCATTCATTCATTCATTCATTCATTCATTCATTCATTCATTCATTCATTCATTCATTCTCCCATTCATTCTACCATTCATTCTGCCATTCATTCTGCCATTCATTCATTCATTCTGCCATGGAGTTGAAACTGCAGCTGGCTTGTTGAATCACTGATAAAGATGTAGACATGGAATATGTATATAACATTTTTTATTGAGGGTCTTTGTTGCTAGCCGGAGAAATACTATAAATAATTATTTTTAAGTTTAATATGTTTCTTTTCTGGCTGCTTTTCCAAAAATAAATGTGTGGCCTAAAGAGAATGCATTGTTCGAAATTCCATGTATATAGGATTCCAAACAGTGCCCTTCACAAGCAAACTGTGAAACAATTCTCATTTTGATTCTGAGATATTTAGCATTGCATCAAATGCAATAATGTAAACTTAAGCACGATGGCCTCTTTCTATCTGCTGGTCCTGTTTTCAGTGAAATACTACTAAGTATCTCGACTAAGCCAACTTACATTAACAGGAGTTGGGAAGTTTAGTTTCGAATTTTTACTGACATTTGCTGCAGAAGTGTGGCCAGATATTGGCCTGAGAAAGTGTAGATAAATTCCTGGTATTATAGTGCTTGTTGTTAAAGTAGTAATGACATGATTAAAATACGTTCCTAGTATATGAAGGGCACACTTTGAAGTCTTTGTTTTAGCAAAAATATATATTCCAAATTTCAACTACAGGTATATATTATCTAGCCTTGGAGAAATGATAGATCAAAATTTATATTCTAATTGGCACACTTTATTATGAAAGGGCACACCTAACCATGTTCATGAGTGACCTGTGATACACTTGGAAAAATATTACATTTGTATCTGTTAAAACAACAGATAAGATTGTTTGTTTTGACATTGTTTAATATGATATCCACCTCCATCCACAGCTGTTGACTTCTTCAACCAAATCAACATGCTGTATGGCACAATCACAGAGTTCTGCTCGGAGGAGTCATGTTCGGTGATGTCTGCGGGGCCAAAGTACGAGTACCACTGGGCTGATGGACAGACCATCAAGAAGCCTATCAAGTGCTCGGCCCCCAAGTACATTGACTACCTCATGACCTGGGTGCAGGACCAGTTGGACGATGAAACACTCTTTCCCTCTAAAATAGGTCAGTATTGTCCAACGACAGCTGTAGGACACTTCTCTTGAAGTGAAGCTACACAATTCATGTTCAGTTTTGATTTTTACAAAAATTTCAAGAATCGTCGGGGCACTGGTGGCCCAGTTGTCTAAGGTGCCACAATTCGTTCAGCAGGGTTGCATCCCTTAGGCATGCCAGGATTGTGGGCTTGAATCTAGGTTCGTCCTGATTATGTTCTATGTTGTCAGCACTGTACCTTTGGCATCATTGGGGTCTTTCTCCCACAATAAGCTGACAAACTGTGATGTAACTGAAATACTGTTCAAAGCCTTAAGCTCACCCAAGTTTGATCCCCACATGGGTTCAGTGTGTGCAGTCCATTTCTTGTGTCTCCTGCCATTATGTTGCTCAACTTTTGGTAAAATTAGTGTCAAACCATACTCACTTATTGTACCCCGACAAGAAGGCTTGCTGGTGAAGCTATCTGCCATTGTTGTTTTTCGACCTAGATTCTTAACATCATGATAACCTGTAATAAACCAGGCTGTGAAACAAACCAGGCTGTGAAACAAACTTCAGTCGCTTGTTTTCATTTAAGGTGTGCCATTCCCGAAGAACTTCCTGTCCATTGCCAAAACGATCCTGAAGCGCCTGTTCCGTGTGTATGCACATATCTACCACCAGCACTTCAAGGAGGTGGTCCAGCTGAGCGAGGAGGCTCACCTCAACACGTCCTTCAAGCACTTCATCTTCTTTGTGCAGGAGTTCAACCTCATAGACAGAAAGGAACTAGCGCCTCTACAGGAGCTTATTGATAAACTCACCAGCAAGGACCGATAGATGCCAATCCCCAGGAACCTCCTGGCTAATGTTCTTCAAAGTTTACAGTGATTCTGCAGAATCTACAGTCTTCTTGTGACTTGCTAGGGATGTAACGATATGCTTGAGCGATGACCTGCTAGGGATGTAACGATATGCTTGAGCGATGACCTGCTAGGGATGTAACGATATGCTTGAGCAACTGCAGGATTGCAATGTCCATGCTGAATTATGGGATGTAATTTGATGTTTGATTCTAAAAGTTTTTTAGAGATATAATAACTGAAATTTACTGTTTGCACTAAATGATAATGTTCATCCATTTGGCAATTATGGACTTGATGCGCATTAATATAGAGGCCTTATTGTTCCTGCCATGCTCACAGCAGTATGAACAACCATGGCGGTGGAACTCTTGCTGTTAAACATGAAAAATTTGTAATGATTTTAGGCAATTAATCAACTAATCGTTACACCCATAATTTTTAGAATTGACGTTAGATTCCATTGTGGTTTGAGGCTTGTGATCCATGAGTATTTTCATTATCGGTGATAAGGTTTAGACGGACTTCCAGTGTTTTAATGATGGAGACCATGTGGTAAATGGAAAAGGCATGTTGTATGTCCTGCCAAAGTAATCTGCTTTAAATGTGTGCATCTACTGATGTTGAACATGAGGACGTGCTCCTAACTAGTCATACATGAAAACACCATATCATTAACGTAGTGCTTGTTAGCCTTAGTGAAATATTCATTTGGAATTGGTAGCCATCAAATATCCATCATCCTCTGTCTTCTATTGTGGTATCACACTCTATCTTTTAGGGGACATCATATCCTTTTGTTGATTGTGACGGACAGGAAGGTAGTATACGTCTGTAAGATGACTATAGATTCTGCCAATGACCAACATGTCACCTTCTGGCCTTCGACATATGAAGCACTACCGCGGCAAGTGGTAGATGGCAACATGTCACGCCTCACCGACCAACCATGCATGCCTTGTTGTTTCACTATGGAATTGTGTTGCTAGTCTGCTGTAGCCAGTCAATATGGCTGTTACTATTTTATGCTTCATTTTGTTAACTGTTTATGAGCAGGACTCAGTGTTTGTGGACTGCCCAGTTCAGGCGTGGGGACATGCTGATAGGTCACAAATAGTGATGTCAGTGTGAAGCTCTGGCAGCGTCTCTGGACCAAAGTGTTTCACAGCTTGTGTGATTATTAGAAACCCTGTCAGGGAGTATGTGAAGCTGATGGCATTTTCTGGAGATGTTCATTTTACTTTAGAATGTAGACTTCTTCCTTTTTCACTACTGAAAGAGAGGAATTTTAAACCCTTTAAAATATTTGAATTGCGCTAGAAATCATATAAATTGTAGATGAGACAAAATGTTGGAAATGAAGATCCTGTGATTTTAGTTGTGAAGATCTTAAATCATGACCAGTAGGATTCCTGTTAGTTTGCTCTGTGCTGTTGGCGGCACCGTCCTGGGGTTCTTAGAGAATCGAAAATGTTCTCGAGAAAACATGCTATTAAAATATTACTGAAGATTTTATCGCTGTGTCATTACACACAAAGTACTTTGTCCAGGCTGAAACAGAGGATTCCCTGATTCCCAGATGGAGATAATGCAGTGTGAGTTGCTAGTAGATGGTGTCTCCGATTGACGTGTGTAGGACTGCTCTGTATTGTGTAATTTTGGAAGCGGCCACCATCATCTAGGTATGCGAGTAGGAGTGCTGATGTGTTTCATGTCCCATATACGTTCAGTGTCACCTGGGCCCATGCCCTTCACTATATGCAGTGCCAATATTACCTATAAGCTTGCTTATCAGCGGTCTCCAAATATGAATAGTATGTATTGCATGTCAAGCCATCTTGAGACTGACTAACATTGTTTCTATCATCTCTGCTTGGACCACAGACCAAAGTGGGCATAGCCTGGGTGTTTATTGTTTGGGTTGAACACCCTAGAAAGTCCCCTGCAAGGGAACAGTGTACATGCTGCTCCCTTCTAGATAATGTGATTCTACTCTTAATGGACTTGTGTCTGTGGTCTCCTCTAGATTACTACGTATTGCATTGCCATCACACAGAGACTTGCTACAGTTTGGTGTTATATATCACACGCCATCGTGCTACATATCGTGTTATGTATCCCAGATCTGCAACAGATCATGTGTTATATAGCACGGCTGTCCTGCAGATCATGTGTTATATATCACACACCATCATGCTACAGATCCTTTTATGTATCACAGATCTGCAACAGATCATGTGTTATATATCACACACCATCATGCTACAGATCCTTTTATGTATCACAGATCTGCAACAGATCATGTGTTATATATCACACACCATCGTGCTACAGATCATGTTATGTATCCCAGATCTGCAACAGATCATGTGTTATATAGCACGGCTGTGCTGCAGATCATGTGTTATATATCACACACCATCATGCTGCAGATCATGTGTTATACATCACACAGATTTGCTACAGTTCATGTGTTATTTGTCACAACTATTTGCTGCAAATCATGTTATTTATCCAGCAGAATTCCTGAAGATCATGTGTTATATATATCACATAGATTTCTTAAAGATGTGTTATATGTCACACATAGACTTGCAACTAGTCTGGTTTTATATATCATATAGACTTGCTACAAATCCTGTTTATATATCACACAGACTTGCAACAGATCATGTGTTATATAACAGATTTGCTAGAGATCATGTTATATATCACACATAGACTTGCTACAGATCAAGTGTTAATCTGTGCGTCGCTGATCTGTTGTCATGGAGTAATCATCTGTGATAGCACAGACCAGTGATGTGTACAAGAAAATTACCTTCTAAGATGTCTTTCAAATTCATTTATGGCAATACATACCCACAAGCTATATCTCACCTTTTGAGTGGGATTGTTATGGCCTTGTTAGAGTGGTGAAACATGTGAGGTTGTTGTAGACAATTTAGATGGTGAACCTGTTCATTTTCAAGAACTGTCAATTTTTAAGGTAAATTAGAAGTGATATAGCTTTGTGATTTGATTGACTTGGCAGTTTTGGATGTGAACATAGTTACTAGCTATTGTCGAAATAAACCTTGCTGTCATGTTTCATTTACATATTAAGTCTACATATTGAGTCTACTGTTTCTTTGTGTCATGGTTTGGTATTAGTGTTGACATAATATGTGTGATATTCCCCGTATTGTGGAAACATCTTTGAGTAGTTTTCTTCCCCTCCTATTGAGCTTTGGTCAGTCTAGGATTGGGTTTCTCTCTTTTTTCTTCTTCAAGTTTTATCAAGACGTTTTCATTTATTTTTCACAAGTGCCATTCATATTGTTGATGTATGTAGATTTTGATGTTAGATGTCGTTCTGTGTAACTGATATGTTGTTTAGTTCCCTGTTATTACTGGCTGCATTGTCCTCAGCTCTGTACTGTTAAAGGTGTTGTATGTATGTGAGAGGAATCTCGACTGACCCCCAACCCGTCACGTATCCACGTCAGCTAGATGTAACCTAGTGACACTCATGGATGAAGCTTTTCATGGGAATATACATGTACCCTGGTGCTTTACCATTAGAACCAGCAGACAGTTTGACGTTTTGTCTGTAACAATATTAGTATCCCTCTTAAAGGGTGTTGTCTGCCAATCTTTTTGAGATAAATTACCAGTAATTCTCCATGTGAGATATGGTACATATTGTCCCATGTGAGATATTGTCAGTAATTCTCCATGTGAGTGATATGGTACATATTGTCCCATGTGAGATATTTTCTGTAATTCTCTATGTGAGATATGGTACATATTGTCCCATGTGAGATATTGTCAGTAATTCTCCATGTGAGATATGGTACATATTGTCCCATGTGAGATATTGTCAGTAATTCTCCGTGTGAGATATGGTACATATTGTCCCATGTGAGATATTTTCTGTAATTCTCCGTGTGAGATATGGTACATATTGTCCCATGTGAGATATTGTCAGTAATTCTCCGTGTGAGATATGGTACATATTATCGCATGTAAGGTATTGTGTGTAATTTGCCATAAGGCATGTTCCATAACCCCCTACAACAGACATGGTCTATTTTCCCTGATGAAAGAGATTTCTGAAAGCTCTTTGTTCTTGTCTGTAATACCTTGGAAGCTGTTGTCTGTAATTCCCTGGAAGCTTTTGTCTAATTCCCTGGAAGCTATGTCCTTGTATGCTTGTTCCCTCCACGAGAGCCCATGGCATGTAGACCTTGAAGCTACAAACCAAATGGCAACATCACCGCCTCACTAATGCACTCAAGGGGCCATCAGTCTTCACTTCAGGGATGCCTTCTTCACACTTGCTGCTCCAGTTCTTGTAAGCACAGGCTTTATGAAATCAATGTCCCATATTTGTAGTATTTTGTGTTGAGAAAATCCAGATTGGAAGATGAGGTGTTTCTTGTACAATGTTGCCTAGGGCATAACATTATAATCATTCAGCAGTGATAGAGGGGTTTGCTTCTAAATCACGATCCAACTCACTTTGATCTGGTCCCAGCGCATCTTCAACATCCACACGGAAAGGTTTCTCTGACCTCCCATTTGGTCATATCACCAGCCATCTTGGAAGATGTTGAGTGTGTACTGGGACAAGGTGGAAGATAGTTTGACCGGTCGTGTACAGTCATTGGTATCTCGATGTAAGCTAACGCCAGGTGCTCATCCAGAAATTCCATCCCATAAACTTATTTATCTATCATTTCTTCATAATGAGTTGACAGACTATCTGCCATCATTGTACATTATGTACATAGAAATTGTATGTAGCAAATATCTTTTGTATAAAATATATACAATACTATTCTGGTGTTGCTTTTAATATTTCCTTGTATGTCAGTTGGCAGAATACATGAAGAGGGGAAAGAACTCTGCCGTATATCACTTTTGTTTTTTTACATAACATTGGGTGATATACAAGCTACATGAGGGCAGGCTGTCTAAGCCAGATAACATCTCCCACTGTACAATGGCAGGCAATCAGCCAAGTCACAGACCACCTGATCCAGGAGGCAAGAAACTGTTGCTGGCCACCAACCCTTCACCCAGACCTCCCATGGATAACAGTGAACACAGCATACCTTGTGGTCTTCCCACCACCTTTGCAGTGCAGAGTTGTCCCCCTTAGCTGTGCCAGGATCCTGAGTTAAGGTTGGAATTCATATTCACCCAACAAAGAAATTATGATGCTTGGTCTATCCCATTGGTTTCACTAAAATGGTGAGAGGTGACTTTGGGCTTTCCTTGCAATTAAAGCAGGTACAATGAAAACACTGTTCACTGTGGCCTTAAACCCAGTATCCCTAACTCCCGCAGAAAAGACATCTTCGATGGTAGAGCATTGAGATTTCCATGTGTGTTCTTTGTTGGAAAATAGGCCTCTCATCTACCTACTACATCTGTCGACTTCACAAGGTTGAAAAACATATGTCCTGGGCTTTTACAAAAAACGAGACATGTGAAGATCCGGTTACGATAGGTCTGTATGAACCCATCTTTGCCGTAAAAGGCGACTATGCTTGTAAGAGCGGAGTTTGGTCGGCCAGACTGACTGGCTTGATTCATGCATGTCATCGTATCCCAATTGGGTGGATCGAATGGTCCAGACTCTTCATATAGCTGTAATATTGCTGAGTAACACGCACGCACGCACGCACGCACGCACACAGAAATTAGAAAATAACATTACAGAAACACAAAAGGGTATGGGGTGATGATAATGGGTGGACAAGACAACGGAAGGACTATGTGTAAACTGACCATGTTGGGTGTATTGTGAGGGTGCAAACAACCAAGACGGACGACAGGGGTGTGCAGTAAACAATGAACGTTTGAGAAGATTTCATCAGTAGTGGGTCATGCCCCGAGGATTAGTCAAACAGTCGTTTATAGCACGTGCAATGGTTCGAATTAATCTCCCAATGAAAATATGAGGGAGACTTGTCCACTTCTATTGCAGCGCCTGGCCCAGTTCAGCTAACGTAGCGGGTGGCCTTTGACGTCTGCGTACACGTCTCCCGATCATGTCGCAGACGTGCTCTATGCGGGAAAGGTCAGGACTCATGGCTGGCCATTGCATTCTGGTGATGTTTTGCTGCTGCGGTCACGGTGGGCACGAGGATTATCGACCTAAATGAGGACCAGCATGGCGCGCAAACGACACAACTATTGGCGCCAGTATATTGTCTCGGTAGTACTGTCCAGTGATCCTTTACATGGACTATATGCAATGACCCCGCCCCACATCTATACAGACCGACGTCCAAATCTGTCATGTTACCTTACGTTGACGTTCGTTAGGATGCCTCCAGACACGTCAAAGCCTATCCAGAAAGACAAGAGGAAAAATCTGGAATCCCTGAAAACATTGCACGAGACCATCTGCGATTCCCCCAGTTTCTATGCTCTAAGGTCGCCGTGCAAGCGGACGATTTCTTATCGTCTGTACAGTTACTTAAACTCTTGAGGCCTGGCGTGATTTGATTGGCTGTTTGGCTCGATTTCTTGAAAGATCCCGGATTTATGTTGTTTACCTAGGGTACCCTGTGCAGGGACGATCATTGCATTGCCTGGCCCAGTTCAGCTAACGTAGCGGATGGCCTTTGACGTCTGCGTACACGTCTCCCGATCATGTCGCAGACGTGCTCTATGCGGGAACGGTCAGGACTCATGGCTGGCCATTGCATTCTGGTGATGTTTTGCTGCTGCGGTCACGGTGGGCACGAGCGTTGTCGTCTTGAATATTGCAGCAATATCACGGCGGGGGACACCAGAAAAGGGCTTCACACATTGTACCCATGTCGGGAATCGAACCCGGGTCTTCGGCGTGACGAGCTAACGCTTTAACCAGAAGGCTAGCCGACCGCCCTCGAGGCGCGGGTAAAGGGAGATAACCATATAAGACAGGCCTACTGTAAAACACTCGAACACTTTCAGGCCATTTTTCCGAAATATTGGGTATACACAGGAACTCGTTATTGGTCAGTAAATAAAAATATATACCCCCCCTATATGTAAGTAGAGAAATGGAGCGTCACTCGCCATCTTGCCTGTTTGTTAACATTCGATATCCACGGCGATTTTTGTATTATAAGCTTATTGACAAGCGCATTTCTTGCCGTAGATTGATCGATAATACATTTCTACACATGTACAAGTCATCTACATTCGAACAATGTCCCTTACTTACCGAAATATCGACAGTTTATTTCGCTACCTGGGAAAATGTTACCAACCCCGAGCGGAAGTAAATTTCAAACGCGGGCAAAATCGAGCGAGCCACCTGATTGGCTGAAAATACGCAGCCCTCTAATTAAAGAAATTAGTGCGAAATTTGAAGACAGTTATCTGGAGCGACAGCAGAATCTAAAAAATGACATCAGATAATTTCTTCAAATGGTAAATATTTATTATGAATATGTTTTTCATTTTATAATATACTTGTCATCTAAAGCTTATCTATTATTAGCTGGTGAATTTTAAATTTACATCACTATATTAATATAATAGGCACATTTTCATGTATACTGCCTGTGCCTTATGACATTATGATTACTGGTCAAGCAGATTGAAAATGAATAAAGTGAACATTTCAAGTTAATATTTATCATGAATGCAAAGTAATAAATCTATTTAAGAATAATAAGTAAATTACAACATTACATGATAATATGAATATCACAAACACCCAAATCTCATGATGTGCCATTATAATATATGAAATTCTGAATTTTTACCAATGGCAGCTATATTGCGATGTTACAATAATTCAATTTTCAGTTATGTAAAGTTCTTGAAACATTCTTGTACATGAAAAGTATGTTGAAGATAGCAAAAGTACTAAACCAGTTGAAGAGATTTTCCAGAAATTTTGTGACAACTTTGGTCACAGATCAAAAGTGTTTGTCGGAAAATATATAAAAAAATGCTTTTCCAAATATCACCACAACCAGGCACCGAAAACCTGGTGATTGGACAAAAAAACATCACGGTTTACCGTGGCATCAATGTGAGATCTGAACAGACACAAAACATTGAATTTGCTGCAATATCTGATAACATTCCAAAAGACTATTTTGTACTGCATACTCTATAACTGTTGGAAGGCAGACAGGATTATCCTGTAATGGGAACATGATATATTTACAAGTGAGATTTTCTACTGGTGGGCATGTACATCTTTCCGTCAGTGGTACAGTAATAAATGACACTTTTGGTATTCAGTCTATACATTACGACTCAAAAAAACGTAACTCATTCTTTTCGACACTGAATGTGACAAGATACTGTCAGGGCATATCTCCTAACAGAATATCAGATGAGAAAGAAAATATTGTTCTTCAGCTAAATTTTGAGAAGGAACCCATTGCATACTCTGCTAACTGTTTGAAGGTATTATCTTTGAATTGTTTAAAGTCAACAGTAACATGTCAGAACTGTAGATTCCATTTCTCTTCAGTCTCTCCGTAATTTCCTTGATAAGAACCGTTTTTCCTGTGCCAGCCTGGCCAGATTAGAGTGTTGTGTCCATCTTTGATCAAATTCCATGCAAACACTTGTTCTTAAGTCAAAGCTGGTTGCACATGTGTTGTTGTTTTCACGCTGTCTTGACATAAGTAGGTCAGCCAATCAGGTGGCTCGCTCGATTCTGCCCGCGTTTGAAATTTACTTCCGCTCGGGGTTGGTAACATTTTCCCAGGTCGCGAAATAAACTGTCGATATTTCGGTAAGTAAGGGACATTGTTCGAATGTAGATGACTTGTACATGTGTAGAAATGTATTATCGATCAATCTACGGCCAGAAATGCGCTTGTCAATAAGCTTATAATAAAAAAATCGCCGTGGATATCGAATGTAAACAAACAGGCAAGATGGCGAGTGACGCTCCTTTTCTCCACTTACATATAGGGGGTATATATTTTTATTTACTGACCAATAACGAGTTCCTGTGTGGGTATACCCTCGCGTAACCTTGATTCGTGGATATAAGGAAAGTTCACCCAAATTCGTGGTTTTAATGTCCGATTTTGTTTTGTATACTCACTGATCATTTAATTCATCTATTAAACTATAAGAAAATGACGAAGATTCCACTCGTGACTGAAAAGTTTGTTTACCGAAGCCATTTGCATTCATCAGCCATTCATGTGCACACAAAATGTGACGTCACCTTGATTCGTGGATTACGTAGTAGATTATTGTATCGCTATGTACGAAAGCCCAGTACCGTAACTGTGTAATATTTTTTTATGAATTCGAATCTATACCTACCAGCATTTTTGTGTCGGCTGATAACAGTTGAAGAGCATAGATATTTAACACACAACTCCAAAACGAATCTTGTCAATAAAGTTATGTACCCTATTTACAGGTAAGTTTGTGTCCTCTTTCAGTCCTACTCTTCCGATGGTTTGCATGGCAGACCATGGCAAGGGCAATAAAACGTGTCATGCGTCCGAAGCACGCGCACTGGACAACAATACTGCAAGTGCACCCAGTGGTTACAGTCATGATACATGCACTGCCCCCATTGTACGAAAAACAGTGATGTGCATTGGGCCAGTTCAGCGGGCTGAAAGTGATGACACACGCAACATGTTTTGTCATCGGATATTGGCGAATCCTCACTGTCACTGCTGTATAGTAGATTGATCGCACCGGACGGTCCCGCTGCTGGCTCGGTGGTACTTTTATGTTTCTTTTGAGATTGTTTAGCATATGTATGTGACTTTGCTGGTCGTTTCTTTGTTGGTACTGGCTGTTTAGAAGTTGAACTTTTAACATAGTTTTTAACTTGAATTTCTATCTCTGGTTCAGTTATGGCTTTGCCGCTAACGATCTTGTGGATAGATCTACGTGGTTTTCTTTGCTTCTTCTGAATGACGGGAAGCTGGTCAACAAAGAATTGGGTTTGGTCAAAGTTAGTGACGATATTTTCTTTCTCAACGTTAGGGTTCGAACGTGGGCTGTGTACGTCGTCAGTAGCTGGTACTTGCTGCGACTTGTCTTCAACGTGTGATGCGTGGATAAAAGCAGCTGGTTGGAATGCAGATTTATAAATCATATCTGGCGAAAAGGGATAGATTCCAGACTTTCTGAATGCCGACTGCAAGTGACCAGGCGTTAAAGCAGCAGAATATGCCCTGCAGGCTACGGAGGCGATGTTATATCTGTTGACTGTGGTACCATCAGACTTCAATAGCTTGTGACATTCGGCATTGTAGATTTTTGTAAACGGACCGAAACATCCCACGTCCATTGGCTGCAAAATATTGTGTGAGCCGGGAGGACAAACAACACAATATTGTGATCTTTTGCCCAGTCTATCAGAGACGGAGAAATGTGCGACTTGTGGCCATCGTACAGAAGAGTGAATGAGTGAGTATGGTTTTACGCCGCTTTTAGCAATATTCCAGCAATATCACGGCGGGGGACACCAGAAATGGGCTTCACACATTTTACCCATGTCGGGAATCGAACCCGGGTCTTCGGCGTGACGAGCGAACGCTTTAACCACGAGGCTACCCGACCGCCCCTCGTACAGAAGAAGCAAAGGTCTATTCGGCGTTGCTGGAGATGCATATCGAAGGAAATGCCTGTCCAAGTAATCTTGGAATATAACACCATTTGACCATCCTGATTCAGAAACAGTTCCTTCACTTCCCGCTGTACAGCCTTCAAGCAATTCACTGCGCATTCTAGCTCCCGCAAATACAAAGAAAGGTGGAATAAATGTGCCCAGAGCGTTTCCACATCCCAAAAGTGTGACGACAGACGATCTCTCCGAAGAAATCTCGTAGGCCACGGAATTTCTTGAGCCAACAATTTTCGGTGCGACATGGGACTGGTTGATTCCTTTCTCGTCAACGTTATAAATTGCTTCTGGTCTTGATTGGAAACCGTATTTGTCCATAATCATGGCAAATTCATCAAAATATTTGTTGATGCATTCCTCTGAACTTGCTTTGGCACGAAGTTCCGTGAGAGACTTGGCACTTCTAACTTTCAACTCTGGCCATCGCTCCAACAGACCATATAACCACTTGACAGATAATGGATGGGACAGGTCACGTTTTCCTAACTGACAAGCAAAGTTAGACCCGACAACTTCCTTCCTGGTATATCCGTATCCGATGGATGCCATGTATGTCACATGGTCAACAAGTCTAGTTTCCTGCTCCGCATCAAAAATTGGAGTTGCACCTGACTTGACAGTGTCAACATTGATCTTGCCTTTTATCCTGTCTCTCAGTGTTTGCTCGGGTACAGAGAAGTTTAATGTCGCTCTATGAACTGCAACTTTATTGTTTTTGACTTCCAAGTAAGCATTAGTCAAAGCTGTAGGCGAATAACTTTTGTATCCCTGTCGCGAAGGCGTCGGTGAACCCTATGAAAATGAAAAAAAAGCTATACGAGATGGCCCGAAAATGTTTCCATAGATTTATAATTTTAACAGACGGCAGCACCTCAAGTCACGTGACTTATGTTAATTGACATCTACACAAGCAGGCGACGTGAGATGAGAAGGGTGGTGCTTACGGTATATATTTTATTTGATGTTTTGTAAATATGAAATTTGGTATTAGTGATCTAGGGCTATTTATCTCAGTGTTGGACATTTGGTTTTTCTGTACTTACGTGTAATGCAGCGATTCGGAATATTTTTGTCAGCAAGGCGTGACAGTGTGTACATCAAAAGCACCGCTGTGTGACGTCATACGAGACTTAATTAACGAGATATCACGATAATTACCGCGATCCACGAATCAAGGTTATCCACGAAATTAGGTAACGGTACCTATGGGATGAGAATTTTTCCATTGTATCCCCTTCATCAGAAAAGGTGAATGTTCGAGTGGATTCCATGGTGTCTGGCCACTCTGACGTGTGTAGGACACGGAAATAGAAACTCAAAGCGCATGCCGGTTTCAGACACGGACTGTAAAATGCGGAAGATAAGGCGAAATCAACATAAAAGATACTAAAATACTTGTCCTGCAACATGGATACGTGTGCTCTTTTGTGTCACTGTCGGCCCATTTTTTAAAATGCAAATCTAAAATACACAATAGCTCTTCCCATTTTGAATATAGAACAAATATGGCGAATAACGATGAAATGAGCGAGAGCACAGGAGTCCGTATCTAAAAATAGACACCCTCATGCATAATCCTGAATATGCATGAGGGCGTCTATTTTTAGATACGGACTCCTGTGGCGAGAGAGATAAAGTAATGGTCGGACCCGGATATTGAAAACGGAACTGAAAAATAGATATTTGCCCCTTCTATCATCAAACATTCATTACATTTGGAAGTATTGTATTCAGTGTTCAATACTAAGAAGTGATATACGCACGTCGTATAACTATGAAACTATACCGTGGGACATTGATTGTTTTTGTGAAGTTCTTTTTCAACATTTCACTGATTATTGATGATGTATGTAAGAAGCGACTGTGTTGACAATGGCGGAGGTAGAAGGATGCGAGATCGAGAAATCGACTAGGAAAGCGAGAAAATGTAAATCTTTACGTCAGGTTTCAGCTAAAGACTGCAGTATTTTGGTCCCCACTTCGGAAGGAACGTTTTTACGTGTTTACGGAAGTTGTCGAATGAAAAACGTTCCACGCATGCGCAGTTCGTTATTTACGGTCGAAGCGAGAGGATTTGTTGGCCGCCATTTTTCTACCGAACGCTGTCTGCAGTTCAGTATTTTCTTACACAGACAACACACGGGGGGTACAAGGGGGGTTTGTCCCCCCTTGTCAAAATATTAAAGTAAAAATGGGGGGTAAAGGGGGGTCACACCCCCCTTTTTTCAAATAAATCGCACGACGGTAAGTTCATTCTGTTACTTGAACAATATATTTTGTTGGGCGGACAACACAGCGGGGTTCAAGGCAGGTACAACCCCACCTTTATGACATTTTTAAAGAAAAATACGGGGGGTAAAGGGGGAGGATCCCCCTTTTTCAAATAAATCGCAATATAGTATAACTTCATTCATAAAAGCATGTGAATTTTCATAGGAAAATTATCATCGATAGATACTTTCTCATTCAAACAATTCATTTGAAACGTTGAATTCGTTTTGACTCATATAGATTCTAGGACCTAAGTCTGTGGATCCATCTAGACCTAGTTCAATTTCTTTTTCTGCTTCTTTTTCATCTTTTTCTTAAACGATCATTTTGCTTCCTAAGTTTAATAAATGTAAACACAGCCGGTGAACTGATCAATTGAACAACTGAAATATTTCTTTTCTGATAATGTTTTGAACAAAATAATTGTCATACATTCCCGCATTCGCCCCATACCTATGCAAAGATGTCTTCACTGTACGCCAAGTCGACTGTTTTATTTGTACAAGCCACACTTTATGAATTTACAAGTTATGAGCGAAGTTGCTTTCGTAGTAACGAGTCCATATAAGGAAAGTCACATGATCAGACACGTGACGTCCTACGTCATTTATGTCCCGCCCACAAACAACAAAAAGTTGACAGTTCAATAATTCGGCTTCACTTTCTATCGTAAAACTCTCTACCCCAACAGAGGCGGAGTTTTAGACCATACTTTTCACGTCCAGCTCATTTTTGGGGTCCTTTTTGCTTCCGTACTGAAACTGCCGAAGGCAGCGGTTGCCTTACGGAAACCCCCGAAGTGGGGACCCAAATACTGCAGTTGACCCCAATAGGTTCAAGCAGGTGGGTACCGAAATGATTGCATTTCCATCACATTTCCATCGGAATAAGATGTGAAAAATCGCCCTAAAATAGCGATTTGATTGTAAACAAATCATCAAACGTACACACAGGTTAAGAACATCAGGGTGATGGTAGTACTGTCCAGTGATTCTTTACATGGACTATATGCAGTGACGTTCTGGCGGCCGTAATGACCCCGCCCCACATCTTTACAGACCGACGTCCAAATCTGTCATGTTACCTTACGTTGACGTTCGTTAGGATGCCTCCAGACACGTCAAAGCCTATCCAGAAAGACAAGAGGAAAAATCTGGAATTCCTGAAAACATTGCACGAGACCATCTGCGATTCCCCCAGTGTCTATGCTCTAAGGTCGCCGTGCAAGCGGACGATTTCTTATCGTCTGTACAGTAACTTAAACTCTTGAGGCCTGGCGTGATTTGATTGGCTGTTCGGCTCGATTTCTTGAAAGATCCCGGATTTATGTTGTTTACCTAGGGTACCCTGTGCAGAGACGATCATTAATAGTTTGTGTCTGCAGACACCCGTAGCAAAGACGCACTGAGGACACTGGCTACTTCTCGCTGAGTTCTACCAGTTTAAAGCTTTCCAATAGCCGTTCACCACGTTCTGACGACCCCGTCCCAATCTGATCACCAATACTGCATTAAAGCAAAAGTAGAGAGCATACGAGTTGCTGTGGCTACTATAGGAAAAGTTACCCGTGAAGATCCGGGGTAGAATAGGTCCTCAGCAACCCATGCTTGCCGTTAGGCGTTAGGCGACTAACGGGATCGGGTGAACATGCTCGTTGACTTGGGTGATGCATGTCATCGATCTCAATTGTGTGGATCGATGCTCATGATTTCAATCACTGGATTGTCTGATCCAGACTTGATTATTTTACAGACCGTCGTCATATAACTTGAATATTGCTGTGTGCGGTGTTAAACAACAAAGAAACAAACAAAAGAAGGAATACAAGTCAACAAGACTAATGGCTCAGAGCGATTTAACGACCTTTCACTTTAGTGTCAATATAAAGAATGACCCTCTTCCGACGTTCACGGAGGAAATACTTGGTCCACGTGCATGGTTAGCGAAGCGTTCTATCTCGGGCAGTCATATTTCAAACACAATCTTTCTACTGACGACCGATCATAATGTTTTGATTTCACGAACCCCTGATATTTTGTCTGAAACAAAAGTACTCAAAGACGGCGTTCAAGCACTCTACTCACTCTGTCTGAAAAAGAACAAGAAACACATCTCATCTCGCACAGAGGACAGTCAAAGCATCCATTTCACACCTGCAGCTAAAGGGATATGAGGATATTCTATCCTAAATAATGAATTATGTATAATTATATAAAGCCAATATTTGGGCCGTAAAGGTAAATTTGGTTACCCGTCAACATATCACGTTAAGTTAGAATGTTGTACACGCAATACCACGCTTCCTGTAGAAGTAGGCCATTGGTATAATACACCTTTGACACTCTGGGCGGACGCGACAGTCCATATCGCCCTTGAGCATGGGGCTAACCATACGTAATACTGAGTTGTTAACTCACCGGACCAAAGCGTAAGCACTCAGCAATATTCCAGCTATATGACGGCGGTCTGTTAATAATAGAGTCTGGACCAGACAATCCAGTGGTTGACATTAGCCTACATCATGAGCATTGATCTACGCAATTGGGATACGATGACATGCATTAACCAGAGTCATTAACCAGAGTCAGAGAGCCTGGCCACCCGATCCCGTTAGTCGCCTCTTACAACAAGCATAGTCGCCTTATACGGCAAGCATGGGTTGTTAAAGATCTTTTTCAACCTGGATCTTCGCGGGTGATTATTACATGTATAGTATAACCATGCATAACCTGTGCCATTCTGTATATTACAGGATTAATGTCCGTACCATCATTATGTACACCGTACCACTGCACTGTACTGTGTGTGTGTGTGTGTGTGTGTGTGTGTGTGTGTGTGTACTATGTATACATGTACTGTGTACTACTGTTAACAGTTGCCAGAACATGTATAACAAAACGGCAAGGTAGGAGAGTGATCTTGTTTGGCCAACTGGAAATAAACATTTTGAAATTGCGGACAAGTTTGAAATAATCGTATAAATATTGTTAGATATTGACAAATGTTTCTTTACAGTCGCCCCTCAGCAGAAAAAAATATAATTTGATAGAACAATGTGTTTGAGAGTAAATCAATAAACAAAAATAATAATTTAACTCTGATTCCTATAGTATTTTGATTACCTGTTGCCGACCTCGGTAATGAGCGGCACAGATAGGCGTGAGAAGGAACAACACAACAACCTTCTGCTTTTTGTGGGACAGCGGCCTGTAGTTGGACTGATATCAGGCGAGACGTGTTGCCACAACTTGGACCTTACCGGACTCGGGAGGACATCCATCATGTTGCTAAGTCTCGTCACCCTGGCAACTGCCGTCGGGATCGTTTCCCCGCAGGAGGTCCCAGTCACTGCACCGCACTTCCGGGTACCCGTCGACCCGGAGGTGTACATGGATGCTGTAAGTAAAAAAAAACAACCTTTGTCCCAAAAGCTCAATCAGTGAAAAAAACATATATTTCATGGACATTCTATTGCAGTAAGGGAGGAAGGAGGAGGAGAGGGACGAGTGACTCAGTTGTTTGAGGCACCGCGCTCGTTGTGCAGAGTTATGTCCCTTAGGTACACTATAAAGTTATTATTGTGGGTTTGAATCACAGATTTGCCTCGACTTTGTTTCACCGCGCCTGTGGATGACCAAAATTGTAGACCTGCATCATTTCGGACTTTCCTCACTCATGAAGCTGACACGTCGCGACACAACGCAAATTCTGTTCATATCGTAACACCAGCCAACTCACTGTATTACAGTAAGACGAGATACTGTACAGTACATGATGCCGTGTGGTTCTCGTCTGACGGGCTTTCCAGCACTTAAAGGGGAGTCCCTATGCATGCTGAACACCACCATCTACCCGAGGCGAGGGTCTTAACTGACTATACTGGACTTTCCTAGCCAGTTAACAGCCTTGCCTCGGGAACATGGAACACTATACATAATGTGAACGTTGTGTACATGACTATTATATTGAAGCACAATTGAAACAAGAGGGGATGGGGGTTGGGAACAATTCGTCAGATGATACAATATACTTTTTTATGTCTAATGGAAGCATATTTGTTACGTATACTTACTTACACCCTCTCGGGGACCTTCTTTGTGTCTGTGACTGTTCGACTCCCTCGTTGTCCCCAGACGCAGCTGATCACCAGCAAGGGCTTCCCGTGTGAGAACCACTACGTCACTACAGAAGACGGATTCATCCTCAACATGCAGCGGATCCCTCACGGCAGGGGAGACAACTCGTCGGGGACAGGTAACAGATGCGTCTTCATGTGCATTATAAAAACAACAATACCACGGTGAATTTCGTCATTCCTTACGTAACAGGTAGATGTCTATAATTCATGCTAGGGAATAAGTTGTTATCCTAAATTTATCGTGTGCAAAGGAACATGACCCCAGAACATCACCAGTACGTGACCAGGTGAATTGTCTCAACTTACTCAGGTCTGTTACTTTATTGTTTAAAGCCAAGCGCGCGGTGATGCTGCAACATGGCCTTCTGGGTAGCTCACCTAACTTTCTGGTGAACCTCGCCAACGAGAGCCTCGCTTTCATCCTGGCCGACGCTGGTGCAGACGTGTGGCTGGGCAACGTGCGCGGGAACACTTACTCACGTGCCCACAAGACGCTGAAACCATCGGACAGGGAGTTCTGGGAATGGAGGTATATATACAGACGTAGAAATATAGATAAAGTTAATGATCAAAGTCCACGCGATCCACACAAGTAAGCTTACAAACATACAATACTAATCTCCGCAGTTACGACGAGATGGCGAAGTACGACCTGCCCGCCATGATTGACTACATCGTACAGACGACCGGGCAGCCCCAGGTCCACTATGTCGGACACTCTCAGGGGACACTCATCGGCTTCGCGGGCTTCAGTCAGAACAAGACTCTGGGTCAGCTGGTCAAGACCTTCATCGCCCTGGCCCCAGTGGCGACCGTCGGACACATCAAGAGTCCTCTCAGACTTCTGGCGCCGTTCTCGAAGGAACTTAAGGCAAGCTTTACCCCAATGTGTTGGAAATACGAGTTGGTATTTCTGTGGAGGAAAAATATTTGTTCCCGAAAATGCTGGAAAAAATGTGTCCACAGGTTTTACAAAAATCATAAATAATCCTTTCACAAGAAATGCACAATATGCTGTGGGTCAACACGGAATTGTGTGGCATATTTGTGGCTTGTGTGTATATTTTATATTGTGTGTCTGACTGAAAAAGATATTCTGCCTAAAACGAAATCCCCGCCAAGACGTGATCGATGTTTTATGTATTCCTGGTTTTGTTTCAGGAAGCCTTTGCTTTGTTAGGCCACGGCGAGTTGCTGCCGAGTACTAATCTGACCAAATGGCTGGCGAGAACCATGTGTAAAGTTGCTCCTGTCCTCTGCGAGAATCTGTATTTTGTCCTGAATGGCTTCGACTACCGGTCATTCAATTCTGTAGGTCTTTGTCTCCCTGGCTGTATACTGATTCTAGGTGTCAAGGGTTACGCCATCCTCGGTATTCCTAGGTGTAATATCTCCATTCTATTGTGATAAATACAAATGACCCATTTGCCAGTAAAAAATCTTCGTCTCGGAAGTGACGTCACCATCGTCATCTCCCAGATCACAACTTTTTGCAAGGAATCTCTCTTGGCAATGAGCTTAAATTAACTACCAATCAAATAGACTGGTTCCCGTTCGTTCCTGCGACAGACTGCGGAACAAGTGCAGCGACACCAAGCGGAGGATCCGGGAACCAGTCTACCAATCAAACGGACTCAATGAACGAGAATTTGACATTGGTAACATTTGTGTCCTAGATGATAGATTAGGGTAAATTGGGACTTAAAGTACACTCGGGGGTATATATCATGTAAATAATATCCCTGTATCGTGTTTACAGTCTCGAGTTCCCGTGTATATGGCACACACACCCTCCGGAACCTCCACACAGAACATGTTGCACTTCGGACAGGTGAGCCATGAAGACGTGGACAGTTTAGACATGAAACCATGGTCAGTTGAGACATGAAGAGTGGGGTCGGGTAGCCTAGTGGTTAAAGCGTTCGCTCGTCACGCCGAAGACTCGGGTTCAATTCCCGACGTTGGTACAATGTGTGAAGACCATTTCTGGTGTCCCCCGCCATGATATAGGTGGAAAATTGCTAAAAGCGGCGTAAAACCATACTCACTCACCCACTGAGGTATGAAGACGTGGTCAGGTGAGACATGAAGACGTTGTCAGTTGGGACATAAAGACATGGTCAGGTGAGACATGAAGACATGGACAAATGAGACATGATGAGATGGTCAGGTGAGACATGAAGACAAGGTGAGTTGAGACATTGACATGAAGACATGGGCCGATGAGACACTCACCTTTACGCCAATGTATAGACATGGACAGATGAGACACTGGTCCACACCCATATATTGATTGACAGCTGAGACACTGGTCCTTTCATCGTATATAGACAGGTGAGACACTAAAACTGCAATGGTGCTTCAACAATCTCTCACTTTTCTTCCCAGGGCGTCAACTCCGACAAGTTCCTGATGTTTGACTTCGGGTCCGCGGCTGCCAATACGGCGCACTATGGACAGGTGAGTGCAGCCAATCAGGACGACTCCGTCCTCAACCCCGCACCACACACGCGCCATCTTGCGGCTGTCGACACGTGTCTGTATACACCACGTGTCAAATCTCATGCATAGGCGGATCTACGGGGGGGGGGGGGGGGGGGGGGCCGTCCCCCTCTCTCCTTTTGAAAAACAAATGTAGTATGTTGTGGGTAGTAACATTATTAAAGAGGAGTTTGATATTTTGGACCCCTTCCTTTTGAAAATGCTGGATCCGCCCCTTTCAATGCTTTTTTTTCTTAATTCAAAATCCAGTTGAAACGTTTAACGTGCGGTAGATCACTTTGTGTTCTGTAGCCAAGTTCTACACACTTGCAACCGCTCCCAGTACCTGTGACTAGAGGTATGAACCAGTGTAAGCCATATATGTAAGTGGCATTCACAAGTTGTAGTATCGATGAAAACAGGATTGACTGGTGCCTTTATCAAACAAGTGTTCAACCACTGGGTAGAAGACAAGATTACAAACACATGGGGGAAGAGTAGGCGCGTAACATAAACCTGTAACAATACGGTAATTAAAAGTCAGCCATTATGTTTCATATGTAATTTACATCTGTTGAAGACTGTTCCACATTGTTATGATTTGTCAAGTTTATTAAAATCTTAGAGAACAGTGTCTTCCTGGGAAGTATATCGCACAATGTTCTCTTCAGTCCTTTGTAAATATTATGTCTTCACAAAAGAAGTCATATTGAAAAGTTATCTTTATTTGTCCATAAATCTCAAAATGTGAAGCATACTTAAATGTGTCATAAAATACAACGTGCTTTCCTCTTTGAAAGCAATCGGTATATAAGGATTAGCAATATCCTATATATGTACCAACCTCATCTTTCACTGTTGTTATATTATTCTTGTATATGGCCAACTGGCCTCACGTACAGAAATAAAGAATTGAATACGGTTGTGATGAAGTGCACGTGGTTTGATGCCAATGTGTTACTACTATTATTATTTACTATAGTAAATTACAAATACGATGTGATTCTAGTTGATGAGGTGACTGGTAGGCTGATAGGATGAAATAACCTCAATCCATGTCAAGTTTCATCAGGGGCCCGTTATATCAGAGGCAGTGGGTTGGCCTAGTGGTTAAAGTGTTCGCTTGTCACACCGATGGCTCGGGTTCGATTCCCCATATTTGTGGTGTCCCCCACCGCGATATTGCTTGAATTGCCACGCCGCCTACAGACATTATCATATGACACTGATTCAGTCAAATACACTACAGAAATGACCTCTCTTCCAGGCCACACCGCCTGCCTACCGCCCGGATGAGATGGACGTGCCCGTGGTGTTGTTTAGCGGAGGAAATGACTTCCTGGCAGACCCGGATGATGTCACGTGGATCCGGTCTCAGCTGAAGCACATTGTGGGAGATCACGTGATCCCTCACTGGGAACATTTGGACTTCACTTTGGCTATGGACGCCCCGGTTCTCTGTTACGATAAAATTAAACGGATTATTTTTGGTTGATCAAACCACATCTTAGACCCAAAGAAAAAGAAAAGTCATTGCGAGTGTTGTTTTATAATTAACTCACAGCCCCGAAGGACTAATAATTATCTGTGGTCAATAAGACAATTAATAAGATAATTAACAATTGTTTGAAAGACGACTGTTAATTGGGATAAAAGATCTCCGAGCTGTTTGTTTTTAACCGTGGCAATGAGTGTAGGTTCATGACTTAACAAGTGGTCTGGATCAGATAATTTTTTATGAGTAAGTTTAGAACACGTTTTGATATAAAATGATCCGATTGTCAAAAGGTACTCCGGCAATACTGCTTGCTAATAAAACAATTTTGTTAAGACGTGATTTGTTATGAGGCTACAGCTCTATCCCAGCACGAAACGTAAAATGTTAAAACACTTTCAACAAACCATAATTATTATTTTGACGTCAAAGAAGACAATTAACAAATGAAACACTTCACTTTGCACAAGCCATCAATTTGACCAGTAATGTCCTCACATTGGAATCCCTCAGTATCTATACTTGAATATACTCAAGCCCACGCCCGTTGTTTTTTTAGTTAAAGAATTTTTTTTTTTCCACTTATAACCTTTGTTATAGTGCAAACCATTTCGATATCTGCGGGTTCCGAGTCGTCCCATACAAATCAGACTCCCGGTTTCAAGGATTTTTCTTTTAATTTGTGGCCCTTTAACCATTACTATAGACAATAGCTTTCACAAAGTTTCCAATACCCTACAATTTCCTGCTTATAGCTTCATTTATTCCTTTTTGAGTATGTAAGCACTGAAATTATTTGTACTCTTTGTGAAAACTGATAAAATCGATGTAGTAGCAGCGATTGTAGAAGTATAATAAGTTAGGGAGCCTCGTGCTTACCAAGTTTATTCAGTGGAGATTGTATATACAGTCTATATCCTACTTCTTCGTTTTGCCAACGTGATTTTGTGCTGAATTATGATACCGGCGAAAATTATGTATATTCGTGCGATCAACCGTAAATGGTCTCTGGCACACAAAATAGGATTCGTTCAAATATCTTCGAGACAATTTCACATGATTGAATTTTTCATTACATTCCAGTTTAGACTTATGAAGTTGGTTAGGTTTTGCATACACATTCTACTTTTTAGCGCAGATCACACTTCACATCTGCTAGCCTTGTCGAGTCTAGGCTCACAATATAAGACTCCCAATTTCAAAGATCTTACTGTTATCATGAAAATATTACTTTCATATGCAAACGACAACGCTTTACGCACATTATGTTTTTGTCCCTACGTCATCAGTCTACTTTACTTCAACAATGTTTATTGTCTGTTTCAATGTGATACCTGTGATCTAGCAGTCTGGTATTCCGACTGCAAGGGCGACCGCGAGCAGGATGTGCCGCTCGGTGGAAACTCGTCCAATGTTCTTTGTGTATGAGCCGGAATCTCCGCTCACCTGTATTTTGTGTGTACGAGCCGGCACCTCCGCTCAACTTGTTAATGTTATGTATAGTTGTTTCACGGATATTGACAATGTTGTTATTCACTTATTTACTTTTACACGCCTGTATATCTTATCTAATGTCATTTCATTCATCTCAGTCAAGTGTACTGCATGAAGCAACCACTTGTCAACCTGTCGATGTCATTTGCATTGATCTGTACTTGTACTTGTACTCCATATTGTCATTATTTTTAAAAAGCTTTTGAGGACAAAAGCTCCACGACGTTCAGGGGTATTGTTATAGTGCAAACCATTTCAATACTTTTACTTAAATAGTGCAAACCGTTTCAATACTTTTATTTTACATTTCATTTATCTTAATACCTAACTGGTTCAATATGTTTCCAAGTGCACCGAAATTCTATGCCCTTTGTCTGTTTAATATATTCAGCAAACATTCGGCGTTCCCCTCTTATATCATAAGCCCCTCCGGGCAGGACCCTTAATCTCCAGCGCTATTTTTAAATTTTAATTAACATCTCCTAACGTCGCCGGATCTTACGTATATACATACACGTGGGACAATGACCTTGCCACACGTTACGTAATACCTCGCTCTACAAAACCCGACTGACATGGTCAGTCAGGGAGACAGCCTGGAGACAGCCTGGAGACAGCCAGAAGATCGACTCGTGTAAGTGACAGAACGGTTCTCCCACCCGGGATGATTGGCCACTCGGTCCCGGTGTGCGTTCTGTCACGTTCTTATCAACATGTACCCTTTCGACTCATTTCAACCATCAACAATAAATATGGCTGCTGTCGTCCAAACTTCACCCCTGAGTTTTGTCTTCCGTCATCACCCTGAGCTACCATTCGAGGGTCAAAATCCACGCCCTTGGACAGATGGGAACGAAGAAGATGACAGACAGCACCCCAACCAACCCGATCGTCAGCAACAGACAGCACCCCAGCCTACCCCATTGTCAGCAACAGACAGCAGCCCAGCCTACCCCATCGTCAGCAACAAACAGCAGCCCAGCCTACCCGAACGTCAGCAACACCGAAATTCAGACAATATTCATGTAATCAAGTGAGTACGCCAACATTCAGCCATGCTACCAACACTCAAGATCAAGTCGACCAACGTCAAGATTCTTCAGCAAGTGCCTACCGATATATGTGTGTGTGTGACAATATATTTGAACTTTCGTTCCAACTCTCAACGTGTACTGTGCTTATACGTATTTTCACGGACATTCTTGTTCCTATAAGGTATGTTATGTAATCAAGTCATTATTGTTTCGTTGTCTTAACATTTTGTCATTTTTTTCTATAATGAGTATGTATTGCAATCTATGTATTGTTATCAGAGGTACAATCCTTATCAGATTAAGTTTTTGAAATCGGCTAGGCTCCTACTCTATTCATGTCCTACACCCTATGCTTGTACGCATTTAGTGCAGATCCACGATATCTGCGGGTTCCGAGTCGTCCCATACAAATCAGACTCCCGGTTTCAAGGATTTTTCTTTTAATTTGTGGCCCTTTAACCATTACTATAGACAATAGCTTTCACAAAGTTATCCAATACCCTACAATTTCCTGCTTATAGCTTCATTTATTCCTTTTTTGCCGCTCGGTGGAAACTCGTCCAATGTTCTTTGTGTATGAGCCGGAATCTCCGCTCACCTGTATTTTGTGTGTACGAGTCGGCACCTCCGCTCAACTTGTTAATGTTATGTATAGCTGTTTCACCGATATTGACATTGTTGTTATTCACTTATTTACTTTTACAAGCATGCATTTCGCCTGAAAACCTCTCTTATTTTGCAAGAAAAAACGAATATTCGAAGAAATTGTTTCAAATGTTCTTTATAAAAGACCAGATATCCAATCCCGTATCCCAGCCGCTCTACGGTACAGAGTTTGGAAAAACGCCACTTTTGATTGTTTTGATGAGATTTTACCATGCCACGCCTAAGTGAAAGTGACAGATGGCGAGCCAATTCCGCGCAAACAGGAACACCATATGACGATGTTATCAATTAAACCTCGTCAGAGACCCGTCAGCCAGACGCCCAGACATGGATTCGAACCATGATCATCAACACAGGTTTCAGAAGTAAACTCTCGCATCCCGTACCATTCGCAACAGAGGCGAATCTGTGGAGACAGTCCGGCGACGTCTACATATCTGTTATGTTCATTGCTTAACAAGTGGTATGAATCAGATAATTTTTATAAGTGACTTTAGAACCCCTTTTTTTCCATATAAAATGATGCGATTGTCAGAAGGTAATATTACTTGCTAATAAAACAATTTTGTTAAGACGTGATTTGTCATGAAATTACAGCTCAATACCAACACAAAAGGGAAAACGTAAAAACACTTCAACAAACCATAATATGACGATGTTATCAACAGAACACCCTCGTCTGAGACCCGTCAACCAGACGCCAAGACATGGATTCGAACCATTCACCATCAACACAGGTTCCAGAAGTCAACTGTGGCAGCCCTAACCATGCCTGGCAACAGGGGGGTATCTGTGGAGACAGTCCGGCGACGTCTACGTATCTGTGGAGACAGTCGTTGCAGGAACTCCGACATATCCTGCCAAAGGATACGTGATGTCATTCCCCAGGCCTTTCGTCAACGTTTTGTGGCCTCAATGGGGCGAGGGTGTCAGGCCTGCATCAATGCACAAGGTAGACACACTCGCTACTGACTGACTGTGCCTCCGAACCCTGTCATATTTGCATATGGCAACAGCGCTCTTCACATGGAATGTTGCTGGTTACCACACTACACACATTGCTCTGTCCATGCTATTAAATTCCATCCACGAAATTAAATTACAAAACAGATTTGTAGCGAGGCATCATCACTGCCTGAAACTTGGTTTCCCACAATATTTAACCAACACAGCCGTATCGAAAAAGACTGGTTTCAATCCACTTCCTGTATTACATCTTACACCATTGTTTTGAATGATTACCTCCCTTGCATATTGAATTTGATAGTCTTTCCAGAGTTAATTAGCACAGTAGCCTATTAATGCCCAAGCTTGGTCAAGCCGCATTTTGGGCCCCCCATCTCTAATTGTGAATAGAAACACTCCACCTTAACATTCCATAATTCTGAAATTGTGTTTTTCTAAATTGTTTCATACATTGCAATCAACAGACTTCCTTGGTTTAACGTTAGAGTTTAATTCAAGGTCTTTTGTACACCCTGATAAATGAAACTTTAAAATCAAGCTCTTGCAAATAAATTGATTTTTAGAAACCTGTTTCATACATCCTTCACTGGATGTGAATTAACACTGCAGGGTTCCAGATTATTGGTTAGCCATTGAGTATCTATAGTTTCTTCAATATATTTTCACTCCCTTGGGTATTTTTAAACTAATGAACTACTCTTTTTATAACAAATCTGCCAAAAACTGTTTCAGGGGCCTTGCAGTTAGCATATGTCCATGTGATGCCCCAAGGGTGTCCTGAATCAACATTAGCTCACGTGTCTAGCTACAGAAGGAGACATAGCACTTTTTCTCCTATTTATTAAATGCATTCAATCAGTAAAGGCATGCAGGTACCCAAGCTGAAAAGGCTTCAATAGTTAATTATACAGTACTGTTACATAAAGTAATAGTACGCAGTTTTTCACATTAGTAACTTATAATTAATAGTGATGGGTATTGCCCCTTGAACCTGTATTCCAATATATTGCGATACAAAGTCGTGTATTGCGATACATACCACAATATATTGCTAAAACCAAATGTTTTCAAACTTCTGAGAAAAAAATGAAGAAATTCTTCTGTTTTAAGACTTGGTTTATTATATTTGGGTAAAAACAAACCTTTTTGACTAGAAAAAAGACACATTATCATGATGGAGTTTTCCAAGAGGAAAAAACTAATGGAAGACTTCAAGTGTTATTATTTAACACCAAATCATCTCAAAAGTCAAAATGATATGTTTCTGTGTGACTAGTCAAATGCAAACTGTGTAATAATTGTCTGTGTGTCAATCGACAAACAGCAACATTTTCTTCGATTGTTTGATCGATATCACGCTTTTTCAACCCGAAATGCTGCCACACATCGGATTTACCGCGAGTATTTCTAACGACTTCCCAGTCACGATCCGCCATTTTGTTACCACGGATACGGCGAGATCTCGTAGCATATTGCATTGTTATCAAGCTCCTCACAGCGATAGCCCGTTCGCGGAGCTCTCTATGTTACCGAGAGTGTAACGAAGGTGTCACGCGCTGGGAAGGAGCTTGCATTGTTATATAGGAAGGGATGTAACTCTAACCGAACGTGACATCAGCTTTATCGATAGCCTTTGAAACAACGAATTAAAACACAAAATTCAAATAGGTAATGCTTTTTTTAAATGGCAATTTATTGCGATATTGAAACTGTATCGCAATACATATTGGACACGAAGCCACATCGTGGTTAACCAGTATACCGTTTATACCGTGCACCTCTAATAATTAAAGGCGTCATGGTGACTTATTGTATTTATGGAAATATGTAACCTAACTAGAGCTGACAATGACATCAAATAAAGTACTTACCACCACCAGCAATGGTTGCTTTGATTAATGAATCCAATTCTTCGTCTCCTCTTATCTGCAAATGGCGAGGTGTGATACGTTTTTACTTTCAAATCCTTACTGGCATTGCCAGCCAACTCAAGTACCTGAAAGAAACAGAAAAACATTGTCAACTCTGAATAAACCTGATAATGGGTAACACTAATCCAAGTTGGTCCTACATTTTAATAAGGAGGTCACAATTCTGCTCAAAAAGTGACTAATAATAATAATCTAAAGTTTGGTGACAAATTATTTCCTGATAATTTCCTGACAATTACTGATCTTGTGATGACAAGCATGTTTCCAAATAAAACTGCACTCAGGGAGCTGTGTGTTTCACCTGTTAAAGTTTAATACAGTCCAACACAGGATAACATAAGGACAACAAAAATTGGAGGAAAAAAGATAACTATGTGATTCCATTTTTTTTGACAGATTGTCATTAAAATGCGGTATGGATCTGTCAAATTTGGAAAGTAGTCTAGGCACTGCAACAAATACACTATAAGGCAAATATGATCTATTATATTGTCAGATATTGTCATATGTTTCTTTACAGTCGCCCTTAGCAGAAATTTTTTTATTTTGATAGAGCAATGTGTTTGAGAGTAAATCAGTAAACAAAAAAAATGATTTAATTCGCATTCCTATAGTATTTTGATTACCTGTTGACGACCTAGTTCCGCATGGAACTCTGGATAGGAGAGTGGTTGTGAGCGGCACAGATAGGCGTGAGAAGGAACAACACAACAACCTTCTGCTTTTTGTGGGACAGCGGCCTGTAGACTGATATCAGGCGACACGTGTTGCCACAACTTGGACTTTACCGGACTCGGGAGGACATCCATCATGTTGCTAAGTCTCGTCACCTTGGCAACTGCCGTCGGGATTGTTTCTCCGCAGGATGTCCTAGTCACCGCACCGCACTCCCGGATACCCGTCGACCCGGAGGTGTACATGGATGCTGTAAGTAAAAAAATACCCTTTGTCCCAAAAGCTCAATCAGTGAAAAAACATATATTTCATGGATATTCTATTGCAGCAAGGGAGGAAGGAGGGGAGGGGGAGGGAGGGGGAGAGGGGCGAGTGGCCCACTTGTTTGAGGCACCGCGCTTCGTTGTGCAGAGTTATGTCCCTTAGGTACACTATTAAGTATTAATATTGTGGGTTTGAATAAAAGATTTGCCTTGATTTTCTTTCACCGCGCCTGTGGATTTGACCAAAACTGTAAACTCTTAGACCTGCATCATTTCGGACTTTCCTCACTCATGTAGCTGACACGTCGCGACATAACTAAAATTCTGACGAAGACGAGACACTGTACAGTACATGATGCCCCCTGGTTCTCGTCTGACAGGTTTTCCTGCACTTAAAGGGGAGTCCCTATGCATGCTGAACACCACCATCTACCCGAGGCGAGGGTCTTAACTGACTATACTGGACTTTCCTAGTCAGTTAACTCCCTTGCCTCGGGAACATGGAACACAACATAATGTGAACGTTGTGTATAAGACGATTATATTGAAGCAAAATTTGTCAGATGATACAATATATTGTTTAATGTCTAATGGAAGCATATTTGTTACGTATGCTTACTTACACCCTCTCGGGGACCTTCTTTGTGTCTGTGACTGTACGACTCCCTCGTTGTCCCCAGACGGAGCTGATCACCAGCAAGGGCTTCCCGTGTGAGAACCACTACGTCACTACAGAAGACGGATTCATCCTCAACATGCAGCGGATCCCTCACGGCAGGGGAGACAACTCGTCGGGGACAGGTAATAAATGAGTCTTCATGTGCATTATAAAAACAACAACGCCACGTAGAATATCATTGGGTCGGTCCTTAAGTAACAGGTAGATGTTTATAATTCATGCAAGGGAATAAGTTGTTATCCTACATTTATCGTGTGCAAACGAACGTGACCCCAGAACGTCACCAGTACGTGACCAGGTGAATTGTCTCAACTTACTCAGCTCTATTCCTTTATTGTTTAAAGCCAAGCGCGCGGTGATGATGCAACATGGCCTTCTGGGTAGCTCACCTAACTTTCTGGTGAACCTCGCCAACGAGAGCCTCGCTTTCATCCTGGCCGATGCTGGTGCAGACGTGTGGCTGGGCAACGTGCGCGGGAACACTTACTCTCGTGCCCACAAGACGCTGAAACCATCGGACAGGAAGTTCTGGGAATGGAGGTATATATACAGACGTACAAATATTGATAAAGTTAATGATCAAAGTCCACGCGATCCACACAAGTAAGCTTACAACATACAATACTAATCTCTGCAGTTACGACGAGATGGCGAAGTACGACCTGCCCGCCATGATTGACTACATCGTACAGACGACCGGGCAGCCCCAGGTCCACTATGTCGGACACTCCCAGGGGACACTCATCGGCTTCGCGGGCTTCAGTCAGAACAAGACTCTGGGTCAGCTGGTCAAGACCTTCATCGCCCTGGCCCCAGTGGCGACCGTCGGGCACATCAAGAGTCCCATCAGACTTCTGGCGCCGTTCTCGAAGGAACTTAAGGCAAGCTTTACCCCAATGTGTTGGAAATACGAGTTGGTATATCTGTGGAGGAAAAAAATCTGTTTCCGAAAATGCTGGAAATAATGTGTCCACAGGTTTTACAAAAATCATAAATAATCCTTTCACAAGAAATGCACAATATGCTGTGGGTCAATACGGAACTGTTTGGCTTTAATAATTAAGGTTGTTTGTGTTTATATTTTATATTGTGTGTCTGACTGAAAAAGATATTATGCCTCAAACGAAATCCCCGCCAAGACGTGATCGATGTTTTATGTATTCCTGGTTTTGTTTCAGGAAGCCTTTGCTTTGTTAGGCCACGGCGAGTTGCTGCCGAGTAAGAATCTGACCAAATGGCTTGCGAGAACCATATGTAAAGATGCGTCTGTCCTCTGCGAAAATCTGTTCTTTGTCGTGAATGGCTTCGACTACCGGTCACTCAATTTTGTACGTCTTTGTCTTCCTGGCTGTATACTGATTCTGGAAGACAAGGGTTACGCCATCCTCGGCATCCCTATAGGTGTAATATCTCTATTCTATTGTGATAAATACAACTGACCCATTTGCCAGCAAATCTTCGTCATCTCCCAGATCACAAATTTGCAAGGAATCTCTCTTGGCAATGAGCTTAAATTAACTACCAATCAATGGGACTCGATGAACGAGAATGTGATTTTGACCACATTTCAAAATTGGGTAACATTTGTGTCCAACATGATAGATTAGGGTAAATTGGGAATTACAGTACACTGTGTGTGCGTGCGTGCGTGCGTGCGTGCGTGCGTGCGTGCGTGCGTGCGTGCGTGCGTGCGTGCGTACGTGTATATATCATGTAAATGATATCCTGGTATCATGTTTACAGTCTCGAGTTCCCGTGTATATGGCGCACACACCCGCCGGAACCTCCACACAGAACATCCTGCACTTCGGACAGGTGAGCCATGAAGACATGGTCAGGTTAGACATGAAAGCATGGTCAGGTTAGACATGAAACCATGGTCAGGTTAGACATGAAACCATGGTCAGTTGAGACATGAAGACGTGGTCACGCAAGACATGAAGACGTGGTCACGTGAGATATGAAGACGTGGTCAGGTGAGACATGAAGACATGGCCGGGTAAGACATGAGGACGTGGTCAGTTGGGATATGAAGACATGGTCAGGTGAGACATGAAGACATGGGCCGATGAGACACTCACCTTCACGCCCATATGTAGACATGGACAGGTGAGACACTGGTCGACACCCGTATATAGAAATTGACAGCTGAGACACTGGTCCTTTCACGGTATATAGGCAGGTGAGACAACTGCAATGGTGCTTCAACAATCTCTCACTTTTCTTCCCAGGGCGTCAACTCCGACAAGTTCCTGATGTTCGACTTCGGGTCTGCGGCTGCTAATACGGCGCACTATGGACAGGTGAGTGCAGCAAATCAGGACGACTCCGTCCTCAACCCCGCACCACACACGCGCCATCTTGCGGCTGCCGACACGTGTCTGTATACCTGTGTACACCATGTGTCAAATCTCATGCATAGGCGGATCCAGAGGAGGGGTTCGTGGTGGGTGGTGGGGGGTGGGCCGGGGCTCCCCTCTCCCTCCTTTTTAAAAAACAAATGTAGTATATTGTAGGTTGTAATATTATGAGAGGGGATTTTGATAGTTTGGATCCCTTCCTTTTGAAAATGCTGGATCCGCCCTTTTCATGCGTTTTTTTCTCAATTCAAAATCCAGTTGAAACGTTTAACGTGCGGTAGATTACTTTGTGTTCTGTAGCCAAGTTCTACACACTTGCAGCCGCTCCCAGTATCTGTGACTAGAGGTATGAACCAGTGTAAGCCATATATGTAAGTGGTATTCACAAGTTGTAGTATCGATGAAAACAGGATTGACTGGTGCCTTTATCAAACAAGTGTTCAACCACTGGGTAGAAGACAAGATTACAAATACATGGGGGAAGAGTAGGGGCGTAACATAAACCTGTAACAATACGGTAATTAAAAGTCAGCCATTATGTTTCCTATGTAATTTACATCTGCTAAAGACTGTTCCACATTGTTATGATTTGTCAAGTTTATTAAAATCTTAGAGAACAGTGTCTTCCTGGGAAGTATATCGCACAATGTTCTCTACTGTCCTTTGTGAATATTATGTCTTCACAAAAGAAGTCATATTGAAAAGATATCTTTATTTGTCCATAAATCTCAAAATGTGAAGCATACTTAAATGTGTCATAAAATACAACGCGCTTTCCTCTTTGAAAGCAATCGGTATATAAAGATTAGCAATATCCTATATATGTACCAACCTCATCTTTCACTGTTGTTATATTATTCTTGTATATGGCCAACTGGCCTCACGTACAGAAATAAAGATTTGAATACGGTTGTGATGAATAGCACGTGGTTTGATGCCAGTGTGTTACTACTATTATGATTTACTATAGTAAATTACAAATACGATGTGATTCTAGTTGATGAGGTGACTGGTAGGCTGATGGGATGAAATAACCTCAATCCATGTCAAGTTTCTAAAGGGGCCCGTTATATCAGAGGCAGTGGGTTGGCCTAGTGGTAAAAGTGTTCGCTTGTCACACCGATGGCTCGGGTTCGATTCCCCACATTTGTGGTGTCCCCCACCGCGATATTGCTTGAATTGCCACGCCGCCTACAGACATGATCATATGACACTGATTCAGTCAAATACACTACAGGGCAATGATCTCTCCTCCAGGCCACGCCACCTGCCTACCGCCCGGATGAGATGGACGTGCCCGTGGTGTTGTTTAGCGGAGGAAAAGACTTCCTGGCAGACCCGGATGATGTCACGTGGATCCGGTCTCAGCTGAAGCACATAGTGGGAGATCACGTGATCCCTCACTGGGAACATTTGGACTTTACTTTGGCTCTTGACGCCCCGGTTCTCTGTTACGATAAAATTAAACGGATTGTTTTTGGTTGATCAAACCACATCTTAGACCCAAAGAAAAAGAAAAGTCATTGCGAGTGTTGTTTTTTAATTAACTCACAGCCCCGAAGGATTAATAATTATCTGTGGTCAAGGAGACACGACATTCTATATTTATAATGAAGATTGCTGCCATGTCGGTTCAACACAAACAATGAGATATTCTGTTTAACGCCTTCTTGGTAATTATGTCAGTTATTTCCCGGTAGCTGTACTGGGGAGGTAGTGCCGTGTGGGGCGCAGGTCATAGACGATTGCCACTTCTAAGACCCACGATTTATGATTATGATTCAGAGAGATCAACGGTCATAATCAGGGCGGATTTGGGATTCGAACACATACTACACCGTCCCCCATGCCACCCTGAGTGACTGCATTCTTCCAGTGCTGTATTCTGTCCATGGTGTACGGCACTGACCATGCAGTACGGTCACTACTAGGACAATGACAATGATGACGATACTTTATTTCCCGACAAGGGAATTCTATGTACACGTGACAATGTTAACAGATTAAGCACATATGATTTGACACACACACACACACACACACACACACACACACACACACACACACACACACACACACACACACACACACACACACACACACACACACACACACCTTTGTGCCACCTTCGAGCGATCAAAAACTGGCCAGGACGCTCAATGGTCGCCTAAACCCAGGAAATCATGTTTCTATGTAACTGCTCCAGCAGTTGTTCAGCAGTAACTGCTCGAGTTGTTCAGCGTCTGCAACCACAATGAAACACTGCAGGTACAAGCCCTCTATTTATAGGCAGGCTGAGGAAGCTCAAAGGAGGCAGAAAAGAGGCAGAAGCATTGCCATGGTGTCTCAAGTGTTGCCGTGGTCGCCGAATGGAGGCACGTCGGTCGCCATACTCATCGTTCAATGCACGCTGTTGGTCGCCCAAAGAAGGCACAAGGGAGGCAGAAGCATCGCCCAGATTTACGGGACAGTATTTCAGCAGAACGCATCTATTACCTGGCGACCACTGTGCCTTCATTCTGCAACAACGGCAATGCTTGTGCCTCCTTTGAGACACCTTTGAGACACCTTTGAGCAACCAACCTCCTCGGCGACCTTTGTGCGACTGTTTTGAACGTGTTCAAAATTTCACGGCGACCATGGCGTCCATGGCGATGTCTGAACCTCCTGTGTACCACATTGGAACGACCTCGGCAACCATTCTGCCTCCTTTGAGCCTCCAATGACGACCTGGCAAATTCTAAGGTCGCACACGGGAGGCACAAAGGTCGCCATCCAGTGTAAAGGCCCCATTACATACAACGCGTAGAGGTCAACAACCCGAAAATGTTTAATGATAAAGAGTAAATGAAACACAATCATATTTAAAGCCATCATATATCTATTTAAAAATGTAGCTTTTACCATAGCCTGAGACAAGCGTTTATCTTAATTTATCATGAAGGTTTATTTACCTGGTCAACTGGTTTTCTCTTATATTTTAGGATTTAGGAACTTGTTTTTTAGCTGTCGACCTCTATGGCTATGCGTGATATAATAGACATGATAACGACAGCCGCAGCTGTTTGGTGGCCGACTTTACACATGTCAGTAGATCGGTGCTTGAAGTGACAATATTCGGCGTCATTTTTAACAAAAAGCAGCCATGTCCATAGTGCTGATCGTTAGTGTGTATCTGATACCCTTGCTGGGTTGGACAATGTCCACCCGCACCCAAGCGGAGGTACCCGGTCTGACAACCGACCCCGAGATCTACATGAACACTGTAAGTCTTTTCTCAACTAGATTTGCTCACAAGTGCGCATGCACGAACGCACACATACATGCGGAATAAAAAGTGAGGTTTCTGAATATATTTGTATTTATGTGTGTGGGTAAGACTGAACAGTAAATTTCTTTAAAAATATCCACGAACCCTAACTTGCTTTGCTCTGTATAGAACTGTCGTCACGTGCAGGTAGAATAGCCCGTGGGGATTTTGCGTTAGTACCGATGCCCGGGACAGTATACACATAATGGTTCTTTAATACAATGTCAGTTGTCAAGAATCGATAGCAGACTCGGGGAAATTTTAAATTTTTTTTTATTTTTGGTAGTACAAAAGAGTGGCACCGCCGTCCGAGCAACATTTACTTTACAAACTTACAACAAAAAAACACTTTGAAGGAACCCCACTTCAGGAACACACTCTCCGTGAGTCTCTGACTGTTCGACTCCCTCGTTGTCCCCAGACGGAGCTGATCACCAGCAAGGGCTTCCCGTGTGAGAACCACTACGTCACTACAGAAGACGGATTCATCCTCAACATGCAGCGGATCCCTCACGGCAGGGGAGACAACTACACGGGGGCAGGTAACAGATGCCTCTTCACGTGAATTGTGTTGGGGACATGTACCAATATATGTCTTAATGTACATTGTGTGGGCGAGCTGTGTTGCCCAGCACCAAACTGAACAAAAGGCGACCTGTGGCGCCTCCACCCTTGAAGCCCAAAACCTAACAGAGAGCAATAGTTTCGGCTCATTTAGAGGATATTACATGACTATTTCGACCAGGGTTGCAACCGAAGCCATTACTTCAAGTATCCCGTTTTGTGATGTGCGATTCAATCTCCGTGTTACCTTGATCCTTCCTGCATCACCAAGCTGTCGCAGGCCATAGTGATATAATCCTCGTCATGGGTTTGTTTCCCTCCACACGCATTCACTCCTTGCCATTATTTGCCGGGGGTATATTTTCAGGGTGATATTTGTTCAATACACTGATGAATAATCAACAACAACGAACTAACGTCGGACTTCATGTCCATCCGAAATATACAAGGTTATTGCTCCGTGAATAACGCGTGATTCTAGGTTCGTCAGCATCATACCGTGCACGTGGGTTTCAACAAACTGATAGAACTGAAATAGTGTTCCAAGCGGGGTTAACCCATGTCTCTGACTCATGAATGAATGAAATGAGTCTACCCTCTGACTGAAAGATTACTTTATGTCAAATTAGTTTCAGCCAAGCCAACTGTTCTGCTGCAACATGGCCTACTAGGAAGTTCCAACAACTTCGTTCTCAACCCGGCCAACGAGAGCCTCGCTTTCATCCTGGCCGACGCCGGCGCAGACGTGTGGCTGGGCAACGTGCGCGGCAACACTTATTCACGTGCCCACAAGACGCTGAAACCATCGGACAAGAAGTTCTGGGAATGGAGGTATATATATATATTGGGAAGTATATATACACCATAGCATGTGGTGAAGCCAATACTCTCCCCAATAAAGTTTTCACGTGTAGTTATGTATAGCTATCCAAGTTTATATTTCTCTCCGGGTATTTCAGTTTCGACGAGATGGCGAAATACGACCTGCCCGCCATGATTGACTACATCGTACAGACGACCGGGCAGCCCCAGGTCCACTATGTCGGACACTCTCAGGGGACACTAATCGGCTTCGCGGGCTTCAGTCAGAACAAGACTCTGGGTCAGCTGGTCAAGACCTTCATCGCCCTGGCCCCAATCGCGACCGTCGGGCACATCAAGAGTCCTCTCAGACTGCTGGCGCCATTTTCTGAAGGATTGAAGGTAATCCTAAATGATCGCATCTACCTATAAGATCTTACATTGATGTGCCTTTGTTATGTTGGTATAGGATTCGGATTTCGGTGCAGAGTGGCGTCCCTTGGCTGCCAGGATCCCGGGTTTGACGCGATAATGACCCTTGGTCTGTTAATACCAGACCCTTGCTCGTTTGTTTCACCAAAATTTAAAACGTCCACGGAAAAGCCAGATATATTTTTGGTGTGATCTGATCCAAACTATCCACACGGTCACGGAAATCTAGGGGTATGCATTTGTGTGACGTGATAGGTTTATAATATGGATTGCCTACGTAAACTTTCCTCCATGTTACTGTGTGTTCCATTATTTGTTTCCGCCAGTATATTCACAATGTTGCAGCTTTTTGATCTGTTCGGCCACGGCGAGTTCGAGCCCAGCAGCAACTTGACAAAGTGGCTGGCGAAGGATGTCTGCAAGGGTCTACTCCTCCTCTGTGAGGACTTCTTCTTTGTCATCGGCGGCTTCGACTACGCCACGGTGAACAAGGTACGTCAGCTGGTGTCCAGTAGACACGTGCACACAATTATGAAGCCATAATAAGTGGGATAGAAGGATTTTACAGTTTTCAGAAGTATTCCAGCAGTATCAAAGGTAACCAAGGATTGGCATTTTATTCCCTAAAGCACTTTCTAACAAGCTACCGTGCAAATGTACCTACATACTGCTACTGGGAGCACTGTTACATCTTCCCGCGGCAAGGGCGTCCACAGACTTTAAAAGTCCAGTGGAAACTTGACGGTTATAGTCAGTTAACACCCTTGCCACGGGAAGATGGCGCTGTTATGTCTGTTCCACTTTCAGGCCTTGTTTGTGTTTCAGACTCGCGTCCCCGTGTACGTGGCCCATACACCCTCGGGCACCTCTGTGCAGAACATGATCCACTTTGGACAGGTAGGTGGTACCTTTTGGACAGGTAGGTGGTACACTTAGGACAGGTAGGTGGTACACTTCGGACAGGCGGGGGGTACACTTAGGAAAGGTAGGTGGTACACTTAGGACAGTTAGGTGGTACACTTTGGACAGGTAGGTGGTACACTTAGGACAGTTAGGTTGAATCTTTGGACACGTAGGTGGTACACCTTGGACAGGTAGCGGGTACACCTTGGACTGGTAGCGGGTACACTTTTCACAGGTAGGTGGTACACTTAGGACAGGTAGGTAGTACACTAGGGACAGGTAGGTGGTACACTAGGGACAGGTAGGTGATACACTAGGGACAGGTAGGTGGTACGCTTTGGACAGGCAGGTCGTACACTTCGGACAGGTAGGTGGTATACTAGGGACAGGCTGGTGGTACTCTTTGGACAGGTAGGTGGTACACTTCGGACAGGTAGGTGGTAAAATAGGGACAGGTAGGTGGTACACTTTGGACAGGCAGGTCGTACACTTCGGACAGGTAGGTGGTACACTAGGGACAGGCTGGTGGTACTCTTTGGACAGATAGGTGGTACACTTCGGACAGGTAGGTGGTAAAATAGGGACAGGTAGGTGGTACACAAGGGACAGGTAGGTGGTACACAAGGGACAGGTAGGTGGTACACAAGGGACAGGTAGGTGGTACACTTTGGACATGTAGGTGGTACACAAGGGACAGGTAGGTGGTACACTTTGGACAGGTAGGCGGTACACTTTGGACAGGTAGGTGGTACACTTTGTCTTTCTAGAACTATCATTAGTCAAGAATCTTTTTATTACCATGGCTGATGTGTGAAAAAGATGTGTGTCAAATATATTATACTGTTGAATAAAAGGGCAACTAATTTTAAGCAGCATTTAGGAAGAAGCCGCTATAGAAACGATTATTAATGACGTTCATACATCACTGGTAGCATACAATGTCACAGATGCAATTGTCTAAAAATGTCAGTATTGGATTCACCCAGGATCAATGACTAAGTTGCTATGGTTACTCCCCAGGAAGTCAACGGCGACCAGTTCGTGATGTACGACTTCGGCTCGGCATCTGCTAACATGGCCCACTACGGACAGGTTGGTGTTGAGGGAGTGTGTGAGTGAGTTGGGTTTAACGCACCTTGGAACAATATTTCTGTTATAAGGCGTTTCAACTTACTATTGAAGGAAAGCTCAAAGTGATGCAGGTATAGGAATTATAATGCTTTGTTGAATTCCAGAAGCACGGGAATATTATACCGACAAAGCTAGAACACAGTCAGAGCAAGTGGGATTCGAACCCAAGATCATATGAATGGGTTGATGGCGTGTGTGTGGTTGGGGTGGAGACATCGTGGTTCAGTGCGTAAAATCGCTTCATGTCATTAGAAATTAACACCTCTCCCCTCGGGGGCTTTTTATACAAGGCCAGTGTTTGGTAACCGTTGCAGTACCATAGCAACCGTTGGACATGAAGCCGTCTGCGTCCACGTGTAGGATGTCGTCATTGGCTTGCCTTACCCTGCAGACTCAGATGCAGTCACATACACTAAAGGGCAATGACCTCTCTTCCAGGCCACGCCACCTGCCTACCGCCCGGATGAGATGGACGTACCCGTGGTGTTGTTTACCGGAGGAAAAGACTCTCTGGCAGACCCGGATGATGTCACGTGGATCCGGTCTCAGCTGAAGAACATTGTGGGAGATCACGTGATCCCTCACTGGGAACATTTGGACTTCATTTTGGCTCTTGACGCCCCATCTCTGTGTTATAATGAGATTAAAAGACTTGTATTTAGCTGAGACTTGCGCCACGACCACGTACAGCCCAAGTCCAGAGTGTTGTTCTAATCATGGATCAATCCATGCAATAAAATAGTACAGTATTTGTTCGGCTCGTCACAATCTTAATTTGTATCTGCTGGTCTAATGTCACATATCCTAAGCTTTTAACAGTTTGCAAGAAAGGATTACAACATAGAAATAGAATAAGACTTTATACGTATTGTAATATACGTAATATACGTACACCTCTATACGTCTTGTAAACACTTCCGCCCGTAGTGATTTCGGGTCAACACTGGTCAACACACCTGCATGTTTCAATGTCATGACATCTCTTCAAGGTCCCAATACAATAGTTAGTGGCGTCTAGTGTACAACAATAGAAACTCTACTACAAGGGTCATGCCGTTTCAGCAGTATTTATGTTAGCTTGTTTTTGTCAGTGTTTGTATTTAAAGGATTATGTAAGGAAAGCTGTGAAGATCCGGGATAGACTAGGTCTTCATCAACCTATGCTGACTAACGAGATCGGGTGGTCAAGCTCGCTGACTTGGTTGATGCATGTCATCGATCCCAATTGCGTGAATCGATGCTCATGATATCAATCACTGGATTGTCTGGTCCAGACTCGATTATTTACAGACCGCCGTCATATAGCTGGAATATTGCTGAGTGCGGCGTTAAACAAAAAACCAACCAACTTCATAGGATGTGAACGAGTGTCCATCTGGGCGAATAGTGTTCTTGCACCACGTGTTCATGTATGGAGACATTTATCAAAATGAGACCAATGGCACGTGTAGATGGTTCAAAAAGTAACATGAAAGTTCGTGGTACGTGAATATAAGATCTTGTACTCTAATACGTCAAGCAGAGTGTAAATGATCTGACGTTGAAGAGATTTCATTGGAAGTGACGCTAAAGGGTAGTGATGAATCGGGTTCCTTTGTCAGAAGACTTGACAACATTCATAAGACTAATTCCTCAAGGCGCGGAACTGTATACTTCTTTGTGACGTACTGGTCAGTTAAAATGCGATCAAAACAGAATCGTCACTGAATCCGTGTGTATGTTATAGTTGACCTTACTCTTCAAGATCAGCCAAGCTTTCGAACGTCACTGGGGGTGCGGGATATCTATACATACATTTGCATAAAAAGACAAATGGCGTCTCACTCACGCTGAATGAGAAATATTTCAAATCTACCTATTCAAGAAACAAGAATTCAAGAACAGAATGCGAAAGTTGTCATCCATATTGTCTTCGTGCCTCTCCATGGCGTTTCAGGAACAATTCTTTGAGAAAAACTGATGGCGTTACAAGTATTTTTGCGTTGAATATGGAAGGAATTGAGAATGAGTAGATTGTGGTATTTGTTATTTAGAAAAACTAATGCTTCGGATGGTGGCTGCAGGGACTTTGCTTTTGGAGACCTTACCGATACCAAGATTTTATAACTAAAGTACTACCGGAAATGCTCATTTTATAATTACGAATTATAGGGCTATGAAAATAGCACATATCAAAATAATGCAAATCTACCTAATCTAGCCTATCTTAACGGACACTGTGAGAAGGCGAAAAGAAGTACTTTTACAGGTAAAATTGTGATAAAGTTAGAAAATATTCGTGTGTTGTCATGCTTGTATGAAACGACCTGATAGCCTAAGGTAATACCTGACACCTTTCCCGAGATGATAACCACACTGGCCCGTGCATTCTCACAGGTGCAAATGTCACCTGCGTTGGGGGTGGTCTCAAAATATTGCTGTTATTTTACTTTTTAAGATATGTGTTGACAGGAGTAGCAGTTAAGACATGTACTGCCTTATATTTGAATGGAAAAAGTATGGGATAGTTAAAAGCTATGAAACGGGATTTTTTAATCAAGACGTATTTGTTGTTTTACAGATGATTCCTTTAGCCAACTTCTGACTCAGCCTATGACGTATCTGAATCGGTACTATCACCCAAAGGTATAACTGGTGCAACAAGGCTGATCCCGCCGTCACGGTGGCGGTACTGACGTTCTACTTCAAGAACATGTTCTTCAGCCTTTGGTCATATCTCTGGGATGATTCTAGCAAAGGCCGCGTTGATCAAACCCTTTGAGATGTGTGAGTTTCGAATGTTTTCTTATGTCTTGCCACGAACCCTTTACAGTGAAGTTAGCCCAGGTAAGCTCAATAGCCTTGAGCTCACAATGTCTGCCTGGCGTACGTAAGACAATATGACTGCGTTGTGCCACCCGGAAATACCTGTCTTGTACTTACTGGTCTCATATTCAGGCGAATTTGCTCCATCAGATGGTATGAAGTCGACATTGCAAGATGTCCGCCTTCAGACTACTCATGATTCTAGACCTTATGACAACTGTGTTTTACATGGCACTGGAGCTTAGATTGGGCAGCAGTTGGTGTTCCAACCAGTCTTTGTACACATCCCCATTCATTTACTAATGATTATCATCAGTTTGCTTTTTCGCCTTCAAAATTAGCTCACGGGTTGCGGCGTACAAAACAATGACACGATTACCTTCACCTGATGGTGCCATGGGTGCTTTTCGTCCATCTGACGGTAGCCACATGTAGTCGGTGGATCGATTCTTATTCACCCAGGTTTCATTAAGGTAAATGATCAGGAAGTCCTGACTGCGATAGTCATGATTGGTGCTGAGATAATGTGACCTCATAGACGGAATGGAATATTTTCTCCTGAAAAAAAGCTCCGTCGTCGCCACGTTTAGTGTATCTCATGGGCAGAAATAATTAATGTAGTCCGGGAAAAAATAATCGTGTCTTTAGTTTCCTCCCTAATTCTACTAAAAAGTCTATCAGTTGTGTTTTTGAGACGACCCCTCCCTTCTTTGCGTTATAGCCTGGACTTATTGGTATGAAAGCCCCAGGGCTTGTGCAGTTCGGTAATACACTGAACATATAAATGGTACCCCACCATCTATTTTAAGTGTAAAGAAAAGAAAAGTGTTTTTGTGTGTGGGGATTAGATGTTTTATGACGACTACATTATTATTACTATAACTGAGTCGCATGCGCATATGTCTGGTCCATTTAAGACTTCCCTCATTGGACTATTTTTTAGTTCCGAGTTTCCTCGTGAAAATCTGTCGAGGACTCCTTGTGACTGAAATGCTCAAACCACAGGTAGTTTGAATAGTGTGAAACACTCCATCTTGTTTCAACGGGCAAAAAGCTTTTTTCTATCGTTTCCAGTTGTACTGAATTGTCAACATCTTGAACAGAAAACATTGCAAGTTTCATTTTGTTGCTTTGAAACCTCATTTGTGCATCGTTCTCTATAGATATTGGATACACAATAAGGCCCTGCACACCATATACATGTAGGAGTTTAGTGGAGCAGTCCTTGCTGTACCTCACTTAAGACGTGAGGAAACGGACCTTCAAAATAACCTGTTAGAAACTAACAGTTTTTGTCCGCCAGTCCTTATGATAACATCTAGCAAAACCCTTAAAATGGGCAAATTTCTACTAGTCCTTAAAATACCTTTACTATTGGGTAGTTTGGTAAGGACTATAGGACTAGTGCCAATTTCTAACGCTGAAATGCATTACCCCATCTAAACAAGTCCTCTTGGAAATGGGACGAGTGTTTCCTATTTGCCATAAGCAAGTTTTGTCTGTATTCACACTTGCAAAAAGACAACTAATGATTAGTGCACTATGTGTTTTAGTCGTATCGGCAATATGTCTGCCATATCGTGAGTTTAGTTCTAACCCTGCTTAATGCCCAAGTTCCATAGTCACCTTTTGATATTCCTCCACCATATCACAAATTATTTCATATCGTTCGCGATTCTGGGTTACAATAGATCCCCAACAATGTATGCTGAAAACAAATGGTCGGGTGGTCAGGCTAACTTCGTTGAATTTATGTCACGGTATTTTTCGACAGCGATTTTTTCTGGCCAGGTCCTATTATTTACAGGTCAGTCGCAGCTGGAATGCTGTGTTAAACCAGTGCGGTTCTGTTTCACATCCCAAATATCCTTAAGACATGGTTATTTGAAAACAAAAGAATGTCTGATCAAAAATTGATAAAAATCATGAAAATGTAGGTCCTGATGCTAATCATCTGATACAACTCCCTGCTAAATGTATGCACTGCACAGTCACATTGGGTAACAGAACAAAATAGTTTGACATGTTAAACTTTAATGACGGACAAAACATGGAATACAAAGACATTTCAAACACGAGTAAATAAAAATTTGAAATCTACCATGATGAGATGAACATGATTGCTACAGTGGAGTGAAGGGTGAGATGAGGTGATGGTTATGCTACAGACTGCCGCAGTGACAGTGTTCCACTGCAGCAGTAGCTACACATGGCAATGTACAGGATAGAACACATCCTCCATCTTATGCTGCCTTCTGGGAGCCCTTTCCGATCAGAGACTTGTGGATATGAGGGATGACACCTGAAACATGAACAGTGAAGAGTCAGGAATGTACAAAACTTACTTTCATCCACTAGTTATATAACTTACAAAACATATTTGTAGTGAGGCATCAACACTGCCTGAAAATTGGTTTCCCACAATATTTAACCAACACAGCCATATCGAAAAAGACTGGTTTCAATCGACTTCCTGTATTACATCTTACACCATTGTTTTGATTGATTACCTCCCTTGCTTATTGAATTTGATAGTCTTTCCAGAGTAAACTAGCACAGTAGCCTATTAATGCCCAAGCTTGGTCAAGCCGTATTTTGGGACCCCCATCTCTAATTGTGAATAGAAACACTCCACCTTAACATTCCATAATTCTGAAATTGTGTTTTTCTAAATTGTTTCATACATTGCAATCAACAGACTTCCTTGTTTTAACGTTAGAGTTTAATTCAAGATCTTTTGTACACCCTGATAAATGAAACTTTAAAATCAAGCTCTTGCAAATAAATTGATTTTTAGAAACCTGTTTCATACATCCTTCACTGGATGTGAATTAACACTGCAGGGTTCCAGATTATTGGTTAGCCATTGAGTATCTATAGTTTCTTCAATATATTTTCTGTCCCTTGGGTATTTTTAAACTTATGAACAACTCTTTTTATAACAAATC